CAGACCGAAAATCTCACTCTGGTATTCTACAGGAAATTCACGAGAGAATAAAGAACTACGAAAGGATGAAGGGTAATAAACAACATGACGAGCTGTGAAGCCTCATGGAAGCCAAATGTTCTGGTTCGAGTGCCAATTCAAAAAGAGTGATCATAGACAGTAGTACTGGAATTACCGCAGATGCTATAACTCAAATTTTAATTATTTATTCAATGTGAATAGCCGTCATGGCATCCGCAAACTTGCATCTGCAACCACATCCAGTTGGACATTGGACATGCTCGGTAAACCATTCGGTAATGTGATCCAAATGTCCACCATGCTTGCAAGAACTGCAAAAGGTGAACTGTCCCCGAACTGCATTGTCACAAAGGGAACATCGGAATGGAAAGTCTTGGCATCTCTTGCAATAGTTGCCCTGCTTGTTCAGATCAATCTCGTAATCGCAACCTGGGCAACGAATCACAATGGCAACGGCTGGAGGCGTTACAGCGTCGGTATTGTTATTATCTTCCATGGACAGTTCCGTCTCGTTGCCGCGGTAGGGGAGTCTCATTACTGCAAGGGAAGGACCCTCTAGTACTCCTGCCGACTCTTTGTTTCGTTGCTGTGGAATCCGTCGGAGATGCTTTCGGACTTCGGCTCGGATACTCAACAAGTTCCAAGCGTATAAGAGTTCGGCATACTTTTTTATGTAGGCATCGTATTTTTCATCATGGCCTGGAGGCAATAATTTGGGACTGCCTTGCATTGTGCTGCGAACTCCTCCACTTAGGACACAAAACATGGTTGCCAGCATCTGGACGTCTCCCAGACTTTCGTAGTAGGAGAATAGATTGGAGACTAAATCGGTGCCAAGAGCTCGGCCAATCCCACCATCCATACTCCTTGTTAGGTTCTTGATCTGACCATCCACAGTTTCTTCCAGCAATCGCCATACCCCTTCCTTTTCAATTTCGTTCAGCAATTTACAAGCATTGGCATTCTTGTGACAATTACTCTTTATTCTGTCGAGCACAGCGATCGCTTCGACAATTTCAGGTGTCGGCAACTCTCGTAGCTTGTACACTCCCAACTCTAAATAGCGCTTCCTTTTATCGCCGCGATGTAAATGATTCCACGAGAGAGTACCATCCTCTCGCCTTGGGTTCCGTGGAAGATTATTCTGGGCATGGTGGCCGCCATCCCATTCTACAAAGGTGGGAAAAGCAATTACATTTGAGGAGATGAAACAGATTGTATCCACCATTAAGCGTGAATTCACTCACGTGCTGGATTGTCAGACGGGTACATTGACATATTCCGAAAGTATCTCGGTGTATCATCTCCTTCTGGTAACATGCCAAAGTCAAGATTTGATTCGGATTTTGCTCTTGGAAGATTTGGGCTGTTCCCCCAACCTGGTTCCAAGTATTTGTATCCTGGAAGACCTTTGTTCGTTGAAGATGGGTACAAAATTGTGAGTTCAGAGGAGCCGACCACAGGATACCACCCTATCATAGTAATCGTACCTTGCCCAAGAATCTGTGGCGGAATTGCCCCGTCATACGAAGCCATGTCATAATATTCAGCCATCTTTGATTCCGCCGCGAGGTCCTCTGGTGCCGATAGATCTTCCCACGCTCCCAGCTCCCAAGTCTGCGCCAGCTCGACGCGTTGATTGGAAATAATCTCTCTGTCAAAATCACGAGTGACACGAACGGCGGGTGCTAGCATTTCATAGGATGGGCCGACAATCTCCGGTGCATTCTTGGTTGGTGTCGAAGCAGAGGCATCTGAATTCGTCCTCCTGTGTGTGGCTGGTTCCTCCTCTTCCTGGTCGGATCCCTTAAAGGCTCTTGCTCCAAAGTAACGATTGTACATGTGATTTCTCGATGGGACGCCCACGTCCTCATCATCGGAACTATCTGAATCGGAACTCTCATCTTCAAAGAAGTTTTCATCTGTAGTCAAATTATCATTGCCCGATTCGGAGCTATCTGATCCAGCTCGTGCACCCCATTGTGCCTAGTGAAGAGAAAACGAAGAAACTTGCATGTGAACAAACCGATAACAAATGAACCAACATAATTACCAGCAAGGCTTACCTCTTTTGCAGTTTCGGTCATCTTCACAAGTTCCTTCAACGTCCGTGGACCGTATACTGCTGTTAGTTTGGTATCACTATCGACCCCGACACGGGGAGGGAGAAGTTCATTTCCGGATGGTCCAATGTCACCCTTTCCATTTGGCATGCTATGAAGTCGCATCGTATCCGTTCGTTGGTACCAATTCCACATTTTGTTAATCTCCCCATTGTGAAACATGACCAATCCCCCATGGCCAAAACCAAAGCTAGCGCCACACAATGGTGGACAAGGAACCCTTCCACTTTCAATATTTTCCAATATCGGAGTTGCCTCCCGAACATCGACTGTTGCATTTTCGGATTCGCTCACCACTCTGAGACCACCAGTCGAAACCACCGTTCCGGAAGCAATGTCTGTCATTGCCATCCCCTTGTTTGCTGAGACGGATCCGTATGCCACTGGTACTTCCATATCTCCAATTTGTTGTTGGTTTGCAATGGGGTCATCGGAATCTGGATCCGCTGATTGTATCATTGCATCAGGCGATTGACCAGCATTCATGGATAATCGTCCCAGCTCTTCTGTGAGAGCCTTGTGGGCATCCACAGCACCTGTAGCAGTCGTATTCCAAAAGCCAGCTGCATCAACCAACGAGGATCCTTCATTTCTGTCTTCCTGGTATACTCTTGGCTGATGGCTAGTTGGAAAAGAGGTCTTGACCATTCTGGTTCGCAATGGTGATGGGGTCCTGCGACCTATTTCTCCCCCTACTTTTGTCTCAACTTCCGCAACGCTCTGAAAGAAAGAAATGTGAGTCTTGGGCTTTTGAAAAGAACAAGAATATTATTGACTGCCAATAACAATGCGCTTACGTGTGTGGTAATGACAGACGTGTCACTCAAGCAGCATAGTACCAACTCTAGACGATTGCCACCACCCCGGTCATCGTCTGACTTTGGGTCTCCATCGGCTGCCGCTGCTGCTGCTGCTAGTGCCGAAAGATACCGACCTTGACTAGGAATACTTCCAAACGCCAGTTCGGCAGCTTGTAGCCGCCCAAGATCGGCTTGTCCTCCCAAGGCCGAATAGAGCGCCTCTTGATCATGACTGCGTTTGGCGGTTGCTCCACCTTCAAATCGAATCGTAGTCTCCAATCCAAAGGAGGATCCGGATGCCGTCGTCGTTGTGGTGGGACTTGATCCTCCTCCTTCAAATCCTGGTGTCAGCTGACACATTTCAGCCCACCAACCATGTTGAAGGGTACCATCATCACTATTCTTGGTGGAGTCCAAGTGACCCACCGCCAAGAAGCTATTTTCAAAGGGAGATGGACATACCCGCGCGGCGGCCAAATTGGGTTTGGTCAGCTGCGCTTTGAGGCCATAATAATGGGACTGGTTGTAGGGAGCAGGTGTCATGTACCAATAATCGTCTGGATCGGCTGTAGACGTCGCATCGTCATTTTGATACGCCCAGCACTTGACCACAGGTGAAGCACTGGACGAATCCAGACCCCAGGTGAGCCAGGACGACGACGAGGATGACGAGTCGCCCGCGGTGGTCGTCTTGAACGCACACAGACCCACCCCTGCTGCATCATGAGCTTGAAACATGGAGACTGTCGATCCTGTACTGGACGATGTTCGATTCCGTTCGTTCATCCGAATATCATAAATGCGAACCACACCCGCCCTGTCCATGCAAGCACATTCATCCGTCTCTGGTGCGCATGCCACTTGGAGTATCATGGGAGAAGCCGCCGCCGAAGGAGAAAAGGAGGATCGTTTGGAGACTGCAAATCTCAAGGATGGTTTGGAAGACGAGGTCGACCCTTGAGGTGCCACCCGCAAATCCCAAAGAGAGATGGAATTGGAGGTAGTCGTGGCCAACAAGGGCGCTGCCGATGCTTTTCTCGACGATGGTTTCCAGCAAATGGAGGTTATCTTGCCATTGTCCCCCGCATCTTGCGACAACATATTGTCAGAACCCAACCGTCCAATCAAGGGCATGTTGCTGTGTCCACTAGCGTCCCATACAAGTGTGGCCGATCCTCGCGCAGCGGCCAAGTAGAGTTGATTGCCTTTTGTCGAATGAAACGCCAGTCCGGAAATGTTACTCAATGCCTTGGACCGAAAGCTCGTGGCATGGCTCAAGATTAATAGTGGAACATGAGGTCTGGATAATCGAAATAGAGCAACTCCTTGGGATCCGGCAATTGCGCCCAAAGAAGTCGTGGCGTTTGGAGATGAGTGATGGTTGTTGTTGTTGTTGTTGTTGCGTTGATGTTGTGCATCTCCTGATGATGATTCGGCAGGCGTAAATGAGTCTTCTTGTATATTACTGTCCAGTGATGATGTCAAAATATCCGAACATGCCAAGGCTTGTGGATGAAATGCTTGATACCGGGCAACTGCTCGGAGCCTTCTAGAGACATTCTTGGTTTTGTCATCGGCTACTATTGGTGGTTCAATATTGTCTAACGAAAACTCTGAGTCTATCACATGCTCATGCCTTCGAGACTTGTGTTCTGGTGAAGGAGGAAGACTTTGATTGGTGGGTTCGTACAAGAATGGTTCTTCGCTCATGGTCCATCCACTGTTAATTACACGCCCACTTTGTGTTGATGCCTCCTCGCATATCACCATCGTCTCCAGCGTCTTGGATATTTTTCATTCATCGTTTGGCTGACGTTTTCGACTCGTGTGATTCAAAGGAAGAATTTCATCAGAACCCAAACCATAGTATAAAAGTGTGTGTGCATGACACCAGAGACTACCGGTATATACAACAACAACAACAACAACACAGCGACATCATGGCAGGCCCAATCATGTCCAAATCCAAGCACCAGAATATTTCTATTGCATACCTTGTGTATGCGCTTCTCATTGGAAGATACATCGCCACTCAACCCAAAGGAGATTGGTCCTTCTTCAGCTGGCATCCCTTTTTGATGATTTGCGGATTCATGGGGGCCATGGGGATTGCGGCAGCGACGAAGAAAAAAGGTGGTTACACCAACACGAAATACCACGGCTACTTGTCGTCAGCTGGTTTCGTGTTGGCCTGTGCTGGCATGTACATTATTTACCGCAACAAGGATCTTCATGAACGACCCCATTTTACATCCACGCATGCTTGGATGGGGATTGCTACCATGGTCTGCGCCTTTCTTCCTGCCGTGTTTGGTGTCGTCTTTTTGCATCCAGATTTTGGCATGGACAAGACCAACAAGACTTATCGATTTGCTCACAAATGGTGCTCGCGGACGGCAATCGTGGGAGCCTATGTGACTGGATACTGGGGATTGGCCAAAATGACACAAGATCCATTGGTCTTGGCGACCTATGCTCTTCCACTGATGGTATTGACACCATTCACCTTGCTTTAATTGGCATGGATTTGTTTGGGAACGTACGTATAGAGTCTTTGTTTGGCTGGTGTTTGTATTAAAATCTAGGAAAGATCTTATGAAGAAACCACTACTCTAAGGGTATTCGAACAATACAGTCCAACTGATTGAGTTTGCTGCAAATGCGTGCCCTCACTTTTACAAATGATAGTATATCACGTCTTTGGAAATGCCCGTGGACACAAAGAACCTTGGCAAAAGGTCTCCAGTGAGGTTTGTTTGGAGGGGAAATGATCCTGTTGTGTTGGACCGGCACTTCCAATCCTATAATTTCAAAGCTGCAAAAGTATATAATATATTGGAATTCTCTATCTTGATTCATTTTCTTTACACATTATTTAGTAGGCGACTGATATATTATATATGTATGTATACATCCCATATTTCCCCAGAATAGTCGTCTACCAAACTACTTTTTTTGAATCTATCGGTATCATATTCGGCAATGGTTGCCGATACTTTGGCCTTTTGTTGTCGTTCAGTCTGACATCATACTCATGCAGGCCTCGACTAGATCTCCCCGTGAATCCAAAAGGGCCTCAATGGCGCTACTTCGAGAACCTCCGGTTTGGCTCTGGACCAATTTAATGTCGTTTTCTTCAAACAGTTTCTTCGTTCCTTCGGGTAGTGTACGGTGAGACGACTTGTACTCCCAATGCGGTCCATGAACGACTCCCAGGACGCAAGTCATTGGAAAGGTGATACAATCCCCCTGATTCAAAGAGGTAGTGGTCAAATCATTGGCACAAATGGCGGTCACTTGACCCGTGCTGGAGACCGAAAGAACCTTGGCCCAAAAATGCTCTTGGACGGGCAATCCTAGGTGTTCTCCTCCCTCCGACACCAATCGAACCATGTCTCGGGCTCTAGTTAGCAATGGTTCATCTACATGGGCTTGTGGAAATTGGACATCAAAGGAAGTGTAAGAATCACCGACAGTGCCAGAAATTTGGGAAAAGCTCCGGAGCTTGGTCTTTTTCAAGCCTTGCTGGAAATCTTGCAAATCTGGAAAGGGTGATTGGCCCTTGAGTTGGTAATGGCTACATTCACTAATGATTTCGAGTTCACTCATGACGTGACCACCTCCATCTGTAGTCAAATCGGTTGGATAGTTAAGTTTGAAGAATTGCATTCGATCCTTCAACAAGAGAATTCCCGTGCAAGTCTTGTCTTTGGTTTCCAAGGGAAGAATGCTGGAAGATTTGGATTTTTCTGTTATTGCCTCTTCTTCTGTGAATTCTAGAGACTCTGACGAAGAATCCGTGGATTCACTACCAGAAGTGGATACAGGAGATTCTAATTCGATTGTCATTGTGCTCGTTCCTGGATGGATTTGGATGTTATTCTATCGTATACTTGGTTGGAAGAAATGATGGATGATGATCCGGTTGTTCCGAGTTTGCGTGAAAACTCGAGAACAAAGTGTCTCCAAGTAGTCGGCGGAGTCACAAGCAGTCCTGATTGGCGATTCGATCAGTCCCGTCCCACAGTGACACGTTCTGATTCCACATTCAAGTTTGTACTTCGTACGTCGGACATTACATATGTGCGAAAGAATTTTCAAACCGGTGTCTTGGTTGGTTCCGTGAAACTTCTTTTGATAATTGAAAATTCCAAAATACGAAAGAACGTGTCTTCCATGATAAGTGAAATCGAGGATGCCTGCATCCCCTAAAATCCTACAGCGGTTCAGTAGCGAGTTTTGGCGTCCACACATACAGCCGGCTTCCACCACGTGACAGTAGAAAGTGTACCAGCTCTACGAGTCAAAAATACATCTGGTAACCTCCTTGTGCCAAATGTTGACCAACAGCACAACAAAAGCAAACCATCAGACAACAAACAGACAGCGGTCATCATCATTATCATCATGAGTTCTGAGCCAGAAGAAGAAAAGAAGATTGACGACAGTCAGTACACAAAACCACCCACCATTGATGATGACGACAGTGATGACGATCACAGTTATGTCTCCGAACCAGACGAAGCACAAAAACGGTATGCGGCATTGCGAAATCACCAAATCCGGTTCTCGGACGCCATTGATCCGAATGCGGAACGCGTCTATCAAGTCAAGGAAATTGACATTGTCTTGGGTCGAGGCCGTGGTTTTCAAAACCATTCCGGCAATCGCCGAATGAGACTCATCATTGAAAACTTTAAGAATCGTTACCATTCCATGAATCGAATCGAGAAACGAAAAATGGTCAAGGAAGTCTACGATAAAATCAGTGAAGGCGGAGCAAGGTTCCTCAAGAAGCTTGACAATGAAGAAGCATGGGTGGTGGTTGATCTACCTGTTGCCCTTCAGAAGGTCAGTCATACCATGCGATGCCGCAAAAGTATCCACAAGCGGTTGGATGCCCATGGCCTGGTGCCTCAAGGAGTGGGTGGTCCACAACCGGAATTGCACCCTCATACCGGCATGCCAATGTTGAGTACTAGTTTTGCACCACAAAGGATGGGTCCATTGGGTGCCACTCATCTAGGCGGTATTCCAAGAATTGTCAGTACTGGAACAGCAAGAGATCATCCTCTGGGAGTTGTTCCTCCTTCAGCATTTGCCGCCATGGCTGGAGTTCCATCTGCCATTGCTCCTCGCCCAATGGCGCTTGGAGCAGGCCTATATCCCACTACACCAGGATTATCTTCCCTTGTCGACCTCGAAGCCCAACATTTTGCTGCCCACAGCAGATACCATTCGATTGCTGGCATGACTGCCGAGGCCCGGATGGATTACATGGACAAAATGAGACGACAGCAGATTATCCGAGAAACTCAAATGTACGCTCGAATGGGGGATGCTCTACTCATGAAGTCGGCACCTGGAATGGCATCGGCTCTAGGAGGAACGAGTGCTGCTGGCCTACACCCTTCAACGATGCACGCTGGTTTGCAAGGTGCTGCGCTCCATCCATCTGCAGCTGGACAAGCTTATAGGAAAGTACCCACTACAGCACCACCACCACAAGATTCTTCAAGCCTACAAACTCCTTCTTCAACCCTAGCTGCCTCGACAAAGGGTGAGACTACTGCTGCCAGTAACTAGATTTCTCTTGACTGACGACTCGTGTAATAATCATCGTCTTGGGGTGGGGCTGATTGTTGATGATGTTGCGAAATGGACCATCGAATAGAAAGATAAGGCTCATGTGTAATGATTAGTATGTTACTTTATGTCGGTTCGTTTTTTACTAGTCCTATTATTATTAAAATATTATTATTTTAATTTTATTATTTTAATATTATTAAAATATTACCAATATTCAACCCCAAACAAGCTTGCCAAGCTGACGGTCTGGGGCGCTTGTACATATCGGACATCTTGTGGTTTTGGTCCGTATCGAAAATCTGGAATGGGCTTGCCGTTCATTCTGCCAATCAGTTCGAAATCCCCATCTTTGATTTCAAAAGGAAGAAATGGTAATACGTTTCGAATAATGACCTCATCACCACATTGCAATCTACAATTCTGTCGGTGGATTTTGTCTTCCGGTGAAGATGATGCAGCGTGTGTCTTCTTGGTGGTGGTTTCGTGAATCTTGACATTCCAAACTGCCAACTCCAACAAGGAGGACACCTTTTTCATTTGGTATTTTTGAAGCGTATTGCATTGCAATTGGGATGCTTTCCTGATCCGATCTTTGCTGTTGAACGATTTGCAAATTTCATTGGCTTCATCCATGACAGATTGTTTCCACTCTTCGTTCTCAAGATCCTCCACCAATCGCTGGAGAGAAAGTTGGAGGACGACATGGAGCTTGACTCTTGAGTAAGGAAGAGTGTTCTCAGCAATGTATTCCAAGGATGATTGATAAGGATAGGACTCGTGTCGAGCTGAAAAATACAAGTCAAGAATAGTCGGCTCGCAATTGTTGAGCAACAAATATCCAAGAGGCAAATGTCCTCGGTTATCCATCGCCATAATGTTCGACCGGTTTTGTCCAATCATGTAATTCCAAAGGTCCAAGTTCGAGACTCTTGCCAGCGCAAGCAAATGCAGTGGAGTCATTCCACAAACATCAATTCCATTCACGTCCTCTGCCATCCTTGCTCCACTGCAAAGTATCTCTCCCAATTCTTTGGTGGAGAAGTACGATTGATGGTAACAGAGCTGATGCAAAGGGAGTCCGTCAAATCGACCTTGATAGAGTTCAATAATTTGATCATCGGACCAAGCATATCCTTTTACCAGTTCCTTCAGTCTTTCGCACCCCTCCAGTGCGGTGATTCCGACTGAAGCGTTTGTGGGAAAATAGATGTTGCACAGGCTAAGGCACCTCCCAAACGCCCTGTGTCCGACGGATCGAAGTCTCGATAGTTTCTTCGGCGCCATAATCACCGACTGCAAAGTCTCGCAGGAATGAAATGCTTCTTCTCCAATGCTGATGAGAGATGTAGGTAGCCGGGCGAATCCCAAAGCGAAGCATCTTGCCATGGCTCTATCCTCAATGACTTCAAGACCTTCAGGGAACTCAAAGTGTTCCAAATTCTCACAGTCTTTGAAAGAATATTGCCCAATAGTCCGAATATTTCCAGAAAGTTGGAAGGTTTCTATACTTTGGCAACTCTCAAAGGCACCATTCCCGATATGGACTATCGATGGAAGGAACGCCCTTTTTACACCAATTTCTTGTTGTTGTCCTTGCTGCAGTGCTGTGTGAAGTTTTCGACAGCCACGAAAGGCCTGTTTCTTGATAATTGTGACGGAATATGGTAATAATACTTCCGTCAAGGAGGAGCAGCCACTAAAGACTTCTTCCTCTACCGACCGTAACTTGTTTCCCGTAATGGTTGCCTTTTCCAAATCCAGACAAGCCTGAAAGGCTTTGGGAGCAATTTCCGCCACAGTCTCTGGCGTCTCGATGGTCTTGAGTGCTCGGCACACACCAAATGCCAGCTCACCAATCACACGGAGCTTGGATTGGTCTTGGGCAATCGTCACATCGGTCAAATTGGTGCAGTAATAAAAGGCGGCTTTTCCAACGACTTCCACCGAGTTTGGGATTTCGGCAGTCTTCAAGCTGGTGCACTGCGCAAAGCAATATTCTCCAATGACTCTCACGGACGTTGGAAGGCTGACTTGCACCAGAGTGGAACATTTCCTGATAGCTTCATTTGGTAGTTCCCAAAGGATATTGTCAATTTGAAGATGACCGTTCTGGACATTGATGCCAGAAGGGTATTCTTCGGCCTTCCCTTTCATTGTCATGATGCCTCAGGCACGGATAGTACTAGGCTTTTATCTGCGTTGTATTTTTGTGTTGGGTGGCACTTGGAAAGAGACCGCAGAGTTGTTTGATTGATGACAACGAAGAATAAGTTTCCAAGATGTATTTTTATGTATATAAAAGATGTGACGAAAATGTGGACCATGAAAAAATCGGGATTTCAAAACGGGATTTCAAAACGCAAGGTCAGGAAAGATATTCTGTCGCAAGCGTGTCGCATTCTGACACACTAATAACGACCAATCACTGACGCACTGCAGATCGTTTTCAGAAATCCAACCGCGACGCCACATATATGCGATGAAGAGATCTCAACACAACTTGAGGGCCACCACATAAGCGAGTCATTGTACAACAAAGCAGACACCACAGTCATACAACCAAGGGGATTAGAACGACAGAAAATATCACTACTACGGTTTATCCATGGCGAGTCAGCCACAAGAATTCCCTCCTGGTGTCAACGTCAATGATGGTGGTGTAGCTCAGATTGATGACACCCTCTCGAAACTTCCAGATTCGGCTTTTCGGGTATGTTGGGCGCTCAAAGAAGTCAGTCTCCCATTATCACTCCAGTTTCTTGGCGAGTATTGCTTTGCCCAATGCTGCAACTTGAAACATTTGGCGATACCTAGCTCTGTGGAAGTCATTGAAAAGGCTGCCGTGTTCTATTGTAACAGGCTCGAACAAGTAACTTTTGGACAGGAGCAATCTCGACTTCGCGTCATTGGTGATTACTCCTTTGCCATGTGCTCTTCGCTGAGGAGTATCGAAACACCGGATTCAGTCGAGTATATTGGATTGAAAGCGTTTCGTGCTTGTAGAAGTTTGGGCAGCGTAATAGTCCACGGAGACAAGGTGAAGGTGTTGCGAGAAAAGGTATTTGAGGAATGCGTCAATCTGGCGCATGTAACTTTACCAACCTCGGTAACCCGCATCGCGAAAGGGGCCTTTCAAGGATGCTTCGAACTGCAGATGATAAATCTATCGGAGGGACTGCGAGAAGTTGGGTCATCAGCGTTTAACGGCTGCCAGAAAATGAAAGGCAACGAAATTGCACTTCGTTACGCACCACGACCGCCACCGAAGAAACCACGTATATCACAAAACCCAAAGAAGAAACTTCCTCCTATTGAGGCTAAGGTTGTTGACGGTCGCCTGCTGATGAGTGCCAACATTGTGGAGCTTCCAGACAGGGCACTTAAAAACTGGCGCATGTTGGTGGAAGTTGACTTTCCAAATACAGTCCGAATCATCGGAGAGTTCTGTTTTGCCAATTGTATCAAGTTGGAAACGGTGAGAATACCAGATTCACTGGAAGTCATCCGAAAAGGGGCCTTTCATTCTTGCTGTAGCCTTACGAAATTGATATGGTCGGTGAAACAATCTCGTCTCCGAGTGCTTGGTGAACAAGCGTTTATTTGTTGTAGGAAGATAAAGAAGATTGAAACTCCAGAGGGTGTTGTGGTAATCGGGGATAAAACGTTCAGTGGGTGCACCGATTTGGAGCACTTTGTTATGAATGGATGTCATGGGGAGGTGATTGGAAAAGAAGCCTTTCTTGGCTGTTTGTCTTTAATTACAGCTCAAATTCCATCCATCATACACATACACCAAAAGGCTTTTGAGAGCTGCCCCTCTGTCGAGTTTATCAAGGTGTCCCAGAGGCTTCGAATCATCGGACAAGGGTCGTTCAGAGGCTGCAGAAGTTTGAGAAACTTCAATTTTCCTGAAGGTCTCGAGATCATTGAAAACGAGGCCATGGCAAACTGTACCTCATTGGAGTTTGTGCGCGTGCCCGTTTCTCTTGTGCGGATTGGAACAATGGCGTTTTCATCATGTAGTAGCCTGCTATCGGTTGTGATGCCACCAAAGGAACTATCAAGGCTTGAATCGATTGGAGAAAGGGCTTTCGAAAGCTGCTCAGCTCTTGTCAACATCTCTATCCCAGCAACGACTAGCGTTGCACCTCATGCATTATATGGTTGCCGAAAACTTGAGAGTCTTATTCATTGCTATGGGGCCCAACTCGTTTTTGAAGGTTTTGGAATGCATATGGGTCATTATCGGTCCACTCATCATAGCGAAAGGGATTTGGTGAACTCTTTTACCACCAGGTTTGATCGATTACCACTGCATCAGCTCTGCTACCATCAATCGTACTATGAGACAGAGGAATTGATGGAAAGACTCAAGGGGCAAGAAAAACAAAAGGAATGGAGATCCAAAAGAGAGCCAATTGACATCGCTGGTATGTCACCGCTTCATTTGCTTGCACTGACACGAACAACGAGATACGATATTTGGAAGCACATGCTTGAGCGAGACTTTGGCAATGTCGTGCCTGATGAATTGGGAAATTTTCCTCTTGTGTACTTACTTCGGAACAGATGTCCGATGAGTTTTTTTGAATCCTACTTTTCTATCCTCTACGAACATGATCAGTTTCATCCAACCTTGGAGTGCATTGTTGAACACACTGCCAACTGCTACAGGGACGATCTGCGGTCTATTCTTCGACTCGCTCTCAGGACATGGGTTGGTCAGCTGGGTCATGAGCAATGGAGAAATGCCATACTACATGAAGTTGACAGGATCTGCGATGCAAACTATCAATCTGAGCGGAAGAGACTTGTATCTAATCTTCAGTGGACTCTGCTTCCAAAGCTTACTGAGAAGGAAATCCTTTCCTTGTTGGAGCTTGCTATTTGGAAGGCCAGGATTGTCAAACAAGAAGGCGAGATGACTTCATCTACAGTCGACACGACGTCAATTGCATTCCGACAAGAGAGTCGGTTGCAATGCGGTGATGAGGTGGTCATTCCTCATATTCGACCCTTTCTCGATTTTTCAACAGACGACGATGGCTACGATTAATACGGGTCTGATTATTAGAACGCAATGACAGGACTATCCATTTCTTTCGTAGTGCTGGCATATAGTATAATGATCAAGTGGATCATAGCTCCTAGCTCCAGTATTCTACCACTCTACAGGTATGGTGGTTGGAAATTGATGTCTTTTTCACGGTCCATCTGCAAAGTGGCCCGTCTTCTTTTTGTGCCGTCGTTTTTCCGCCAATTCAGATCAGTCGACCAACTCTCATGCTCGACTCCGTGGATTAAATATTTGTTCTTAGTATTTTGCCTTTACGGCACGCTACAGTATGTCTGCTTTTCGCATCATTTGCAGACCCTACCGGTACTCTACTGTAACCTGTATTGTACATTTAGGAAGTTACACTGTACACGTACACGGTACTACCGGTAGTATTAGTACAAAGATACATATCTGGTTCGTCCCAAACAGCAAAAGTTCGATCACGACAAATTACTATTTGACGGACGAAGGCAGTACGTGTACACGTCAAGGCCACATTTATCGCGTTATAGTTTCAAACATCTGTTTGTTGGAGAATGTTGTTTCACGCCATATTTATCGAAAAGTCGAAAATATTGTACTGCAACATTTTATATGGTACAAAGACTAATATATAGCTGAAGCATCCACTGGTTCATTCCAAAGTACCAGCGCTGTAAAAGATAATCAAAAGACCACAAATTTGAATATATATATGACAATAAGACATGCCAATCTAGTACTGTACTACAATTATAGTAGTAATTAGTTTAAAATGGTTTAAGACGCCGCTGCCCCTTTGTTGCAATGTTCAGTCCAGTGTCATCGCGATACTGCATGCACCACCGAGTATTGCAATAAAAATTATTTTTATTGGCAACAAGGGCTGTTCACATGTCTGACGGATATCGCTTGCTCCCCATATTTGAGCAGGGTGATGGATCACATGACACTGATATTCCAAGCGAGGCTTCCGCTTTGCCTTTCAATCCTTTGGAAATAGTAATCTCCAATCGATGATCTTGTTCTTGAAGTAGGTACGCCAATCCCTAATCCTAAAGGGACCACTTATCTGGGATCTTGCTGATCAGGACGCGCTTACGAGCCTCGACCTGCCCATCCCACCCCCGTCGTCGCACCCAAATGATTCGTTTTAGGTGGCCAAACAAGACTGGAGGGAAACACGCAATCGCAGCAAGCCATGAAATCTTCTGGTTTCGCGTCGCCGATGCAACCTAGTGAGTGACCAATCCACTAGAAACCACAAAGGCAAACACTAGCCTTCCGAAGGATCCCTCGGAAATGTGACAATAAATAAATGCGAAAATGTAGACTCGCCAAAATGTCATAAAAGAGAAAAGAAAAAAAGTGAGATCATGGTTAAGAAAGTAAATGCAATTGATGGGGTGAATTTCCAGGTAAAACTCTTTGATGGGTTGTTCGTGTGTTGTCGCACACTATTATCATACTTCATCTCTTTCAAAGTCGTACCAAGAATGTGCTTTAATTGGCACCTTTTCCTCGATTTACCACTCGGCGACTGTATCGTCGTCCTATTTCCGTCATGCCAGATCCCAAAGCTCCAGTAGAAAGATCCTTCTTCTCTAGCGAAAGCTTGAGCTGTAGCCGTCGGCTGTAGCGCTTTCCAGATTCGGTCCATCCAGATCCCATTCCATCAAAAGGAATATCATTAGTAGCTGCGTTGTCAGATTGCTCGGTTGGTGCTGCAAAAATCTCGCCATCGCTACCATCCTGCTCCAAAGAATCGAAGTCGTCATGAATCAACCCAGCATCAAAAGGCGACTCATCAATGGTACTCAAGTCTTCTCCCTCTGGATCTTCGATAATGACATGAAGGGAAGGTTTGAATTCCTTCTTCTCGTTCACGTCGTCGACTTCTTCTTCTTCTTTCTCCTCCTTTGGATCTTTGATAATGACAAGAAGGGTTGGTTCAAAATGGATCTCCTGTTCAGACATTTTCTCCTTCTGGCCCTTGCCTTGTTTGCCCACTTGGCTCTCTCGGCCTTGGTCATCTTGTTCAAATTTGCCTTCTCACCCAAGATCTCTTCGGCCTTCTTGACCCAAATCTTGGCAAGACAAGTCGATCGTGCATTGGCGATGTCATCGTTGAATCCAGCATCCAACGACGAGTCAATGTGGCTCTCGTCGCCGTCTTCTTCTGGATCTTCGATAATGACAGGTAGCAAAAAAGTGAAGAGTTCATTGGTTCGTTTGGCCCATGTTGCAGCGCAAGTTGGAACCGTAGATGGATTCATTTTGCGGCGCTTGGTTGGTCTGGATGAAATAAGGCAGGAAGTTGCGGTTCGTTTGAGTGACAATGGTGCTTGTTCTTCCATGCAGGGCTCGTTGTTGTCGTCGTCATCCAAATCCTTGGTACAGGAATATTGGAGAGCATGTCATGAAGCACCGTTGGAAGCAGTTGTCGGTGGTTCTCGAGCGCAGTAGCAATGATTTCAGGGTCGACTTTACCATCAATAAATCCAGTATCCATAGACGAGTCAATGTTGCTCAAATCTTCTTCTGCTGGATCTTCGATAATGGTGGCAAGCACGGTAGGTTTGAAATCGATCTTCCAGCGCCGGGCATTCCGTCTCTTGATCTTGCGGTCAATTTGACGAATTAGCTGCCTTCGGGACTTAAGATCTTGCTCGTCGGGAATGAAGTTTCTCCTTCGAGTCTTAGGGGCGAATTGGACTCGGTTTGAAGAGGTTGGTTTGGGTGATCCCCAATCTTGTCTTGAAGGACGAAGAATGGTGCCGTTTCATTGTCGTCTTCATTTTCATTTTTTCATGTTCATTTCATGTTCATTTTTGTTTTCATTTTTGCTTTCGTTTTCGTTTTCGTTTTCATTTTCATTTTCATTTTCATTTTTGTTTTTGTTTTCGTTTTCGTTTTCGTTTTCATTTTCATTTTCATTTTCGTTCGTTGAATAACTTTCAGCAGTTATTGCTGGATCTGATAAACTATAAACATTATCGTTACAATGTTACGATGTTCTTGACTTACGAAGTAGTAGCTATAGTAGACGGTAGTGGAAATCAAATGTATTCTTAGAAAGAGTGTGTTCATCATCACATCGACGGCTTTCGTCAGCGGCCAATTTATCCTTACTACTCACGGACCCTGGGAGTTGCAGGGAGTTTGCATCTGATGCGTGTGACGCGTCGTAACTAGTTATTTATTCCGAATTAAACCGCGCATGCCAAACAAAACAACACCGCACAGTAGAGCGGAGATAACCAAACGACACGAAACGACACGTCTCGTGTTGTTTCGGAATTAAAACCAAACGAAACGAAACCACGCGATTTCGTGTCGTTTCGTTTGGTTTCGTTTCGTTTTGTTTGGTTTCGTTTCGTTTGGTTTCGATATATTCTAAAAATTTGTTCGTTTGGTTTCGATTGGTTTCGATATATTCAAAAATCGTTTGTTTGGTTTCAAATATATAAAACAATCGAAGTGTTGCTGGTTCTGCGTTCTGCGGCTTCCTTTTCGAGGCGAACGATTTTGGGTCGTTCTCCGCGTCACCCACCCCCCCCGGGTCGTATGTAAAAATGTACTGGAAACTTAATTTTGTTAAAACTACAAGACGGCAAACAGACAGACCGCCCCCCTATTATTTGGGAGACGAAATTGAAAAATTAATCAATGGAGAGCGTGCAGCCGTTATAGACCAGGTGCATGCAAACTCGCACTCGCCCCGCACTCGCCCTTCTCATGTCTTGCATTTTTCCATTACTTTGTCAACACATCAGAAAGAAATTGATTTCCCAGAAAGCCCACGAAACACCCAGTTCCACTCCAGCCTTTACGCGACAGCAGCGGTGTTCTCTTTCTGTCACATTGTAGTCTCCATGTTTACAAGAAGTCCAAGCTTCGCCCCATCTTTTGTGTCGCTGAGAAGATGTTTTCACGAAAGTATCTGTCCAAGACAATAGAAGAGGAGGCCGTAGATGCGGTCCCAACTTGATTCTTCCTTCGTTGCGTGTGTTTCACATGGATTATATCTTCCACGCATGCGTTACAAACATGAACATAGGCATGTTGAAGCATTCCAAAAGTCGTAGGTCTCCAATGTGCCGTGTCGGAATCCTCTTTGTTTCTTGCAGGAATCGTAGTCTCCGGTAGTTCACATTGCTTCTTCAACAGCAATCATAGTCGTCTCCCATCAGTTGAGTGTCGGAAAAGAACAGAGCGTTGCTTTGAAAATGAATTCCAATCAAGCTTTGTTGGAGTTTTCCAAAAACCAAAATTCAATCCCATTTTTTTGCCTCCTTTTTTTTTCCCGCCCAATTTTCCCTCCCAATTTTCCCTCCCAGTTTTCCCTCCACCCCACACAACCCACGGACAACACGGTTTCGTTTCAATATAACCCGCAAGAAATAGAATATTCGGCCCGCAACTGCAAGCGGCCACTTCTCGATTATTTCTCGGGAACCTTCCAAGCTAATACTAAAAGCTAATACTTAGTGAAGGAACTTCGGATACAGAAGACTTTGTTTAGTGTCAATTGACTACATTATCTTTCTCATCTGTAGTCTTCCAATAATGTTTAGTGTCCATCAACTACTTCTTTTTTTGCTTTCTCATCGTAGTCTTCAATAATCCGCTGCCACAAATTGTCCTTCTGCATGTCGTCCAAAACAAAGTATTTCATCTCATCCAACAGCTGTTCAGAGCAAACATCCTTGTAATTTTGCTGGAAGACAGAGATTTTAATCTGTCTGTCAGGATGACTAGTATTCCACATGTCGACGTTGGTCCTCATCCTCGTTAGGGATTCTGCCTCGCAACCACTTGGCAGCTTATGACCCATATGGAACGTTTTGTAGTGCATGCGCATCTTTTGACAGTATGTATGAAACCTTGGCAGCAAAACAAGGTCCAGCCAACCAGCTTTTGACGGTTGTGCAAGCAGCGTAGGTGACGACTCCATTTCAGTATCGGTACCCATTGGCTCCTCGTCGTCGCTTGGTACTGCATACCGTTCTTTTCTACTCACTCTAGCTTTTTTTTTCTTTACCCCCACCTGCTTCGGTTTCAGCTTCTGAAGGAGGATCTCAGGTGCCCTTGGCAAAAGTTGCTCCGCGCCCCCATTTCTGTCAAGACCAGATGATAGTCTTTTGTGACGCAAACTTGCAAAGCTGTGTAGATCGTTACCCTTTAATGAACAGAGCTTCCTACCCTTGCCAACCACAACTGGATCGTGGCATCTCTCGACAGGACATGCAACAATGAAAGAGATTTTGTTCGGCATGCTCGGATAACACCAAATTGAATCAAAATTTTGTTTAGCACCTGCAGGAGCGGCAGTGGACTTGTCCGGAGGAGGGGCAGTGGCTTCATCTGGATCACCATCGGTAGCTCCGGAAACAGATCCAGTAGCCTTACCTTCAGGCTCGTAATTTTTCTGATCAACATCTGCATCATCGCCATCAGCTACATCTTCATCTAACTTCTCCTCTGCATTGCTATCCTTAGCCTCAAATTCAGTTGCAACACCAATACCAATACCTGTGTCTCCAACTTCACCTCCACTGCTTTTGTCCTGGTTAGTCAGGGCTGTGTAGGTTTTATCTTTGCATTCCGCACCCTGCAACAACTTCCTTTTCTGCGATCTGGTTTGCATCATTTTCCAAATTCATTAGTGTTTGCCAACGTTTTTTTTTCCACTGCTGCAAAGATTAAATTAGGCAAATGAGGTTTTACTATTTGCAAAAACAAAACTTGTCTTATTGAAAACAATATCAGTTTTATATTTCATAATACATACTTATTGCTACAAAATATACGTTTCTTCACTTCCGTCGAGCGTGCATGTTTGTTTGAGAACTATATAAATCGAAGGACATTCACCAAGACGCTCGACGCTAGGGAACTTCTCCTCCGTGGCGTTCGAAACACCAAAATAGACGTTAAAACTCCGTTCTCAAAATACTCTCACATGAAACAATTTGGTTAAGTAAAACTAAAAAACCGTTGTAGCAATACTCCTACTTTTTCAAGACACGCTTACCAAGGAACGTCTTCAAATGGATATGTCTGCTGTACAACATAATAAGAAAATTATCGTCCCCACATCTCTCATATCTCCAGGATATCTTCTTATACTATGTTATGCAAGCTGTGATAGACAATGAACCTGTTTCGCCGCAGCAGGTGTGTCCATCAATAACTCATGTGAACCAAATCATAATACATGTTTTATTCACAAAACATCATCATTTATTGACAATAAACAAATAGCTTCCATATTTCTTTCATTCCGTTGATTCGAGCGTGCATGGACTATATAAATCGAGCGACATTAATCAAGACGCTCGACGCTAGGGAACCTTTCTTTCATTTTGTTGAAAGGCACGTGCCATAGACGCTCGACACTAGTAGACAAGCTTACCAAGGAACGTCTTCAAATGGATATGTCTGCTGTACAACATAATAAGAAAATTATCGTCCCCACATCTCTCATATCTCCAGGATATCTTCTTATACTATGTTATGCAAGCTGTGATAGACAATGAACCTGTTTCGCCGCAGCAGGTGTGTCCATCAATAACTCATGTGAACCAAATCATAATACATGTTTTATTCACAAAACATCATCATTTATTGACAATAAACAAATAGCTTCCATATTTCTTTCATTCCGTTGATTCGAGCGTGCATGGACTATATAAATCGAGCGACATTAATCAAGACGCTCGACGCTAGGGAACCTTTCTTTCATTTTGTTGAAAGGCACGTGCCATAGACGCTCGACACTAGTAGACAAGCTTACCAAGGAACGTCTTCAAATGGATATGTCTGCTGTACAACATAATAAGAAAATTATCGTCCCCACATCTCTCATATCTCCAGGATATCTTCTTATACTATGTTATGCAAGCTGTGATAGACAATGAACCTGTTTCGCCGCAGCAGGTGTGTCCATCAATAACTCATGTGAACCAAATCATAATACATGTTTTATTCACAAAACATCATCATTTATTGACAATAAACAAATAGCTTCCATATTTCTTTCATTCCGTTGATTCGAGCGTGCATGGACTATATAAATCGAGCGACATTAATCAAGACGCTCGACGCTAGGGAACCTTTCTTTCATTTTGTTGAAAGGCACGTGCCATAGACGCTCGACACTAGTAAACACCAAAATAGACGTTAAAACTCCGTTCTCAAAATACTCTCACATGAAACAATTTGGTTAAGTAAAACTAAAAAACCGTTGTAGCAATACTCCTACTTTTTCAAGACACGCTTACCAAGGAACGTCTTCAAATGGATATGTCTGCTGTACAACATAATAAGAAAATTATCGTCCCCACATCTCTCATATCTCCAGGATATCTTCTTATACTAAATTTACCCAAGGCGCAATCATTTTCAAACTGACATGGTTGGGAAACGCGACAACAAGCCTCCGATCTGTCGCAAGAAATTTCCAGGCAGTATGCGCATCGCCTTCAAACAGATGCTTATGAGAAGGTTCCTGGCATCTAGATGTCCGAGGCACCATAGAGATTTTATTGAGCTTGCAAAACAGGTTCATGCATTTCTTTCAACTGCGAAGCTTGGTTCCGGACAAAACTTCCATTTATCGCCACCCCCATACTCCACCACAGCAAAGTGGGCAAATGGCTGGAAATTTCGGAACTGTAAGTCAATTCTGAACAAGCTATCTGTCAAGTCTATTGATTTTGAATCACACGAAAGTCCTCTGGTCCCACCCAGTAATGACATCTGCAACACCAGATATGCCTTCCAATCACCGTTTGCCCGTCGCGAACATACAAGGACTCAACAGCTCAAAGGCGGCCTGAACAATTCTTCACGAATTCACAGGGGAAGCTTTTACAGTGGTCGTTACATTTTCAATCGGGGGAATGGTGTCGATTTGGGAACTGGTTCTAAGGTACGAAAAATAAAGATCGTAGACACAATGCAATACAAGCATGGTTTCATCGATGTAACCCTACACGATGGTCGCAAAACAACCATTGACTTTCATTGCCAGGATGGTATGTTTCCAAACGAGATGAGGACATTGAATGATTTTTGTCGCCAGCTTGGGGTCATGCGGGAAAGCAATGGGGACAATGTGCGCGAGGTACGGCCTGGCATGATAAAGATTGGTATGGTTTCTATGTGTGGAGGTTTGGATCTAGAGGTTCCCACACTGTCAGCATTGGGTGCACCTGGAATTTGTCTAGTCCAAAAACTGAACGTGGCAGCTAGAAAGGTTTGCTCTCAAATGATGCCTGGACTTTTGGAGGAAATTCAGGAGCGTGCCCATATAAAAGTCCCAAAACCTTTAGGAGGCCACAATGGCCTTTGTTCCATCATGTTTCAGTCAAAGAGCTTACAGAACGAGGCTCATTTTGACCCAAATGACTTATCGAGGTGCTTTGCCAACTGGGCATCGGAGGATGGGAAGGACCATGATGGTTGGTACCTGCTGTTTCCTAATATACGCTATCTTGAGCATGGAGGTGCCACATATGATGGTTTGGCAATTAAATTGCGAGATGGCATAATTGTCAGTTGGGATGGACGTGAACTCCACCACTGCTCCACACGACCATTTGATGACATTTCAACCTGGGGGACCTGGTTCGGTGCATCCAAAAAAGCACTAGGGCATAGATAGAATTCATCAAAGTCTATTTATTACTTTGAAGAGTGTAAAGGGCAATTCTCTTCCTGATATTACTAACCTCGGATTGTTTGTAGTCTAGTTCCGCACCTCTATATATGCGCTCAGCCGCCAAGCACGTAAAAATCCCACAATCATGACCATTGCATTGTTGCGGGGTCATTTTCTTGTCTGTTTCTAGAAGCTTCCATTTCTTCCAACCCCGCATTTTCTTGCCTTTATTCTCTTCATAGTTTTTTCTTATGTACTTCAGCAGAACTTTCAGATACATCATTCTGCTCAAGCCAGCCATAGAATCGTAAACCTGAATTCGCTTCTCTTTCATGTACGCAACAATGAGGAACCAGTGGCATCCGTGGTGATTTACCGGAATAATAAGTTTTTCTAAATCAATCACACAGTCCACTCTGTTTCTTTTCAATGTTCTACTGAACCTTGCCTTCTTGTAGAGGATACCCAATTGACCTCCAGACACCACTTTTTTGAAACGATTCGTCTCTGCATCTCTTGCAACATGGACAATCAGATCAGTAAACAGAACCGGGTCAAGTAAGCAAGTCCTGGAAGGGCTGCTTGACTTTCTGTTCTCTTCAACCCTTAACAAAAATGTCTTGATGATTTCTGCGCTGACCCATTGCCCATCACCAAGTGTTTTTATTGACCCAATGCATAATTTGTCGGGGCCAATTGTTTTGTTGTCATCTTGTTTTTTGTGGCCACGAAAGAACCGATCGTACCTTTTTTTTTCATTTCTTGACAATGGCTTAAGGAAATTAAATGGATCCATGGACAAGTCGTCATCTTTATCCTTCTCATCTTCGTCTTCATCCATGGACAAGTCGTCTTCTTTATCCTTCTCATCTTCGTCTTCATCATCATTATCACCATTCTCATCTTCTTCATCTTCATCGTTGCCGTCAACAACAAAAGAGATCTCACCTAGAGATATAAGATCGTCCCCCTCCTTAACACCCATGACCGCCATGTCTTCGTCCGCTCCCAGCACCACATCTTCAATTCCATCGTCAACAACATCTTTTTCAGCAACACCATTGCAATCATCATTGACAGGCTCAATAGTGATTTCATCTGAATCATCATCAACATCTTCATCGGCATTCTTGACAGGCTTGGTCGTGATTTCATCTGGAACCTTATTGAAAGCGGCCATTGCCCCTTCTTTCATCTCATTTAATGTTTTCTTGATTTTTTTCTTGGCTTCTTCCATACCCTGTTTATTGTTGATATGTTCGGTTCCACATACCTCCAAACGAAAACACGAGATCAGCTTAGAATAGCCAAGATGTCGTATGATTGAATCACCATCGCTCTTGACCAGCGGAATGATTCTGGTGCCATCAAATGCACCAATTCGTCGAACGTGTGTAAACGCATCTACCAACTGATTGTTTTTCAAGACCAAGGGATAAGCGTTCCGAGGCTCAATGCCAACAACAACTGTTTTTACCGTTTCACTTTGCCCCACTTGGGTTTTGTATTCAATGACATCGTTGACACGCATAGGCTCCCACTGCTCCTCCGGAAGCGCGGAATAATCAGTATGTGACACCTCCGAGGTGCCATCTTGTGTCTCTTGTGTATCTTGTGTCCCAGGGTCATCTTTTATCACTAAAGGTTCGTTTTTTTCGACCTGTTCCACCTTCTTTTTAGGTTCCTTCTCTTCACTTTCGTCTTTTTCCACCTGTTCCACCTTCCTTTTAAGTTGATTCTCTTCACTCTCGTCTTTTTCCACCTGTTCCACCTTCTTTTTAAGTTGATTCTCTTCACTCTCGTCTTTTTTCACCGGTTTCAGTTCATTCTCTTCACTTTCGTCTTTTTTCACCGGTTTCAGTTCATTCTCTTCACTTTCGTCTTTTTCCACCTTTTCGTTCTCTTCACTTTCGTCTTTTTCCACCTTTTCATTCTCTTCACTTTCGTCTTTTTCCACCTTTTCATTCTCTTCACTTTCGTCTTTTTCCACCTTTTCCACCTTCTTTTTTGGTTCAGTCTCTCCATTTTCATCTTTTTCCACTTTTGCTTTTATGTCCCCTTGTGATATCGTTGCCTTGACACGTCGTTTCTTGTGCAGTCTTAGTTTTTGCACGCTTGCCTTGCGCCCTTTGACTTTGACTCTCCAACAGTCAATTTTGGCTAAGACAGTTATCCGGAGCATGACCACATTGTTGAAGAACAATGCTGGGTCACATCCAACATCTACAGAAGTTGGCATTCGTCCCTTGGTTGTGTGTATGCCCTCTTGGCTAAACAAAGCCCTCGATTGGCTTCGCGACTTTTGGTATGCCCCAGCAAGAACCGCTACAAGACTATCAGTCGTAGTGAAAATATCACGTTGCTTATCCCTGTGATTCTCCAACATCCTTTCTTCACGCAGGTAGTAATCCAGCTCTAGTCCAAACCAACGTGGATTTGCCGAACGAAAGGCGGCCGAGATTGCCGATTTTCCATTTTCCTTTATAGTATCTTTCTGAAGGAATACAACTAGCTGAAGCAGTGATGCCCAGCATTCTTTTTCTCCTCCGGTAACTTCCATCCATCCCCTTGCATACGGAAGCATTACCACAGGAGAAACCTGTGAACCCATAATATGATGGTACAGCACTGAAACAAGGTGATACGAAAGAAAGACCAATTCTATTTGTCTTGTAATTTCATCCACCGAGTATCTTGGCTCGATTAGTTCCTCATTGCCAATAGTCTCAACGAAATTAATTTGATCCATGAACTTTTTGTCAAAATTTGGCTCCAGTCTCAATTGACCAATGCCCTGTTTCTTGCCGATCGAATACCCATAGAATCTATGGGTAAAGAATTGGTGGGGTGATGAGCAATCGCATAGCAGGGAAAATTCCGACTGTTTATTGAATGAGGCATTTGCGTACTTTCGCTTCGATGATGCCCGTTTCATGATGTCAACGGCAACCTTTTTCCGCCAGCTTGGACAAGGTTTTTGGTCTGAGCTATACATTTCCGTTTGCTCGGGGGGTTGTAACGGTGTGGGCGGATGTGGAAATGTTTGTTGATGATCTGGTTTTGCAAGCAATAACAGTGTGGGCGGATGTGGAAATGGTTGTTGATAATCTGGTTTTGAGCTATACATTTCCGTTCGCGAGGGGGGTTGTAGTAACGGTGTGGGCGGGTGTGGAAATGGTTGGTGAGGCGATGGTGGAAATGGTTGATGATGCGATGGTGCAAATGGTTGGTGATGAGCTGATAACGGATGATGCGATGGTGCAAATGGTTGGTGATGAGCTGATAACGGATGTGGAAATGGTTGGTGATCCGGTGGCCGATCCCGGGGATCGCCGCAGTCGTTACCCCAGTGATGCTGCCAGCTGTTACCCGAGTGATGCTGCCAGCTGTTAATCGATGTTGGGCCAGTGCAATGATACGGTGTTTGTGGATAAAAACCGGGCGTTTGTGGAACAGGGTGATTACCTCCGTCACCATTAGTGTATCCGCACTCATGTTGTGGACGATATTCCGTCATCTTTCCTAGCAACGCTGACTTATCGTGTTATAAATCTGATGTTTCGGAACCAGATGAAGGGAGGATAGAATGGAGGCTGTGGCGTTAAGGTAATGCCCGACCTATTCAAATAAAATAAAATAGACTCTCCCAACGACGCCTGGCGCCGATCACTCCCAGGTCGGGTAATACCCGACATATATCTAATTAATATATTATATAAAACCATTGAACATGCTTGCCCGACATGCGCGACACACTCCTAATTGGGTAATGCCCGACCTATTGAAATAAAATGACTGGTAATGCCCGACATATATTGAATGAATAAATCATATAAGACCATTGCAGTGGCATTGCCCGACATGCGCAACACACTATTAATCTGGTAATGCCCGACCTATTCTGGTGCCGATCACTCATATGGCCGGTAATGCCCGACATATGTAACGGATGTTTTTATTGAATCCGCAGTATCTTGCACGCTTCAACACAAAATCGTGAGTACAATCAGAATAATAAAAGAAATGATCAAATATACGGTGTCCTTACCATCACAATGAGTTCATACTACAACCCTGATGGATACAATCCAAATTTGTACCGTTGGAATGTGTATCCTATGCCACCTACGGCAACACACAACCATCAACCATTTCCATTTCCATTCCCGCACCAAAACCAAAACCACAACCAGCAACTGCAGCAGCAACAGATGATTCACCGCCAGAATCACCCGGCGCCTTACCACAGTACTAGTCATGTCGGGGCATATCCAATTCCACAGGTTGTGGCACCATCCATCACCCGTGTTGCAAACTCCGATCACCCGCAAACAGGAAGCAGTCGTAAAGGGCGGCTTCCGGAGACCAGCACGGTGGATCAGAAACCAGAGAAAAAAAGACGAGCGGTGCACAACTGGCAACCCACCGGACACATTGTCGTCGGGCCAGAGGAGCTCTTTCTTGCAAAGTGTGGTTTCAGCAAAAACACTGGTGGTGGCAAAGTAAGACGTGACGCAAAAGAAAGGATATGGCAAGCAAAATGCCATCAATGCGAATTTCGAAAACGGTTGGTGCCCCTTGGGGAAAGCCGATACAGGGAGGAAGTGACATCGGAAATACCTGATCACACCTGTGGGAGGCGTAAATGCGGCGAAGAATCGTTTCCGGAAGTCGCAACAAACGATGTTCCAGAGTCTACCATCTTTTGCAGACGTGAATATCGAAATTCGGATCGAATAGAAGTTGAATGTGGAGAGGCATTTCATCTGACTGGTGTGGATGCCAACACAGCAAGAACTTTGGAAGCTGCTGCTCCCAAATGCGCGTTATACTTCAAAATGATAAGAGACGAGGCCACAAGAAATGGCTATTGGAATCGAATCAAAAATGGCGAATACACCCAACAAATATGGTCTGCATCCGGAAATCGATTTGAACTTTCACCACATGGCTCCTGGTGGTGGGGAAGCGGTTTGCAAGGTGTTGTTGGTTGTGAAGAAAAAGCGCCGTGGCACAAAGCGGTGCAACAGCTTGCACGAAAAATAGGTATGTGCCAAGATGTGGTCATGATAAATAAAAGCATTATCTATGTCGGGCCCCACACGCAATCAATACAACAATGGCACACTGACCTCCGAGAGACGGGCGATATTGTGGTGCTAGTTGCATTGACACACCACAAAGGTATGGGTGGGACTGGGTTTCTGAAGGACGCACATTCATGCGAGGAAGTGGTCAAGGCGGAGAAAGCTGGGACACCCTGCATTGATTTTGAGGATTCCAAAATATACACAGCAACCTACCAAAATATCGGAGACGCGGTTGTCTTTAGCTGGGAAACCTTTCACCGAGGAATGGGAAACAATCATGAGACAGAGCCTAGGCTACTCCTGGCGTTGAACTATGGAATACAGCTGGCAGACGGTTCCTTGAACGATGTTTGGAACCCGGGATCCACACCATCGGTCTTTCTTTTTGATGAAAAGAAAGCAAAAGGCAAACCTGTGGCCAGACGGGATAGCAGGTTCACCAAGTTAATTCTTGGTAAGATTACCGGTAAAAAGAAGGCGTCGGGGAAGATTTTATACACCCTACAATTTGAGGATGGCGAAACAAAAGCTGTTGATAAAAGGGAGCTGTCCCACATGCGAAACCTTTTCTTTGACTTTCAAAGCGGCGCAGTATCAACAAAAAACTGCATTGCCAAAGAATTCGAGGGTGAAATATATTTTGGTATGCTGCACGGAAAAACAACAGTGGTTGTGGAGAATGGAAAGAACTCTACGCGCTATCATATAGTCTACTCTGATGGGGACACCGAGGAAATGAACGAACCGGACTTTGAAGAAGCACGAGAACTTTGGAGAAGAATAAATGCAAAGAACTAATACTATATTTATTTTTATCCTTGTCGTTATAGATGTTTTACTATGCTTACGATTTGAAATACTTTTGACGCTTTGTTCCAGGGACATAGTATGGTTCATCACTGTCCATGTCGATCGGAGCACCGAATTGTGCCGTACCAAACTGCCAGTTGTCCTCATCGTGACCGTTAGCACATTGTTCATTGCGCTTGTTCAAGTTCTTGCCATATCTAGTCACACGGATAGCCTCTTCAGATTTGGAAGAAACAAATGAATAGATCCATTTGTTGCATGAAAGACCATTGCTGGACTTGAACTTCTCTTGCGCCGACTGGTAGCCGTCGATTTTGCCAATTCTGAAAGTTAACTGCATCGCATCCATCACACTATCACACAGGTCACTCAGGTGATCCGCCTCTGCGGTTTCTTCATTCATACTGTCACCATGGTTTGTAGAAAATACTTTTCTCAGCTGAAAGGTAACCATGGCGCCAACCTGATCCTCCACAATCTTCCAACTTTCGCGTACCAAAGATAACAATGTCAATATTTTAGATTGTCTCTGGTCTTTTGACTCAACCTTTACCTGAACGAGTCGACCAGTTGGTTCTCTTGATTGTAGGGATGTTTGCGCTGCAGATCCGAATTTGAAAACACAGGCATCCTTCGGATCCTTTCCCAAAATAATTCCAATGGCGTGTGCGCCTCGATTTTTCCCCTCCGAAACACCGTAGGAATAAACGTCTCCAACATGGCGCTGGACATCCTTTTTTACACCTGACGCAAGTCGACTACGGCGAAGAAAGACCTGGTGTGAATCAAGTCCCGTTTTTTTGTCATGATTCACTTCGGTGGAGATGTTGTCGTAATAAAGAGACGCAACGCTTCCAGCAGCAATGACAAGTTGATCAGTCACAACCCTAGCAAGATGATCGAGCCCCGTTTGGGTGTCACCGTCGTTATCAATATGCCTGGCTGCAAAACTGGAAGCCGACTCCAAGAATTCTTGACCGATGTGGACTTCGTCGTCCTTCAGTGGAGAGGCAAAAGGAAACAGCGACTTCCGTTTACTCGACACAACCCTTGCATTGTTTTTGACTGGGCTGCGTGTGTCCCTTGGCACCACGAGATTGCCAAGTCCCAGAGGTAGATGAACACGAGAGGCAATGAGGTCCTCTGGACTAATGTCAGTCTTCAGATTGGAAACGTTGGTTGGCATTGTTTTTGAAAATTGGCTACGGCCAAAATTGTGAGCTTCCTTGCCGAAATTATGAAGCTTTTTGGTTTGGGAGGGGCGTTGCCGGCGTGCAAAATTTGAAAATAATCAAAAGGTTCGTGCCAAGATATTGAAAATCACTAGCGTGCTGAAAATCTGGGTATATTTCGCTATGTTGAAACCTTGTTTCGAATTCTTTTTATGTTATTTTTTAAAATCAATTTCTGATGCAGTAAAAACACCACGAAGGTGCAATATGCAGGGTTGATAGTAAATGTAAAATTGAATAGATCACTCACATCCCACTCGTTAAGATCTTGAAGTCGTAGGTCCTCCGTCTGGGTGGCAAATGCTTTAATGTATTCCCACCCTTGACGTCTAGAAACGTCATTGTCGACGTTGTCGGTCACTTTGTCGGCACGACCAGTGATGCTCACACTGCGGAACATCAGCGAGCTTGAACTCATGAGTTTAATGAATTGAGTCATTTCCCCATCTCTTACAACCTGGTAGCCACTCCACTCGGCAAGGTTGGATAGAGATGGACCAATTTTAGCAATTTCAATATCAAGGTTGTTGGTTCGTAGAGTCCCTTTGAAAAGATTTCGGAAGTTGAATGACTCCTTTAAGCTCAAAGTACCAACGTTGTAGGCGCTGTCAGGATCTGTTATTTGAACAAAGTAAGTGACTTCATTTGGCATGGTTGTTTGTTGCGGAAGCAAACCAAAGTCGAAGCAGTTCCGGTTTTTATTTGTACTAGTACCGGTATGTATAGCTAGCATGTTTTTTAGTTGGTTTGGACGAAAAGACGTTGATAACGGTCGCATCATGCATCATTTTGATCAAAAGACGTTGGTAACGGTCAGACATTCATCGCGACGCTCGACACTAGTGAAGTTCTCCCCCAAAAAATGGGAACCACGTGTAAAAAAAATTTCCTTTTTTTAAAAATACGTGAGATCGTTCAATCAAAAGACGTTGAACGGTCGGACATTCATCAAGACGCTCGACACTAGTGAAGTTTTTCACAAAAAAAAATGGAACCACGTGTAAAAAAAACTGGATAAATTTCCATTTTTTTAAAATACGTGGGATCGTGCAATCAAAAGACGTTGAACGGTCGGACATTCATCAAGACGCTCGACACTAGTGAAGTTGTGAAGAGAAACTGGGAAATCATTTCTTGAAAAACCGTTCCAAAAATTTAATTTTTTTGAAAAAGATCTAATCCAGCATGGTTTGATCAAAAGACGTTGGTAACGGTCAAGTACTTATCAAGACGGGTGCCAATGGTGGTTTGGGGTCTGCATCAAGACGGGTGACATTGGACATTGGGAGTAGTCAAACACCAAATTTCTGTCTTGATTAAATGTATATCTGTCTTGTTCCGTGATACAGGAGCAAAATTATAAGGTATATCTAATATTTAGATAGCAAGATTATAAGGTATATCTAATATTTTGATTCATTCTTTGAAAATAGTTGTCTTTGTGGGTCAGTCTTCTGTTTTTTTGTAGGTCTATTATTCGGATGCTTTGGCGAATGTGTTTGTCGGGGAGAGTGGGAACTTGTAGTAAGAGTTCCCATGCCTACTAGGCCAACCGAACCAATTTCACCTTTAGACTGGGATGCCATGCGAGTCATTTCAGTTAAGAGTTTGAGGATCTGCGTCTCAAAGTACTGAGATATCTCCACAGAAACACAGTTTGAGGTAAGGGTCCGGTATGTTTTGAGATGTCTTGAGTACATCTTTTTGTCGCACCTACCACCCAGGAGATACTCAGAGAGAGATGGCTGACAGCGTGTCATCGTCGGTGATTGTTGTGTGACCTCAATAGGACTATCAATAGGACTTCTTGGGGTTGATGCGGAAACTGCATCTGGCTGATTCAGGGTGCCAACTAAAGTGTCTCCTGAGCATTCCGGACCTAGGCATTGTTGCTGGACGTGCAATGGGACTTTAAATGGGTAGGTGGGGGCCAATGATAGCCCACCGCTCTTCAGAATACGTTCAGATATTTGTTGGGCTGTCATAAGGTATTGATCACATTGGAGTGACATTGGGATGTAGTGCTTCGAGCACTGTGGGGGAAAATCCGCATGTGATGGTGGACGCCCAAGTAGACAGTAGATATGTCTACAAACTATGCTGGAACGTTGAAAAAAACCACAAGAACAGGTGAAAACCGCGCCTTGGTCAAATGTAGACTCTGTAATGGTAACAGTTCTGGTGTGTTGAAAGACAGTGAGTCATTATTGAATGATGGCTGACGAACAGCACGGAATCCATACCTTGTCCTTGGAACCACTGGGCGCCAGCTAGTGAATCTTGTCACAGAAGCTCTAATCAAGTTTTCCCTAACATAGAATGTCTGTTCCTTGGAATTAGAGAGGCCAGGATAGTAAATGTAGCAGTTGGACCCTAGGCAATGCTGTTCAACAGCCAGTGATGCTTTGCTCTTGATAATATGCGTCGTCAATTCTTGGAGATTTGCATCCTGGACACTGGTGTTGGTCTGCTGGGACCGTGTTGACGTGGACACTGAACACTTGATACTTTTAACTGTTAGATTGTTGACGTAGGCTATGTCCCGCTGTGCCAATTTCAACGCTGAAACATGAATCTTGTTGCTTGGTTTTGGACCTTGGTCAAGACGCTTGATCGAGGAATTATCGGATTCCACAAAACAGTTGTCTGCTCTGTCCCCATTTGGAACAGCCATGTAATGTCTGAAGGACAGGTACTCCATGGACTTGTTGAAAAAGGTGGTGAGATATTTGCGTGTAAACCTGATGAGATCCTTGGTGACGTTGCCTTCCTTGTCCATGTTGTCCACAAACGTAAGAAGGGCATTCCAGGAGTCCTTTTCTTCTTTGGCTGATTCTATGGAAGAGGTGAATGAATAACACCAATCCCTAATCCTGTTTGCAAATTGGAGGTCAACTTCTGTCTTTGTAGGAGCTCTGATTGAGTAATTTCGATTAACCTGAGGAAAGATACGATTAGTCAGTGATGGTCAAACACAATTTAAAAAGAAACAATTGAGTTACCTTGTGCCATTTACAGAGTCGGATCTGGGCATATGGGTAGTACACTTTTATAATGGCATTAAATGCAGCCATGCACTGGAGGTCTTCGTCAGTCATCATGAGACGCAACTTTGCAACATTCTCTTTTCCAAAAAGAGTAGGCATGGCATCGTCAAAGAGCCAATGGAACACCCATTCGCAAAGAGAGGGAAGATAGGCCGTCATGAGGGGGATGTTTTCGTTGGATGCAGTCCGGCCCACTAAACGGAAGAGCGGGCGTTTCTCTGCATTAGTTCCATGGGTCACATCCATCCCAAGGCATTCTGGGAACATCTCAAAAAATCTATCTTTCGAATGTTAGACAGTGGTAGGTGTGTTAAGCTGAATTGACATGATGCTGTTCTTACCTCCGTTGTTTCTTACTAACAAATGAAACTGCAATCAATGCTTCCCTGCCTGTGTCAAGAGTCAAACCTTCAACAAGAGCTTGAAGGCGTTGTGTATGATATTTTGCAGGGTCAATAAGACCATCTTTTGTTTTTGTCTTCTTTCTCAGCCGGAGCCTGTGCATACTGTCATCAAGTGTGGCAGTGTAAATCACAAAATCCAGATCTGGATGAAAACGAAGCCAGTCAAGAAGCATTTGTCCAGGTGTATTGCGTTCACCATGGGGGTTGAAGGGAGTAAATATACCCCCGAGGCCATTATGCAGAGATTCTTCCAGAATCCGTGTAAAGGCTTTAGTGGGGAGATTGACATCAGTCAAGGTCTGTGTCAATGCCCGGACATGGGTGGTAGGTGTCCCGTGATCGAGCATATTGGATGCTGTTTCTAGAACCTGAAGAGGGAGATCATGACGGGACTTTCTGATTTGGTGCAGGCCCTTGTGGTGATTGGCATGCAGAAAGTTGTGGCCTGCATCCAATCGAAGGTACCAGCGCTTTGTGTGGTGATGAAAATGAACAATGATTTGGAAACGGCAGAGGTCTCCAATATCATGAACACGAGCTGTTGTTGAATCACGCTGGGGCTTGCCATCCTAAAAAGGAGCAGTTGGAGAAGAAAAGGATAGGATTGAAGAGGATGGAAGGAGGAAATGGAGGAGAATAGATTTAGTGATTTAGTTCTTTTTATGAACGGGTGACATCAAGATAGTATGCGGGCGCACTCACCAGTGGTGCATCCTTTTGTCCTGCTCTTTTGGCGCGTGGACAGGAAAACGTGAACCGTGTATTGTTCTTGGTTTTGTTTTTCCTTAACTGGATCACTGAACATGAACACTGTTTGAGGGCATGATTCAAAAGCTTCTTGATGGACGAGCTGCCATTGGCATCATTCAAGTGGTAATTGATGGATGACCTGCCATTGGCAATGGTCACTGTTGGTGGAAACCAGAGGATATGGTCCTTCCCAGTGTTTGCAGATGTGAGAATCAATTGAGAATCAATGAGAGACTGAATGGGAGAAGGACAATCAGCATACCTTATCCTCTGCAGGTTGAAATCTTTCTGAAGGGACAATGACGTGACTCTTTACCTTGGACACGAGGTCGATAGATTCTGGTTCGGTCTGTTGCGGTGTTTTTGACAGTTGGAGAATAATCGAGCGAACTTCCCAGTTACAGTGTTCATTGCGAAGAGCATGAAGCGGTTGCAGATCATTGCGAAGAGCATGAAGCGGTTGCAGATCCAGTGGCATTGTGGTCGACCGAAAAGTGAGGACGGGTGAAATTGAAATAGTAAAAAGTAAACGAGGCGGGCTGGCCAAAGCTACAATGCGCCGGCCAAGGTCTAACGCCAGCCTGTTTTGAAAATGGGGGATTTGAAGGCGTAGATTGGGGTGAGTGTCAAGCATCCGGGTTGCGGGGTGGGTGACGCGGAGCGTCAATATATTATCGAAACCAATCGAAACCAAACGAACAATTTTTTAGAATATATCGAAACCAAACGAAACAAAACCAAACCAAACAAAACGAAACCAAACGAAACGAAACCAAACGAAGCGAAACCAAACGAAACGAAACCAAACGACACGAAACCAAACGACACGAAAATCGTTTGGTTTCGTTTCGTTTGGTTTTATTCCGAAACGACACGAGACGTGTGGTTTCGTGTCGTTTGGAAACCTCCGCTCTGTTCGGTGTTGTTTCGTTTGGCATGCGCGGTTTGATTCGGAATAAATAACTCTACTCTAGTTCCAACGCGTCACACGCCACACGCATCAGATGCAAACTCCCCGCAACTCCCTGGCAATCGTACGCGTCCGTATCAGTACGATGTATCTCGTATCCAACAGCACAGTCACCTTTATTTGTTCCTGGAAGTCAGTAAAACAAGGAATACCATCCAACAGTTTTATATTTTCCAGCAAACACAAAAAGCTCGCTCTCCGGCCATCAAGGAAATCCCCACCACGCCACAGACAGTACTGTATCATGGTTCCCACGAAGCTCCACTGCTTCTTTGCTGCTTTCGCCGCCTTCCTCGCCTTTTCGTCGGAGGCATTTTCTCCGCATTCAAATTCTGTTCGACAGCAGACTCTACTCTTCAGTATCAGTGACGATGAAGCCAAAAACATTGTATGGAGGCATGTGAAAAAGCCATTGCTACGACTTGGTTCGAAAGGGGCCTCTGCCTCGCATGGAAACTCACTCAAACAGCTTTTGGAAGATCATACTGCTGTCAAGGTCAAAGTGAACACCATGCCATATGACGGTAAGAAATTTTTATTTGGACCAAGTTGAGTATGAAATGTAGTCCGCACAAGAAAGATTCTGCACTGTTGCTGATGAAATGATCTTTCGTACCGGTATCAATCTATTCTACATGATGCAAATCTCTCATTTTGATGCCCATTTTTTAATGCCCTTTTTTGGTGCAACACAAAAACAAGGATCCCTACAGAATGCCTATGATGCACTTCGTGACTTGGCGGTGGAGAACGGCGCACCTGAGACGATCGAATTGATTCAGATGAAAGACAGCGACAAGATCGTTCTAATTGGATCACCAGGGATCATTGACCAAGTGAAGGCAGGATCATTTCCACCACCACCACCGCCACCACCCCCTTCGCCGTCATCGTCAGACGAAAGGGAGGAATACTAGTGCCAGTACGGGCGGCTGCGAGACTGAAGGGCTTGTTGCTTTGCGTAGGATTATCCTTCAAACTGTACAAAATTTTACAAGATTATAGTGAAAGTATGACCATGAACGAATATGGAGCTTCGAACGCGATGTGACTGCGATTCATCATCGCTGCGCCAGCAATAATACCACAGTTGCAGCATCATCTAATAACCCTTGTACAAGCCATTCAAAAGGGGGAATACAAGCATTTTTTGGTTAAAACCAGTCTACCGGTAATGCATACTGTAAGCACGTTCTCAACCTAGTATCGTCTCTATCCCCGAAGCTGTAGGAGTTTTGAAACTATTATTTGTTCCTGTCGACGGAGTTGGTCGCCCAATTTGGAAATCCGTTGTTGCCACTGATAAGGTGGCAGCAGGACAGCATAAGGATGATGCTGGACGCCTGGAGGATAATTAGACATTGGCTGATATCCATCCGGCAATGAAGAAGTTCGTGATGGGCCAGCAGTACCGGTAGGCACATCTGATGACGAGCCACTATGTTTCTTTCCCATGATGGCCCATCGAAAGTTCAGTGAGTCTAGTTTTGCTTCCCGTTCTTTCGTCAAACTGTTCTTCATCCCCCGTTGCTTCCTAGAGTACTCGCTTCGTTGATTGAAGACCCAGTTGCTAAGCTTTTTTATCCATCAGTTGCAAAACAAAATGTCAGTAAGATATAAATACTGGAGCGAACACTAAAAGCATATTAGGAATTCTCACCTTGGGATCTGCCGGATATGGGCGTGGGACATGAGAATCCCCATGCTTTGCTTTGAATTCGCAGAGCCTCTTGTATTGGTTGTCCCTTTGGACACAAACGAAACGATTCAATCCGATTTGAAGAGAGTTAGTGAAATCGTATAGACTCTTTTAAAAAATGTAATACTCATTTGGGCGCTTACCATGATGTGTTGGACGGGTGCCATTCAAAGCCTAACTCATTCAACTGCTTTTCCCTAACGTCAGTCAGATTAGTTTTCGTTCCTTTAGTTTTCAACGTTGCTAGGTATCGCTGTTTTTGGACCCATTTACTTAGCTCTATGTTCTTATGACCATGTGGTACATCACAGTTGCCATATTCGATCTTATATTTCACAAGTTGCGCGTAGCGAATGTCCCATGCATCATGTTTCATGTTCCAAGAAAAATCTATGGATTCCAGAAGTTTCTGGCGTTCTGGTAGCAGGGTTCCCTTGGCCCTCGCAGTTCGCTGGCGGTTCACCCAGCCTCCCAAACCTTTCCTTCTGCTATAATTCTGTGGCACGTTGCAGTGGTGATGATCCTTCTTGAACTCTACTAGTTGGTCGAACCTGGCTTGCCATGCAACTGACGGAGAGGATGCTTGCTGGTTCCATTCAAAACCTAGGACGCAACGAGAAGACTATGTGAGTTACTGTGAATCGTAATATGGATGTAAATGCGGAATTGAAGGGCTTACCAATGTCGTTCAGCAGTGTCTCTCTCTCCCAACCCAAAATGTGCTTGTTCATTGCTTCACGCTGTCGATTGACCCATCTCCCAAGCGAAGGGTTACTCTTGAATCGTAGAGGCACACTGCAGTTTCCAAACTTGTTCTTATATTCGATAAGTTGTCTGAATCGATTATTCCATGCTTTATCATGCTTCGACATCGGTGCGAGTCTTTGGATTGCTTGATGACACTTTCTTGTGAGAGCTGAAAACATGGGATCAAAATTTTTCGGGAAGCACCATGTTCAACTGTGAAAAGGTGAAAGGAGACCCGAGGAAAATTCTTTCGGTGGTCGCATGAGCGAATTGCGATATTTTTTGTCGTGGTAACGCGCAGTATTTTCCTGAAGAAACTTCTTTGGCTAGGAAAAGATGCGCCACAACGGAAGACTTCTGCGACTGACTGAATGTCACGAATACACTGAACGCACAATGATTGGACCCATTCGACCCGTGAATGAATTGACAACAAAATACGATTTGTTTTTGTCATGCTGTTCCTAATTTTACAGCAGCGCGTTGGAGACGACAACAACAGCAATGTCTGCTAGGCAGACGACAAATCTTGCTCTGCTAATTTCGATTGCATAGACACAACGAGCGCCTGTGGACAATTAGCAATAACGGGAGACTGTCAATCCAACCCTCTGTGGATGCAAACAAACTGTCCCTTGAGCTGCAGTCACTGTCCAAAAGACTATGGGTATGTATACGAGGTTCGTCATTGTCATTGCTACAAATGATGCAACACTAACTATTTTATTTATGCTTCAACCATCATCCCCTGGACAATCAAGCTTCAAGGCAGTGTCCAGCAGGAGTTGAAAGGCGACCAATCCTTCCCAGTCCAGCCCAATGACGTTGTAGAGTTGCTCGAATCCTCGGAAGAATATATGGAAAACCTAAGAATTGCCAAAGAATTAAAGGAACTATGCAAAGTGGAACACAAGATGTGTGCTGCATGGGCCTTGAATGGAGGTTCTTCCTCTTTCCGTTGTAATTGCTACAGAGTGTGAACGAAACCCTCAGTGTAAGACTCTTCCTTGTCGAGTACGTACGCTTGCAAAAGAAATCGATCTCATTCTCATACCTTTGGCTAGATATGAAACGCAGCTGTGCTCCTGTTTGTAAATCTTGTGAATACTTATCAGTGGAAGGGCGTTGTCCTCTTGATCCGAATGCGCCTACCGCATGGCAGCCACGAGACTTGAATATGATGTTCATAAAGCTCACAAACGAGCCATATCTGAACAAGCACATTGTTGAAACTCTATCATCTCCAGCAACAGATGGTCCATGGATTATAACAATGGAAAATATTGTTACGGAAGTGAGGCTGAACAATTGATTGGGCTTGGTGCTATAGAAGGATACAAGCGTTCTACCAAACACAGGAGTATGTGGAACGAATCTCACTGTGTTCTCTATCTCTGGTTTTACTTCGTCGTGAAGTTGGATGCGCTATTGAATCAGACCCCAGCATTCCCTGCGAGATTGTAGCTCTTGCTTGTTTGGGACAAAGGTTCGACGAAAGATTTTGGCGAAACGGACACGGTTTGGTTTTCTGGTGAACACACCAAACCAACTTCGGTTTTTCTTGCAAGACCCTTCTGGACGACGAAGGATGGAAACAGGAGGCTGTCGTCTGTTCCATTGCCTGCAAAGTCTCTGATAGGCTCGGTAAGTGTCGAGTACCATGTATCGAAGTAACACGATTGCGACTGCACAAACCAAACCGGTAATGATGGTTTCTTGAACTGGTTGTTGTTGAGTGATGGCACTCATTCGAGGTAACTTGGGAAAGCTGATGCTTTTCAAGCTTTCTTGATTGATAAAGGTAGTGATGTAGTTGGTCATGATTGTTGTTGTTGTTGTTGTTGTATTAGTTGATTCAAAGAGGTTCATAATGGAAATTGTGAGGTGTTGCGTTGAGGTGTGGAGTGAAAAACGGGTGGGAGATCGCCAATTTGCCGTGTTTTTAACACGATTGACTCTAGGGCTCCACAGTCCCACTTGGAGAACTTTGATGCGCGATTGTAGCGCGCAAACGTATATTGTAGTCGTATGAATCGATTTATGTGTCACAGACAGAATTGACAAAAATAGTGATGTATCGGCTAACACTGCAATCTACCGACGCCAGAGGACAGCACATAAACTGAACAGCACTCAACAATCAACAAAGAGCTATGGAACAGCAATAAGATAATAAGCTTAAGTATTTGAAATGGGCCTAGTCCTTCTGAACAAATTCTGCGTCAGATATTGGCTGAAATGTTTTTCGAAGCTCTTTTTCGTCTTCTTCACTAAGTGGTTTGTCCTTGTGCTCCTCCTTCCATCTTCTGACAACGTCATTGGCAATCAGAGCCCTAATACTGGTGTACGTGATAGACACAGGTTTGCCTTCATTGTATGCGGCCTTGTCGCTTTCATCGAGAAGTTCTCGAGCGACCGCCTCAACTACCATTGCGTTCATATTTTTGGCTTTCAGACACTTTGCGAAGACGACTCTGCCAGCCATGTATGGAGTTATGTCTACCCCTTGCTGCCTCTGTCGCGCCGAGCCACTGAGACTCTTTCCATGTTGTTTCTCCACGTTTGCAGCATAGTCGCGTTGTCGTCTTGCACTTTCTTTCGCACTCTTATCGCCAAGATTTGCCAGTGTGATATCAAGTTTCTGTTCATATCCTTCCTTGTTTTGTTTTTTCTGTTCCTCCACGTAATTGTAAATATTGAGGCTATGTTTCAATACATTTTCCACTCTTGCAGGACCACGGCTCAGATCCTCTTTGTACTCTCCACTATATCTGGACTCTTTCCCCTCGGCAGATGCAGCAGATGCTTCGGACGCTCTCTGTTCTCTCATAGCGTCCCCGTATGAACTTAGTAGTAGATTAGGTTCATCACACTTGGTGAGAAGCGGAGCTCGAGCAATACCATACGAGCTCACATTTTGTTCGTTCTTGCCGGTTCTCTTGCACAATCTTGCCGTTTTCACGCTCCGTTCGATCTCTTCCATTGTCGAAGGAAGCGGAGCATAGAAGTTCATATAAAAAATTAGATCATCCCAACCCTGCTCAGTCGTTGGGTTCCAAAAATCTGCGCCGTTTGATATCTTACATAGGATATCATGAAGTCGTTCAAAGTGCACTGTATCAAGACAATCCGATTTTCCATATTCAATCAAGAACCTTGCAAACGCCTCAAGATCAATTGTTTTATTATGGTGCATAGAAGACATAAACAATTTAGCCTCTTGGCCTTCCACTAAATCTTGAGCAGTAAGACCATCTTCATCGCACACTAGCATCAGATATTTTGCAACAATAGTTGCTGTTGGTTTTTCACTGAAGCATCCAAGAAACAAGAGTTCATTGCAAAAGTGTTGGTTGTGCTTGTGAAGCGATATCTCATACAGCTTAAGGAATTTTCTAGCACGATCAGTCTGGTATTTGGTGTCCAAGCCTTCACAGTCCCTCATTGCTTGCCAAAAGGAAGGAAGCTTTGCAGTTTGTGGGGATTGAGCGATGTACTGTGCTCCTTTTTCCACCTCCTGTTTAAACTCCTTCAACTCGATAGTCTTTAAGAAGTAGCGAACCAGGTGATGGTGAGCTAGGAAACCGGTTCGTCCAATATTCTCGTCCAGGGCATGATTGAATTCCATGTGATTGTTAAAAAAGCTCTTGTCAAAATCGAACAAAAATGCCAAATCACCCTTGATCACTGGCTCTTTTGCCAAGGAAAGAAAATTACTGCCACACTTATTCTTCTTCGAGTCGGTTTTTTCCACATTGCAAATGGCGCTGACAAAGTAGACAAGGACATCGAGATACTTGTGAATGTACCTTGCAGCTTCTCCAACTGTCTTCCACCTCGTCAAAATGGGTTCCTGCATCAATCGAAGCAAATCCTTTGGCACCGCTTTCTTGTCGGGAAATTTCCCATGGTATGAAGCTTTGAGAAGATCAAAGTATTCGTCTTTGTCAGAAAATTCTCTTTGAAAGTAAGCATAGGCATGGAGTAGTTGCATAACATTGCGTCTTTCAAGCCCGCCTTGACCAAAGATATTTTCAATTGCAGTTCGAAGATTGGTCTGGTCATTGTGAGAGGTGCATGGACAGTGGATGTATTCAGCATTGCTAGCCAAACAAACTCTCACCAGCTGTTCCTTCATCTTCGCGTTTGTGAATCCACCGCCGCTATCGCTTCCTCCACCTTTGATGATGTTATTCAGTTGGATATGCTTATCATCACCAAAGACATACCTTGACATCGAATGATAGACAGCATCTGCACATGCTACCGCGTCCTCTCCAGAACCATCGAAATCAAGGTCGATTGTGTCAATTATCCCATCTTCTTCAGAGTAATAGCAGATTTTCTTTATCAAACTACCGCCGCCTTTGTCTGCTCCAAGGAAAAGCGCTTTGGCTTGCATCATTCGGGCGCCTTGACGGATGACATTGTGTGCTGCTGCTCTTTGCGCATATCTGTTGCCTGTGGTTCGAGATGGCATCATTTTGAAGATCTGAAGGTGGCTCATAGTAGATGCTTCCTGATCTTCGAAGTCAACAAGCTTGAGGATGGTTGCAAAAATAATTGCAGCCGAAAAAAAGATTTGCTCAAAAGCAACACCAGGGACCTGAACACACAGACCAACAACTGCTCCGAGAAAGAACTTCATTTGCTCATCCAAGACGCAGATTTTCCTCTTGCTTGCCTTCCGGATCGCTTCGTACAGTTTCTCTGTCCGCTTGTAATGATTCAATTTCTGCTTGGAAACGAGTTTGTAGTTGTTTGGGCATGGTACCCGCTCCCCGTCAATCAAGAGTGTGGTTCTCATTCGTCTGTTGTTCTTATTTTTCTTCTTCTTTCCCAGGCTCGGGCTGTTATAGAGGATCCCCCTTGGCTTGGTTTGGTCGGTTTCACTCAAATGATTTTCCGCATCTTCTTCTGGTGCCGTGCTTCTTGCGTATTGCTTTGGAATCTCATCGGAGTCATAGTACTGCTTGAAGCTATCTCGGATGACGGCAATGTTTGACTGGTCAAAAGATGGTATGCCCTTCTCTGTGCCCAGTTGTTCACTAAGGGACGGCATCTTTGCTTCTGGTGGACCAATCAAGACGAATGAGTGCGTGGAGCCTTGGATTGTGGTGTTGATCTTGAAGTCAAAGCCATCAGCAAAAATTTTAAGCATCCCGAATATCTTCTTCTTTGTTTGCATTTTACCGTTCTTGTTAGGTGCCACAAGTCCGGAAGCAACGAGAACATCCAAACACTCTTTCTGGTCCAATCCCAGTATTTCATGGAATGTTCCGATGCTTTCATGAACCTTGCTTTCTTCCATTTCACGGTGGAACAACTGAAACCAGTGACGCGACGACAAGGATTTGTTGAGAGCAATCAAGCTTCCCGCCAGAACATCAAATGGGGTCTTTGGTGATTCAAGGTTGGCCTCTTGTAGGCATGGGAGCTTGAATAAGTTAATGTCTAGACAGGTACTTTCGTGTCCAGGTTGATCAGTTCTGGTACTGCTTTCTGTTGTGTCTTCGTTTGGCTGCTCACTCATCGATGGTTCATCGTCATTCGCATCACCATTATTACCATCATCACCATCATTGTACGACCATTCATCGTCTTCGTCTAGTACATACTGGTTGAGCACACCAGGTGGAAGGCTGTCTAGTGAGATTTCATCAGCATCGTTTCTGTTATGATTATCTTGAGCTCTATCGCCGTTGCCAGCACAAGGGTGCTTGCTCTTCAATCTTTTCTGTTGCCTCATGCTGCGGAATGATATATTTTGAGATAAAAGGGGGAGTGCATCCCAGCATTCCGTGACGTGACCATGGTCGTGTGGACACGATGGACGAAGTTTGGATGCGATGGATCATGTGTTTCCAGTTTCAGCTATTTCAAATGAATTTGATTTCCGTTGGACAATAAGTAGTTTGAAATCGGCAGGACAAGCTACTATAAATAGGGTGACATTGATGTACTAAGTAATGCTATTTTTTTCGGAGGTTCGCAGAAAAACTTGAATTAACACTCCCTCCGAATGCGAACGCGAACAATTTTTATCCATCTACATCCTTAAACGCAATGGTCTCAGTTCGACCCCTTTCACCGAATCAAATTGACTGGCAACATTCAATCTCAATTCAGCACATGCCAATTGACCGAGAAATGATGTAGCCAGGAAATTCTGATTCTACGTAAATATGTCTAAGTGGGACTGTGGAGCGCTAGACTCCTCGTTTGGTGGTCTCGGTGGATATGCGGTGTTTTGTACTGTAGGATGGATTGTTTTGATGTCATGATGGATTCGGGACGCTGATTGTAAAGTGTTGGAAGGTCAGACCATTGTCGATCATATATATATATATGACGAAAGATGTCGACTGCATCTTCATTATCGTGCGGTGGGTCATTGATAGGTCGGTCGGATCGTTGAAAGGAGTACGAGTATGTGTATTTTTAAAAATATGCATTACCGCAGTCGGAGTGGCTTTGATTTGTTTTCAGTTTCGACTTTTCCAGAACTATTTTTCGGTTTTTTTTTCAATTTCAAAAATGTTGCCTGCGAGCCGACCCGTTCGAGTCATTCATCCAAAATGCATGACGACGAATAATGCATGCGACTAATGTAATGTGTACCTGGTAATCAGCCCATCGCATCGACCTTTATATATTGCAGTCTCACTGTAGAACATTGCAAGAAATTTCTACCTACGATGAATTCACATGCCTTTAAGAGGAGATTACCGATACAGCTGGCGATACACCACTGTCCACAAACATGGCCAATGTCAAGAACAACAACCACAACTTCTTCGCCTGTTGTTTGGATTTATTCCAAGAGACACTTAACGACGAGTCGTCGAATCAACAATCCCTTTCGAGTGCTTGGCTTGCCACCCAATGCATCCTTTGAGACCGTCAAGAAGACCTTTATCCAATTGGCAATGCAGCATCACCCTGATACCTCTAATACTACTACTACTACTACTTCATCATCGTCACCAGCATCCTCCTCTTCTGAGACATCCACCAACGAATCATCATCATCATCATCATCATCATCTGACAAATTTGTAGCCATTCGAGCTGCTTTTGAACAAATTCGCAAGGAACATGATCGACGCCAGTTTCACAACAAGCCACCCCGAGATCATGATGATGATGATGATGGGGATTTGTTGGAGCATACGGAAGAAGACTTTTTGGATTGGTTCCGCGATTTGACAGGTGTTCGATTAACTTCCGATCAGCGACGAGAAATGGTCCACTTGTATTGGAAACAACACAAACGCAATGGAGGTAGACACAGCCACGGTCATTCGTGGGACCTTGCCCGACGTTTGGTGTCCTTGCAAGACGTATTTTTGCGGAATCGTGGAAAGCGAAACCCAGCAATGAACACTGAGGAGACTGCTGCTAATGCCTTTTCCACTGGACCCAAACTGCGGAGGAAGCGTCCAACGAGACGGTAGTTTCTAGTTTTGTATGCTTCGCGATTGCATACCATGGTCTAGCCAGCTTTTGAACGACAGTGTAATCTTAAAATTTGGATGGCAAAAGGAAACACTCATAGTAGTTACAGTAGTATGTACAGAATTAAAAGAATGATGGTGCGCCTTCCACTCGCCTCTTCTGTTCTATTTTCAATAGTTATGACATGTTGATCTTGGCCTTGCTAAAGTCCATTTCGGGATGCGCTTTCTTGAAATTGTCAATGGCATCCATCTTGGTTTGTTCGTCACTGGTCGGAAGTCCCATGGCCTTTTGTCGCTGGTCAAACATCATCTTTTCGACAGTCTTGCGGGTTTCTCCGTCCAGATCACCTAGTGACGAGTTTTCGGGTGAGATCTTTTTGACATCAATCTTCTTGTGACCCTGACAAAGGCTGTCCCACCATTCCATTTGATTGGACTTTTGCAAGTTAATCACGAGACGATTGCCATCTTCGACCGTCCAAAAGGAATCGTCGACAATGGCAGTTTTGGTCAAGGGAGCATTGATGATCCATTCTCCCTTGTCTTTCTTCAAACCAACCTTGAGACTGGTTCTCGCAATGGTCACGTTCAAATCTTTGCCCCGCGTGTTGTCCGGCAATGGAACCGTGACGGAAACTTCCGCCAAGGTTTGAGTCCACACGTACTTTCCTGGCTCGGTACCACCGTTGCCCAGTCCTGGTGTGTCATCTTCCTTTGCCTCTTCTGGGGCAGCAGCAGCAGCTTTCTTGGCTGGTTCAGCAGCAGCAGCAGCAGGTTCACTACTAGATTGTGGCATGGAAGCAGTAGGTGCTGGAGTCGAAGACGATGAAGAAGAAATATCAAACCCTCCATCGTTTCCCATTTCCACGATTCCGGGCTCAGCCTTTTTGGCGTCTGCGGCAGCTTTTCGTGCGGCTTCCGCCGCCAATTGCATAGGATTCACCGCATTGGCTTCTCGTTCCGCCTTTTTCTTGGCCTCAGCGTCTTCCTTTTTCTTCTTTTTGGCAGCGGCAATAGCAGCCTTTTTGTCTTGCTCCTCTTGGTACAATTTGGCATGTTTGTTCAAGACTTGGTTCACCTTGGCAATGGCGGCGGCAGTGCCATTTTCGGCACCAGGAGGTCCCGAGAAGAAATCAGTCTTTCGTCGCACTAAAAAAAGTGTAAAACGAGAGCAAAAAGAAAAATTTGGTGTGAGCCATATTGCCAAGAGTTCAAACAGCAATTCCAGTCTCAAAAAACGTCGCGTCTCGGGCCATTCATTCATCCGTCAAAACCCAGAGGAAAACGAAATCAGTTACATTGAAAACTTCTCAACACTGTATTCTCTTGGAATACTTTAGTCCTATCGATCCATGAGTTTTTGTTGTAATCATCATCTTCGTTCCCCTCTTGGTGGTTGAAGTGGCCCGAATCCAAATATTATATACACTACACACTCTACACTCTCCATCATATGGCATTAGCAACAACAACAACTCAAGTACTTACAGAAACTAAAGACAGTGTCTAGCATGGGTTCAATCCCTCTTGCTGTATCAGAGACGTGCATATACATTGCATCGAATCGTTCATCGTCCACAAAGTTGGTCATTGTGTGTGTTGTTGGTGTGATTGGTGTTTTTGTCGTCGTTTTGTTTTTGTGCCTGTCATCGTCATCGTTTCCATTTATTTTAGGGTCCATTTTGACTGTTGACGGGAGGACGTCACCAAAATTTGGAAGGAGATCGAAAATCCAAAAAATCCATCCTCCAAACTCAAAACCTCACCATGTATATATTCAATACATTCATCCATCATCGCCATATATAACACATTGTACATACATCAAAAGAGGTTCCATCATCAGTATCAGTATCATCATGGTACTCTTCAAGAATCTGGGTCTGATAGGCCCACCTGGAAGCGGCAAGGGAAGTTATGGCCGTCATTTGGCCAAAGCCTTGCAAATTCCAGTAGTGTCCATGAGTGACGTCTTGCGAGAACAACTGCCAGATCTTAATCTGGGAGATGGGAAACTCATTGATGACGAGGTCGTGAGCAATGCTTTGTTGGAATCCCTGAAAGACAAGAACAATGGTACTACGAATGGAACTGGATACCTACTCGATGGCTTTCCTCGAACCCTCAAACAGATCCATGTCATGAAGGACAGCTTTCCGCCACAATAACAGATTCAGGCCATGTTACAACTCAGTGTTCCCGATAAAGTATGCAAGACCAAATTGCTGGGTCGTCGATTTTGCAATCTATGCAACCAGAACTTTTCCATCAATGGTGTTGACTTTGACAACTTTTACCTGCCGCCGAGTCAACCACAAAATTGTCATCGTCCTTGTCACCCCGACCAGAATTGGGTCATTCGAGAGGATGATACCGAAGAAGTCGTGGAGGAACGATTGAAAATCTATCACAATCACATGGATCCCATTGTCCAACACTTTCAACAGAAGGATGCTCTGTTGCAACTGACACCTTACAATGGCTATGACGATATTCCATTTTTGCAATCGACGGTACAAGAATGGTTGGATCATCGACTTGATACCCACCAACGTACAATATAGTGACAATCATTGGGGGAAGGATATTCTTTTGATAGACTGTGTGAGCAATAAAGCATGATGATGTATGGAAACAAGAGTGGTGGTTGCATGGTGGGAATAATGGAATAATGGGGGAGGAATCCATATCGTATGCTTCATCGATATTCCAGCAATACAAAAGGAAAAAAGTTGGGACACCATAGGCTTATGCTGGAAACTGTACAATAGGTAATATCAAGTCTATTGTAAAATAGTATTGTATTTTATGCGATCGATTCAATATATATACTAATGTCTTATCGTTTTGTACAAAAGACGAAGCAGTCTGATTATGATTTTACTCGGCATCATCGTATTGAACTGGAATTTCGGCAGCCTCTTCCGCTACTTTGAGAAAGTCAGACATAGCTGATTGGACCACCAAGTACTCTTCGCTCAGTTGCATTTGAGGAATCTTTCGCCCTCGGAATCCAAGCGATGCGGTTCCGTCAATCTTTTCAATGCTGGAAACATAGGCCTTGTAGACCTTTTCGATTTCGGCTGCCTTGGGACCATCTTCCGCTCCCCGGACAAGTGTAAAACAGTATTTTCGGGAATCTCCAAAGGGTGGGGTTCTCAAGAATTCCTTGACGCCCGCAAAATCGTTGGATTCGGCCACGGTTTGCAGCTTGGGGAGTTGTTTTTGGGCACGCTTGATGTTGCGAAGAGCACTGGCACTGGCAAGCTTGCTGGTTACGTCAGCGTTGGCGGGCTCGGTGGGCATGAGGAGAGTGTTTCCAATAACTCCTGCAACTAGGCCACTGACAAAGGTTCCTCGCGACATGGAATCCAATTGGGTGGATGATTTTGTTTGTGCTGCTGGTTGAGATGCAGGGGTCCAAGCATTGGAGAATGCAAGCACGGAAAAGAGTAGGAATATCGTAGACTTCATCGTATTTTATTGTGTTCTTGAAGCAACTATTTTGTGTTTGTGATGATGATGAGTCAGAAGGGTGTGAGACAACTCTTTGTTATTTTCATGTGATGATGGTTTTGAAACATCATCGGCAGTTTGGGCTGAGTCATGTCGATGTAATCAAATAGCAACGACATTGATGCGACAGCACAGTGTTGTCAATGCTGACGCGCCCGGTGTGAAAATGCTGCCAAGTCATCAGTCAGTCAACTGTGTCGATCTTATTCTGCAATAACGCATAACCAAATCAACAATAATAACACCACTTGACCAAGAGATCATTATAAGCCTCTTGGATTGACACAATCAGCTCAACAACCACGAACTGATAATAGACACACAATGGTCACCTTTAATACAACCAAAAGACGGCATCTTGTCACAACATTTGTGACCACCGCCTTGGTGATTTCAACCTCCACCACTAGAACCTTTGGCTTGACACCAAACTCTTCCTCCAACCGAATACCCAAAAACAATGACGGATTGCAATATAAGGATCGAGAATCTAATTATTATGATAATAACTCCTACGAAGTGTCGGAAGAGAAGGATGCCAATGGAATGTTCTTGGCGGAAGAAAATTATGAATGGATGTTCGATGAAGAGGCTGCGGCTGCGGCTGGTGATGCTCCAGTGGACGCTGAAGCGACGGTGGAAGCTGTCATGAATAGCATTGCTGCAGAAGGGGATTTGTTATCGCCAGACTGGGAAGAAGAAGTAGAGCGTGCCTTTCAAGAAAGATATGTAGAAACCTACAGCACCGACGGTACAACGTATTCGGATACGATGGAAATGGAAGAAGAAATGGAGGAAGATGCCGAATTGCATGTAGATGAAGATGCAGATGATGAAATATATTATGAAGACGAGTTTGAAAATGATGTCATATCGAATGTACCATCCTTTGAAATATTGAAGGAGTGGACTGAGGAGTACATTGAACTCATTGATCTTGCCGGTGGAGGTATGACGCGAGTATCGGTGGGAATGCAGCATACGATGCACGATGCTTTTGTCTTCACTAGCCCAAAGGTTGGTCCTATTGGAAAGTTGGACTTTGTTAATCTGATGGAGTACTACAATGACAATGGACTAGACTTGGCATCAGCAGTCCCAGATCTTTCCGTTTCGTATGACGGTTGGCACCAGGATCCAGATGATCCATGGAGGTAAGAGACATGACTTGTCGTGTCCTTGAAGGCGTTTCAAAAGTTGTCACTTGCTCATGTTTTTAAAAATACATATATTAGAATATGGGTCTTTGCACGATATTCGGGAACCCACTTGGGCAGTGTCAGCATTCCAAATTCGGGTCTCAAGTTGGCCGCACCCAAAAGGAATGAACCTCCGGTGACATTTACCACGGGACCGCAAGTGGAATCTTTCTTGTGGACACCCGACAAGCAGCTTTTGTGGCAAACCATGGGATATGTCGGTGATGCCTACACGGGGTCCAATAAGGGATTTGGTGGTTTGGATGGCCTCTTGGTGAGTTTGGGATTGCCCTACCTCTACTTGGAGGCAACGAATCCAGTCAACAAGGTTGCCAACTGGTTCTCACAATTTCGAGGGGACAGTGCACCCAAGACAGTGTCATCCTACAGCCGACTGCCTCAATGGTGGCACGAGCGTAAAGCTTACGATTGGAATGTACAACGATAATAATGTGAATAAGAATGATTGTTATGTGGAAGCAGCATAGGTCATACGACGGTACAACCGCAAAAGATTGCAGCGCTCTATAGTTTTTTTTGTTCGATGAATATTGCGATACACCTATATTCTGTTTTTCCTTTCATTCCTTCGCTCACTTGTGTGCTTGACACTATCTTGCTCTATTTCTATTACTTCATTATTTCTTGACAAACCACGAACTCAATGTCATTTGCCTTGTAGCGCTTTTGCTCTTTTTTTTGGGATCGGCTTCGTCTTCCATTTCTTCGAGTGCTCGCTTCTTGCCGGAATTCTTGTTGGCAACGGGAGACTCTGGAAAAGATTCCAAACTGGATGGTGCTTCCGAGCTAAAATGTGACAGGATGCAATCCTCTTGTTGCTCCTCGTCATTGTCTTCTTTCGAAGGTTCTGCATCCTTCTTGGCCTTTCGAACGTTGGAAATGTTGGGCGTCTTGGTCGACAAATTTTCTTCTTCTTTCTTCTCTTCGCTAGTAGTAGATTTCTTTTGGTTCTGTTGGTCCAAAACGCCTTGACGGAATCGATTTCCGCGACTGTTAATGTCGTTGATGGGAGATGTTGGACGGGGAGATTGAATTTCCCCATCATGCGGAGTGACTTTCGACTTGGAAGGTGGTGAAGAAGTTTCGGGTGTGGCCGTGTCATTTGGTGACGTTGTCTGGGTTCCATGTTTCGGTACAGCATGCTTCTCTTTCTTGGGAGAGTTTGGTGGGTCCGACAAATATTCATCATCGTTCTCCTTTTTCGTTTCCATTTTCTGCTTCTTGGCACTTGGTTCCTTCACGGGAATAGACTCGACATTGAGCTGGGCCAGGTTCGGAAGGGATTGGACCCTTTGCGCAATTACTTCTTGAAAGAGCCTTGATGTAGTCTTTTTCGTTTTCTTCGTTTTCCTACCTGGTGACCCCGACGTTCCCTTAGCGGACGACCTTGGTGACGAAGAGTCAGGGTCACTTACGTCGACCTCCATAAAGCTGTGTGTCTGTGCCACCAGTGCTGCTTCGCTAAAGTCTTTTTGGGACATGTTCTTTCGTGGGTGTTGTGGCCCAAGTCTTGGCTTCTCCTCTCCATCTTCCTTCTTTTCCTCCGTTGCAACAGTCTCTTTCACACCATTCCTGACATTATTGCTCTTTTCGTCGTCAAAAACGAGTCGCTTGCGACCAGTCACTGCTGGGTCGTCCAATGGATGGACGTGGGTATCCCCATCTTCCATGTTGATCCATGGGTGGTCACAGGCTTGTCGCACGGAACACCGTCGCTTGGGGTCCATTCGCAGCAAATGTTGCACCAAATCCTTGGCCTGTGGCATGGATTTCCACAGCTCCGCATCCTCGACGGTATCGAATTGTAGCTTTTCATATGGATCTTCATTGTCATTTTCGGTATCCATAAAGTCAATCATTCCAAAAGGTGGCTTTCCCGTCAGCAAGATGTACAGTATGACTCCCAAAGACCACATGTCGGCCGGCTTGCCGTATCGTCCTTGTCCCGTCACGGTATTTCGCCTCATGAGAACTTCGGGTGCAAAGTATTGTGGTGTGCCGCAAAAGGTCTTGAGACCATCACTATTGACAATCTTGGCCAAACCAAAGTCTGCGACCTTGACATCCGTTGGTGATGCACAAAGTATATTCTCGGGCTTTAGATCACGGTGCACAATATGGCACGTCTCGTGTAAGTAATGAACCGCACTAAGTAATCGTCGCATGGCCCTTCGAGCATCCATTTCGGTGTACCGTTCTTGTTGGACAATCCGATCAAAGAGATCGCCGCCAGCCACTAGCTCCATGACCAAATACATGGCCACGCCCGACTGCACAAAGACATCTACCAACTGTACAATGTAGGGGTGATCCAGCGTCCGCATGAGGCTCACTTCTTCTTCCATTTGCTTGCTGTTGAGTTGACGTCGTAGCGAAATCACCTTGACGGCAAATTCCTTGCCCGTTTGTCGGTGAATGGCCCGACGAACTTGCCCGGAAGTACCATCCCCAATCTTTTCTCGAAGCTCGTAAAGAGTTTCGATTCGTCGTACATGAGCCGGCGGCGATGTTGTTGCAATGCTGCCTAAGCTGTTGGTTCGATGCCGGTAGTTCATGACACGCGGATTCACATAGGCTCGCCGCTGTGTTTTGGATGGTTGGACAAAGATGAATGTAAAATGCTGAAGGATTGCTTCCAGTAAGCGAGGGTTCTTTACGCGCTTGCGCAGTGTGGCAGCATTTACCAAACAGATTTCATCGCCAGAGTGCAAGAGACGTTGTTCGCCGGATTTCAGGACTGTGGATTGATTGATCACCGTTCCGTTTCGAGATTGATCTTCCAGATATATTTGATTTGGTTCCGTACCGACTCCAGCTTCGCAAAAGATGCGACAATGCCTGTGACTAATCATGGAATGCGCATGCTCCATGTGGCCGAGTTGACTTTTGGACCACTTTTTGCCGACTTTTGGCTTGTGCAATCCTATATCTGATTTACCTCCTCGGCCTGCCCAGTACTCCATTTGATCCGGCATGAAATCTTTAGGCGGCATCTTGCTTCCAGAAGGTACTAATCGGCCCCAGGGAATTATCGGAGGTGGAGTAAGGGGGGAATTGGCGCTGGTTGGTGGAATAAGATTGGAGGATTCATCAGGAGGGGTTAGTATATCTTGTGTTTGAGTCATTGTTTGCGTCATTTGGGATTCCTGTTGGGTCTCTGTCTGTTGTGATTCCTGGCATTCAAAGAGAGGCATTGAGTTAGAAGGCGACGCGCTATAATAGTCCTGGGAAAAGGTTTGACGAATGCTCCGTTTGAATTTTGATTTTCAAACTTGCATGCCAAGTTCGAAAAAATCTCACCTCAAAATCCATCTCGTCGGTGATTCCAACTGATTCTTGAGATTGCAACATTTCCTGTCGTGGTGGCATTCCTCAGATTGTTGTGCAATATAATTTGTGAATTGGTTCTATCTATGTTTCATAATATAAAATCAAGTTTCGATCCCGAAAGTTTTCCGAAGTCCAAATCGTGAGGCTGATTTGATTTTGTTTTCCTGTCTTTTATTTCTCCCAACCCTCCGTTGAAGGATGGCGCGAGCCAGCGGATCCATCACATAAATGACTTCTGGAGCATTGGACGCGAGCCGGAACTTTTGAATAAAAAGACCCGGAGAGGTTTCTGTGGGACCCGGAAGGGATGCTGACCGTCGTGCGTGTTGGGGGGAGGTCTGATCTCCAAAGGTCCAGGTTGATGTAAATCTTTGCGTTCGGTTTCACACTGTCGTTTACACAACAACACTAACAAACCCAATAACAACAATCAATTGACCCACCATGAAGACTTCTTGCTCCAATCTTGTCTTGCTATCCTTCGTGGTGCACTCGGCCACCGCCTTTCTTGCACCTGCATCCCAATCATCTATGGTCCAAACAAGCCAGCAATCATCATCTTTCACTAGTGTGCACATGAAGAGTCCTTTTGGAAACTTGAAATTTCCCTTTGGCGAAGATGAAGAGGCCAAGAAAGCTGCGGAAGAGGCCGCTGCCAAGGCTGCCGCTGAAGCCGCTGCCGAAGAAGCTCGCCAGGCCCGATTGGCAGCTCTCCCCAAGGTGCCATCGGTGGACGAATTGCTTTCCAAGGTTCCTGCTGTTGACTTTGATATTTCCGACTTTGATATCGACAGTGTTGTCGAGAACTTGACTCCCTCCAACGGAGCATCCTTTGGAGAACGTGGCGAAGCCTACTTTGCTGCCCAAGCTGCCTTGGTTCTTTGCATTTTTATTGGAACTGTCCCTTTCGTGGGAGAGAGCTTGAACTTTGTCTTTGGGCCCATTACCGCATTGGGCGGTCTTGCTTTGGCGGCACTTTCTGTAGTCGATTTGGGTAGCGACAGTTTGTCGCCCTTTCCTGCTGCTACCGAAAGTAGCACTCTGAAAAATACTGGGATTTACGCGGAGATGCGTCATCCCATGTATTCCGGTTTGATGATGACAATGCTGGGTTTGTCCATTGCTACTGATTCAGCATCTCGCCTTCTTTTGACTATTGTCTTGGGAGTCCTGTTGGAAGTCAAGAGTGAAAAGGAAGAGGCATTTTTACTCGAAACTTTCCCTGACGAGTACCCAGCATACAAGGAACAAGTTACCAACAAGTTCTTCCCAACCACCATCACGAATGAATTGGGTTTGTAAAAATTAGGAGTTATAATAGTTTGCCAGGTATTAATAATAAATATCGATTTCCTAGCTACCGGTACAGTAGAGCATTAGTGCAATGCGTTTTGCTAGAAAATCGAATAAAAAACAATATGTACTTGCATGCAACACGGTTTTTCTAAGTTATTTAATACCCCTTTCTTTTTCTTCTTCGTTTAGTCCCATCATCACATGCAATGCCTACTGACTGAGACAACGCCGAAACGACATGAAGAATGAAAAAAAGGCACAAATTGAGCTGGAATGTGCCGTGACCATCTCCCCTACCCCGCGAATCGAGACAACACCAGTTCAACCCACAATATCAACCGCGTCTGATGTAAATGCAAGATCAAGACCAGAGTGTTTGCATTTACTCGGCATGCGCCGAGGGATCTTTGACAGCATCTGCGAATATATCGGAGGCGGAAGATTCTGAAAGATTGGAACTGGCGCTGGCTGGCAGCGTGGAGGGTTGTAGTCTTGCTCCAGGAGGAGGAGCAATGTGTCGACCCGCAGCAGCAGCGGGGGCATTGGACACGCCCAATGCACTGCTACTACTAGGCCCTGCAGTAGCAGTAACAGCAGCAAGACTACTGGTAGGAGCACTAGGAGCCACAATACTCCCAGCAGCAGTTGGAGGAGGCGAACCTCCACCTAGCAAAGCAACATCTCCCATTTGTTGCAGCATTCTTGTTTCTCGCAATAGTTGTTCTCTTCGGAGGTGTTGGTAGTATTCAATGTCACCTTGTCTGGCAACTGCCATACCAGATAGCACTCTGTATCGGTGAAGCGCTGCCATTCGTTGTGCCTCCAATGCGGCCAAGGGCGCATCACCGGCAGCGGCAGCAGCTCCAGCGCCTGGAGGTGCATACATACCATGGGCTCCGAGTGATGGAAGACCGGCACCTGGTCCTCCTAATATGCCAGCGGCAGGGTCAGAAAAACCTGACATACCAGCAATCGCACCCATACCAGGAAGATGTCCTGACATAGGCATTGGTGCTAATGGTGTCATTCCAGGGAGATTAGCAGCAAGGTGTGGCGTTGACAAGGCACCAGGGATATTCCCGTGTTCGTCAAGCTGCCGAATAATACTTTTTCGGCATCTCATGGTGTGGCTCACCTTCTGCAGTGCAATGGGTAGGTCAACAACCACCCATGCTTGCTCATTGTCAAGCTTCTTGAGGAATCTTGCTCCACCTTCGGTGATCTCTGCGTGGACAGCTTCCACAAGCTTTCGTTTGCCATCACGGTTCAATGAGTGGTATTGGGTCTTGTATTTTTCGATAATATCGCGCATGCGCTCGTTACCGGGATGGTTTTGGAATCCACGGCCTCTTCCAAAGATGATGTCCTTCTTGCGGAGCTTGTGGACTCGTTCAGCGTTGGGATCGATGGCATCTGCAAATCGTATTTGATGGTTTCGGAGGGCAGCGTACCGTTGTTCTGTTTCCGTCGGCTCTTCGACGGTGCCATCACTGGATGATGACCTTTCGTCGTCGTCTGGGCTCTTCTGGGGGAGACTCGCAAAGCCAGGTATGGAGTTCATGTTCATTTTGATTAACCTGTCGTGCTGCTCCCCCTTACTGTATTTTGCTGCAAAGAGTTCGGGCTCCCTTCGCTCTGCGAGTGATCACTTGGGAGAGCCCTTTGTGAACGCCGGCACTCACGAAGGCAGACCAAAGCTGCACGTCGAGGGACAGACCGGTCATTAATATTTCGCATTAAATGTGCCTGGAAGGTACTGCACGTACCAGAGCAAATGGGTACCAGATACCTGGTACCTATAGTCGTGATCATTCCACGTCATCCCAATGCTACTTTCCAGACGCATCTGAATCTCAAATGTATCAAAAGGTACTCATATGGCAATCATACAAGGATCTAACTCTATCTTGTTGAGCGATTGTTGTCGGTCATTGCTGGTCATTGATAGCATGAATGCTGCAGGAGAGTATTCTTTGGTCTTCACCAGAGACGAGCGCCAAAAGGTCGCATGAGCTATGGGTCTCTCGTCTCCTTTTCGGAATGATAATTAAAAGGGTCTCATATTGGTCCTTCGGCTTCGGTTGCGTATTACAGATGGACAAATTGGAAGATTGGCATCAAGGGGGGTTGGAATGTGAATGTTTTGATCATTCGACAATATAGAATAGCCCTGGACTACCGCCAGCTCTTGGACTTTCTTTTTCTTTTGAAATGTAGCCATTTTCAAAAAGAGTTTGCGGTTACGATTTGAGTTTCCGCTGTTTAGCATTGAGATTTTTCTGTAATCTCCATGCACATCGTCCACCACCAAGTCAATCCGAATACCCATGTTGGATCGACTAATACACCTTCTGGGCCACAGCAATCAATATCTCTTGTCAAGACGAATTGTATCGTATGACTCACCATATGCCCAAGTCATTTTCCTCTTTTGAATCACCCAGTCCTCGAAATTGGGATTTAAAGCCATGATGATGGCACGACCATCAGGAGCAGATGGACTTTAATCAATCTTTCGTCATCCTTGGTACCAATCGTTGGCATCTTTCTGCAGAATCTGAAAAGATCCCATCGAAGAACTTTTCAATATTGAAGCTTTTGTATGTTGGCTTGTAGAGACTCGAGTTCTCTGGACTTCCTCCTCGTTGTTTTGTTTTTCCTTCATGAGAGCGTTTGACGGGAAGGTTGTAAAACTCAGTACCCTTCAGCACGTACATTTCTACGGGACGGGGAGCAAACGACCTCCCAAAATTATTCGCGGTTTTGTTGCCGCAAAAGAAGCCAGGCCTCCTAAATTCCACACCGGGATCTCAGTATTGGACGCCCTGTCATTTCAACACTTACGGTTGAATGCCAGCGATTTGTGGTCAATTCACATGCGTAATGAAGCAAGAGCACAGCCCCCTCTTTCAGGGCGAAGTAAATCAACTCTGGAGTATCGTAACTACAATTTATTGCATTTTAGGTCAGCTCTTTATTTGGCTTCATGATCAACCTCTATAGTACATGAAAAAAGACGACTCTGTAGCACGGATTGCTGCCATATCGCATCATGGGCTGCACAATTGACATGACACCATCGCATCTCTCATTCCAACACAACTATGAGTTTCTGAGGTTGCCTAGTGGTGGAATAGGAAGTTCCCCAGCCCATGGATGTATATGCACCCCCTGAAATCCGCAACGACGATCAATCGTTACCGAGGAGCGAGTGCCTCTCTCTGCGATACCATTGGGAACAAGTAGCCGGTTCCAGAAACCTCAATCGCCTTCCCTACTGCGCAGAATATCAAAAAAGTCGTGGAAAGTGGCATCTGGAGATTCCAAGTGGCGGGTATCCGCGAATGCAGCCGCCTCATTCGCCTGTCACCTTGTCACTTGATTGATGATGTTCTGTTTCAGCCCAGAATGCCTTCTGGTTTGCTTGATCTCGACTTAAGTTGTATTCATGGAGAAGGTCAAGAAATTTTCAATCGCGGAACCGAATATTGCGGTATGAGGCGCCAGCTTGCCAAGAAACGCAGCTTTTGCATCACGGTATTGTGCTCAGATGCAAAAGTGTTCAAATTAGAGGTGCGGTGTGGCCAGGGGGCATCGTAAGCGTCCAACTTTTAAGCTAACTATGCTGTTGCATTCTGCATGGATGATGGGGCTACAAGGATCTATCTGTACCAGTTGTACACAGGATTGCAAGTCAAAGTAACCAAGGGCTTTGTTCTCTCCTACTTCCTTTCAAGAGTGTGTTGACGCTTCGCAGCCTTGTCTCCACTTGTTTCAAGGCATCTCCAGTCTTCCTGAAAGCATTTGTAATGAGTGGCCTGCACAAAAGACTGCTCACATACTCCTAGCATTTGTAATGAGTGGCCTGCACAAAAGACTGCTCACATACTCCTACTATGTGGCAACGATTTCGAATCAAGTAGACCGCTTACAACAGGTGAGATCTGAGGTGATGATTTGTTTGTAGATACGAAAAAAGATATCATGTGAGGTCATTGAAGGGTTTCTTCGATCCAGTTCACCGACGATCACATTGAGTCGATGAATTGTACCCGTTTCATGGTAAAGCGGGTCCAACTCTTTGACAGCAATCGAGCGAGATAGGGTGCGTGTTTTCGGGTGGCTCGATATGTCCCGCACCCGCATTCATCTAGATCGGCGAACGGAGGCATCGCATCTAGTGCTATACACTTCATACCTAGAAACTGATTCTGTGCACGGCTTCTTCAGGTTGCCTGAGGTAGATCTCTCGCTAATGGCACTTGGCTGGGTCCCCCTGGACATCCTCTTGGCCCTAAAATCTTGAAAGGTAAGTTTCACTTATATTTCATCATTCAAAGTTGCTATAGGATAGCAGTGAGAGATTCATTGATGTCGGTCGGAAAAGACGCGACTGGATTTCGACTATCGCATCTGATGCATTCTCACATTGCTTCGATTTTGTGCTCTGTGGATTTGACATTTGGCAGGTCGAACCAGGCTCAGAAACCGGTTATGGAAAATAGACGAGGCAGTCGGCCTACTACAAACGCGTAGAAACCGACAAAATTGCGTTGAATTATATTCGCGGTTTTGAACCAATCATTCCTGAACCATCATTGAAAGCATCTTTCCTGGGTCCCCTCCTGATACCGGTAGGCAATTGTGAACTGGAGGACTGGAGGTACTTTTCATCTTTGGAGTTGACCAATTGCAGCCGAGCTACTTGGCAATTGGTCAACTCCAATGACTTCCTACAACTTCTTGCTCTGTCTACCCAAACGCGTTCAATGGCAGTGCCTCACAGTTGTCATGCGGTGATGAAGCGGATATCGCGAAGCTCCACAACAAGGAGCAATGGGGCTCTTGGCAAAGAGCAGATTCATACTGCTGCTTCTATAATCGACGTGGTTGTTGATAATGGCAAAGGCAATGTTGACGAGGGCTTTCGGCCACCAAGTAACGGAACTCCAACTAGAGTCCCAATAAGGTTGCTCAGCCCATTCAAGCGGTTACTCGTATGAAGTCCGGTGGTATTCATGTTTCCAACAGAAGTCTGGTGGTATTCATGTTTCCAACAGAAAACAGTGAGACATCCTGCTCCCTAAAATATCTATCTCTCTCTCTCTTTCTCTCTCTCTCTCTTGAGAGAATGGATCAATGTGAACAAGTCTGATTCGTCGGCTACTAGGCTCTCTTGTGATGGCGACGGTGACATCGGGCATGCATGCAGCTAAGCGACAGTGACATCGGGCATGCATGTAGCTAAGCGGCAGTTACACAGGCTTGAAGAATCGTATAATATCGCACTCTACGACACTGTGGTGTAGATGGTAATGACAGAACAAGAATCTTCATGACAGATTCCCAAAGGTTGTCAATTGCGACCATCGTCGTGGCTCTCTACTACTTGATTATAGATCCAACCCATACGAAGGGCAAACGGGTTTGATAGAGGGTAGAATCGATCGTGTTCAGAATCCAATGAAAGCTTTGGCGTTGAGTGTCGCGTCCTCAAGTCCTAGTTGGACGATGTGAAAACAAAAATCAACCCCAAACGAAGCAGAAATCTCTTCCCAAACCAGTCTCCGAGGATAAACTCTACGGTGTTGCAAGAGATCTGCGGTTCACAAAGATCTAAATCCAACTGCACCTATAGAGATTGAACGGTGGATCGACTGCTGGATCTAAAAACAGAAAGTCTGCAAGGAATAATGCGGAGAAGACAGACTTTTCATACCCTAAATACTATTTGATCTATTTGCACTCTCCATCTCCCTTTGCCTCGCATTTATCACGTTTTACAAAACAATCGTTCATCTCGGACTCGCAATCGGGACTGATGGCTTTGGCAATGTCCGATATGGCCGGACTCAGTTTCAGTCGGTCAGTCTCATCTTCTCCCACTGTCCAAAAGGATTGGCAAGGCCATGCCGTCAAATCCTTGGAGAGCTGCATTTCGTCCTTGATGACATCATTTGTAATCGAAGAATAGCTCATAAAATCAATCCCATCCACAAGATTCACCATCTTGAAGATCTTGTTGGACACATCTGATACATTTTTTTCTCGTTCCGATGTTAGCGAATTCAATTCCGTGTCTAGACTATTCCCTTCACCATGTTCTAGATTGAGAAAGGATTCAACCTTTTCTATTAGCTCCTTCAATCCTACTTCTGAAATTTCATTCCATGATAGTGTCAAAAGAGACGTATGTGCCGCAATATGGTTCAGTCGGCAATGGTACCGTATAGTTTGTCGCAAGCTTGCCTTTAGATCATCCAATGGAGGAATGGAAGGTTCTGGATAGTGAGCCAGCAGAGAATCGGCTGCACCAAGCATGATCGGTTCTGGCACAACACGAATGATTTTAGTCCATCCGTGCGTTTTACCATACCCATAAGGAGCCATGTGTGATGTGGGGAGCCACTCTATTGAAACTCCATCTTTGGTCTTGCTTCCAGCAGCTTGAATTGTCTTTTCCACTAGTTTGGAAAAGAAGTCCGTCAGACTTCCAGGTGGTGCCAATAGAGTGATTCGCTGCCCTGAATTTTCTGGTACAAAGGTCTTGCACTTTGAATTCTCTTGGGGTATGCACTTTTTGATGGTCTTCGCAACCAGCGCGTCACCTGATACATGAAGGAGTCTATTGATTTTTTCCAATGATACTGCCTCTTCTTCTTCCGGGACATTCGGGATGTCTTCGTCACTGTGTTCCGTGGAAGTATTTTGCATTATCAATATCCATCCGAGGAGACACAGTATGATAAGGAGGGATCCAGTTTTTCCATGTTTGCTTGCTCTTGTTCTCAGTTTTGTCCCACTTCTCGTCTGTTTGTTAGGCAAAGCCATTTCATGCCAAGTTTGCAAGAGAACAAAGAAATTTAATTCGGTAACACACTTGGCGGTGGTTGTTGTGTTCGATGGACTTGGTCATTGTGACGATGACAAGTTGATGAAGAGAAGTTTGCATTTTTCCATGCCATTCGACTTCTCTGATCAAATGACCGTAGAGCCACGTAGCGCTGGTACGTTTCGAAGATACAGGCAGTCGAATGAATCCATCCATGACCCTTTTTTCGGTTCCCGGTCTCTCGGGATGAACAACAACAACAACAACAGTAACTTCAGTCTTGTGTCTGAGATATACAAGGGCATACTCGTCCATTGATTGGTTTCTTCCTTTTTATTTTTGATATCACATAGACAAAATCTGAATCATGTCATCGGAACACATTGTCAAGGCCATCCCTGGCATCTTTATCATGATTTCTGGGTCCGAAGACAAGCAAACCTCTGCAGATGTGCACAATGTCGGGTCCTTTAATCTTCCCGACTCGGCTGGAATGGCTGGTGGTGCTTGCACATCTACTCTATTGAAGGTTTTGACCGATTTTCCAGGGCAAATGACTTGGGTGGAGTTGCTCCAACGAATGAGAGATGTCTTGGAATTAAAAGGATTCGATCAGATTCCTCAATTATCCGCGAGTCGATTGATTGACGCTGATTCCAGATTTGAAGTTGTTCCACAAAAGTCTATTCAAATGCGGAAGGCTCGTCGAGCTGTGTTGATTGGAATCAACTATGTTGGTATGTAGAAAATGCATGAATGCATCGTATCTTGGTTTGTGTCTTTAAAAACACCAAAGCCCTCATCTTTTTCTTTCTTCCTTTCTTAAAACGCCAGGCCAACAAGGTCAACTTAGTGGTTGCCACAATGACGTTGAAAATATCAAGCGGTATCTCATCAAGGAGCAAGGGTTCATGGAAAAAGACATGTTGATTCTGATGGATGATGGAAAGCACCATGCTCCAACTCGAAGGAACATTATTGATGCCTTTACCCGCGTTACTCAGTACAGTGAAGCAGGAGATATCGTATTCGTTCATTATTCGGGACACGGAGGTCGTGTGAAAGATATGAATAGTAAGTGCATTTTGTGTGTGCAAAAACGATCGCATGTGTGGATCCCGTGATTCGATTTGACTTGCGACACCATGCTAACATGACATTGCCTGACCTTTGATTTGTCACTCCAGACGATGAATCCGATGGGTATGATGAGACGCTTATCCCGGTTGATTTCAAGGCCAGTGGACATATTGTAGATGATGAGGTCTTCAATGTTCTGGTTAAACCCATGAAACGAGATGTCCAGGTCACAGTTTTGATGGATTGTTGTCACAGCGGTACCGCTTTGGATTTACCGTATGAAATGGACGCCACAGATACCGCCATGCATTCCAACGATACATTCAATATGGGACTCTTGAAGGCTCCAGCGACATTAGCCTGTTTGGCATGCTGTGCACTCTGTGCCATGGACGATCTAATGGCCCTGTTCGCAAAGTAGTCCAACTATTTCCTTGTTATCGGTTGATTGGGGTCAAAACTGGATGTTGTCGACAAGGTTAACCTGCTTGTATAAAAGAAAACCAAAATTATTATCACCTACACATGATTTGATGGACTTTCACGGTCTATCCAACTGAATCTTATTTCTCACATAGCTCTCCAAGAACAACTCATCATCCGCATCGCACAGACTATTGGGGGTTTCTATCCATTCCAAGATTAAAGGTCTCACTCTATACATATAGATAACATATACATTAAATTCGATTCTATTACTTCTTGGGTAGACTTCCGTCTCCTCCTTTGCAGCTAGGAGATGCAGGCACGGCATTGCTTTTGGCCCATTGGGATGGACTCTTGGCAATAATGCTCAATGCATGGACAGGTCCTTCCAGTTCCTCGGCCAAGATTCCATTGACACGCCGGTGCCGTTGAAGTGGAGCTTTTGTCGTTTCAAATTCCTCTGCCACAACCACCACCTTGAAATGTGTTTCCGAATTCTTTGGAACATTGTGCATGTGCGATTCATTGAGAACGTCCAAATGGATCGGTTGGAGTGCGTCCGTTAGCTTTTGTTGAATAGCGGCAGTAACGGGGAAAGATGGTACTGTACTGCTCATGGTGCGTCTTGCAAGGTGAAATGTCCTCCGGAGGACTGGGTTCATTGGTATTGTGTGCGGGATGTAAGAAAGGTCTTCACAATATGCGAAGCTTGTTATGATATACTCGTAACTTCGAAACTGTGTCTTCGATCGATATTTTGGTCGGTTGATCGAAGAGGTCGGTTATGTGTACACGTGTACGACCCATTCGAATAAAGTCATGTTCTTTCCAACTGCCACACGATGAACAGAAAATAAGAGAGACCAAATTCTTCACCGAACTCCACTTGCACGACAATACTTGATAATACACAGCCATGTTGATCTGTCTCGGCGGTGTTTGCGTACCCTACACGGCCGTTGTGCCTATCATCATCTTGGGATTGAAGTGGATTCTTGAGAAATTTGGATTGGCGCAGTATCTTCCAAAATACTTGCGAGATATGTTGCAAGTTCAGGGTGTTGCTGCCTCGTCAAGTTCGGAAAAGTGCTGCGCTACTAGCAGCAGTGAAGTTGCTGTTTCCAAAGGTGGAACATCCAAGGTGCAACCCCTCGAATCGATGGAGGAATTTGAAGAGCTGCTGAGCAATAACAGCAATAAAGTCAAGGTGGTTTGCAAATTCACTAGTAGTTGGTGCCAGCCGTGCAAACGAGTGCAGCCATTCTTTCAGGAATGCTCCTCTCAACCCCAATACCAAAAGAAAAAGGACGGAAGCAATGTTCTCTTTCGTACCATTGATGTAGACGAGTTTGACGAATTGTCCAGCAAATACAAGGTGTCCATGATGCCAACCTTTTTGGTCTTGCAGGGGGATAAGGTTTTGGGAACTTATGCTGGATCGAATGAGAACGAACTCGATACATTTTTGAAGGAGAATGCAGGAGCAGCATGAGCATGAATGCATTGCGATGGAGTTGGGTAACATCAGTTCATATTTCTTTGACCTTTGGTGATTCTCCTTTTTTAAAATACTACCAGCACGCTAGTAGTGTCACAATCTACTTCTTTCCAGCCAAGCCTTGATTTCATACTGCAGATAAGATAATGTGGAGTTATTATTAGTACTATGTATGCTTTGTTCTATCTGTTTTAATGTACTGCCGCAATGGGGGTCTTCGTCGTTCCCTTCTTTGCTTGTAGTCTTCTGACTTATTGATGTTGTTTGCTACGTCCAGCATTGTTCAATCACTAAACTCCACCAAGGATCAAAGTCAACTTCTGGTCCAACCAATTCGACCTGGGTTTCCAATCGATCTTGTTGAATGCTTGCAAAAGGACTATTATTCGTGTTCAGCAGAGCCTTTTCGATCCGTCGCCCCGATCCAAAAATGGTGTCTTTCATTTGTTTTGCCGAATTGTCACATCGGGCATGTCCCAACAATACCACTGCCAGTGGAACAGACTGTATTATTCTGCTGCTGGATGATCCATCATTGCTATCTTGTTGGGTCAGTCGTTTAGTGGCTTTTCGCAAGAGCCGATGTATGGAACCGTCTGCTGAGCATGACATCAACAATACTAGGAGCATTTTCTTTGGATTGTCCACATCTAATATGTTAGGATCTTGGCACGTCGAAGCATCTTCAAAAGAAGACTCTTGGATACGGGAAATGGTCACGTTTACTGCTTTGTCAACAGTAGCAGTCAGCAAGAATTCCTTGGCCCGAGAGGCATATTGGTATGCCGCACAATCTTCTTCTTGATCAGCAGAAACAATGGGTTCATCCGGTGACGGAGCGTAAATGATGGAGACATGAAGTGGATGATGGCTCATGATATTCAAAAGCAACACTGTTTGTTTCCCACAAACCTAAAGTAGCAAGTAGCGAGATCGAATGTTGACCTCACAAAACTAAATACATGAAACACACGTGCAAAAAGTCCAAAAAAATAACTGAGGAGTACATGAGCATTGTTTAGTTTCTTATTGTCGACTCAGCCGAATGTGTGAGTTCCAAGTTTTCGCTGCATCATCCAAAACGTGCCAAGGTTGTTGTTCCCAAAAGTTGCATCAACAGATTGTGTGTGTGTGTGCTTTTTGGAGACAAGAATTATTATTGTGCATGGCAGGAAGTACAAAGAGTAAAAAACGAACAAGTAATCAAATGTGGAATTCTGGAAGTGGGAAGCGATCCAAAGGACGCAACAGCGGTCATCGACCAGCCACCACCATTGACGAGACGGCAGCCTCCAAGATGTTTCAAGAAATTGCGGAAGAAAGTGATCCCAGTGTCGCCGGAATGGAAGGTATTTGCAATCTTTGTGAAAAGCTTGATCTGAATGCCGAAGAAGATATTCGAGTTCTTGTGCTGCTGTGGAAATTGGGGAGCAAGGAAAAGCCAGCGCAAATTTCCAAGCAAGAATGGATGAGTGGGTGCAACAAGCTTCAAGTGGATTCCATTGACAAGTTTCAATCGATCTTGCCATCTTTGGATACTGGATTCTTGGATCGAAATGAATTCAAGGAATTTTACAAGGTAAGGAGGGTATTGTCGTTGTTGTGTGCTCGTTTGTGTGCTTGTTGGTATTTTGGTATTTTGTCATGACGACTCTTGATGCGAGATATTTTTCTGCATGACTAACACTATTGTTTTCCTTTTTCGCTCTAATGTATATTCATGAATGCTTCTGCTCTTACACCATTGCATTAATGCAATAGTTCTGCTTCAAGTTCAACTTGGAGGGAACCCACCGTACTTTGGACAAGGATATGATTGTGGCGTTGATGAAAATGGTCTTGACAGAACGCATTGCCGCCGAACGATTGGATACCTTTTGCACCTTTTTGGAAAGCCAAAAGTCGTATACTCGCATCACTTTGGATCAATGGGTCTCCTTTTTGGACTTTTGCTACGAATGTGAAGACTTGAGTACCTATGATGAATCCACATCGGCATGGCCTGTGTTGATTGATGAGTATGTCGACTACATGGAAGAACAGCAAAATAAAAAGTAGATGTATGGAAGTGCGAAAGGTGAAGAGAAGGGATTATTACTTTGTTGGGTTGATAGGTTGATAGGTTGATATAGTAGTATTGACTTTCCTGGTCTGCTGGTGTTGGTATTATTCACAGCTTTCCTCATGTGCTACTGTAGTATTCTTAAAAGTACAATGTAACGTTTTCAATTGTGCAACAAAATAAACTATTCTATATAACTACTCGAATCGGCACAGCGTTCCTTTCTTCTTTCTTTAATCGTAGTGCGGTCGATTGCCCATGTATTGTTGCCGTTGTCGTCCCTGAATCCGTTGAGCTCTGGCATTGGTTTCAGCCACCTTCAAAACACCATAGACTCCACCAGCGGCAGCTCCGTAAATGGCAATGAGATAGGTTGCCACAAACGAAAAGGCAGCACAAGCAGCCGCTACAAAGAATACAACTGCCACCAGAGGATTCGATTGATAGGATCTCACAATGGACCAGAGGCCAATGACAAACAGGACCAATGCCATGACAAGGCCCATGGAGAAGTTGACTAGGACTTGCATCAAGACGTTGAGTGCATATTCCACAAACTTTTCGTCTCGTCGCATGGATCGGAAACTCATAAACATGGCATCCCACATGGATTGACGCTTGGCAAATTGCTTTCCAGACGCAAAGTAACCCCAGAAGCTCTCTTGTACTTCTCCGACGCCTACTTCACTAAAGAGACCTGCCACACTCTTGGCATCCGACATTCGAGCTTCTCCTTCTTTTCGAATTAGATCCAGTCGGTGTTTAGATTCTTCCATTCGTTTCTTGTTGCGTTGACACAAACCGTCGCAGGTGAACCATCCTTTGCTGGCTCGGTAGGCACTGTCTGCAATGAAGAAATCTTGGCTGGCATCAAATTCTGCTTGTAGATCAATAGTCTGCATGATACTGTTGTATTCTCGTCGTTGATCAAGGTTGAGTTTGGTTCCACTGCCAATCAACAGAATGGTCAGAATTCCAATAATGTACTAAAAAGATAAGGAAAAAGAAATCGTCGTGAGTAAAGGTGGACATGCTGTATCTCAATAGTATCAAACAATACAGTTCTTTCTATCATTTGATGCAACAGACAGAAGGATAGAGTCGGACCCAATAGGCACGCTCATCTCAGACGCCTCTCATCATCATCATCATTCTCATTCTCAAACGTACCGATCCACTGATGACTTTGTGTCGCTTCGCAAACCTTGGAACTCCACGAATGATCATGCGGCCAAGGTCGCTTGGTTCAGGGAGTCCCACAATTTGTTGTTGCCTATTTCGATTATTCATTTTTGTTGTAATGTAAGTTGTGCCTTTGGTTCTTGTGTTGTTGTTGTTGTTGTCATTTCTTGTGTAGTGAGAGTCAATGTTTCAATCACGAATGAATCGATTCGATTCGAAATCAAACGTGTGGCATTTCACAAATCCGGGTCTTTGCTTGGAGTGTGTCGGTCAGACTTTCGTGTCTTGCAAGCCACACAGCACACAAAAAAACAAAGATCACAGCACACAAAATCTTTTTGATAAAATGAGGGAGGAGTCATATCTTTGACGAGGGAGTCACCGATCGGTTGATAGGACTGTAAGTCAATGATCAGCACAGGCTGAAACTTAAAAATGCCTGCAACTGATGTTATATAAAAACATTCGCCGTTTACCTGTCGGAATAATAGTGACGAGAAAGTTTTCACTGATGCTGTAATGGAACAGAATCCATTCTTTTGCAACAATACGATGCATTTTCTCTGACCCAAATATGCCCCCTTTCGTTTTTGTCTTTCCCAGCCTTATAACTCCAGAAAATTGTTGATTCACTGTCATCCCCCAACGAGACGAAATCCTGCGATGAAGGTATGTTTCCACGATTTGCATGTCCGCATTTGGTGATATTCGACGATGAGGAACAATATTCTTCACTTTGACGAGACGTTCTTCTTGGACAGTGGTCATCATTACTTCAAAGTTCTCTGAGTCCAAATATTTTTCCAATGTGGTGAACCTTGCTCGAGTTGCCTTTTTTTCTCACCACAATCTCGCTCCCTAATTGTTTTCAGTTTTGATTTTCATGCGACGGCTTGGCCTCTTTGGAACCAACCATAGTTCCTTCTCATGGATGGTACGTGTATTGGCTCTATTTGAAAGGTCCTCCCATTCTATAACTTGACTGTCATGGACACACGGTTGATATGGTGGTTGATCAAGATGGGCACAACAAGTTGTATTTCTGGTTTTGGGTCGAGGAATTATCCCATTCTGCTTCCCTTATTCCTGTGAAATGCGAACAATTCAAAATCTTTACATTGTTTGTTCACTGTTTATCACAATGTGCTTTGCTATACTTCACTATACTGATACTACACTGGTTGTTGCAGGCTTGGATCAAAACATTTTGAACCGACAGAGAAATAGAAAATAAAAAGAAAATATTCAACAAACACAAAAAGTGTAGGATTATTTTTGTTTATTCTTACTTTGCAATGATGTTCAAGATTCGACCCTGAACGTAAATGATCTTCTTGATGTCTTTACCATCAATTTGAGCCTTCACCCGATCAACCTCCTTGGCGGCAGCCATTGCTGTTGCTTCATCAGCATCAGCTGGGATAGTGATCTCTCCTCGTGCCTTTCCGTTGACTTGTACACCCATGGTAATAGTGTCGTCAATGCAAAGCTCTTCATCGAATTCCACCCATGGATGATAAGCGAGAGTTTCTTCATTGCCGAGGATACTCCAACACTCCTCTCCAAGATGGGGTGCAAATGGTGACACCATCAAAGCAAGCTTCTCTGCCGCTTCCAATGGAACTTCTTCCTTCAACGATTGAAGGTGGTTGGTCAAGACCATCATGGCGGAAATGGCAGTGTTGAATGACAGAGATTCGATATCTTCGGTAACTTTCTTCATCGTCTTGTGTAACAAACGTGTTGTCTCGTCGTCCATCTCAGTTACCTTCTTCTCGGCAGCCATCTTGACAACATTGTACAGCTTGTTTTGGAATCGGACAACTCCAGATACTTGGCTTGTTTGCCATGGCTTCACAGCTTCGAGTGGTCCCATGAACATTTCATACATTCTCAAGGCATCGGCACCTTGAGCAGTAACAATGTCATCAGGATTGACAACATTACCACGACTCTTGGACATCTTTTCACCATCACTTCCGAGAATCATTCCCTGATGAACAAGCCTTTGGAATGGTTCTGGATGCTGGGTGTATTCAAGATCATACAAGACTTGGTGCCAGAAGCGGGCATACAACAAGTGAAGAACCGCGTGTTCTGCTCCGCCAACGTACAGGTCAACAGGCATCCATTGCTCATCCACTTTCTTACTGAATGCAGCATCGGTGTTCTTTGGGTCCAAGAATCGAAGGTAGTACCAACAACTTCCAGCCCACTGGGGCATTGTGTTCGTTTCACGTGAAAACCACTTGCCATCCTTTTGGAAGTATCTCCAGTCTTTGGCGCGAGCCAAGCAACCTGCTGGATCGTCACCTGGAGCAAAATCTTCCATAAGAGGGAGTTCGAGAGGCAAGTCAGCTTCGTCTACTGGGATTGCTTGGTCGAAGCGGATGGTGTGTTCGCAGTCGTCGCTTGTTGGGTCTTGCGACATAGGGTCAACACCCTCTGGAAAGTCGACTGGGAAATAGATTGGGATTGGTTCACCCCAGTATCGTTGACGAGAGAAAACCCAATCCCGGAGTTTGTACGTGATTTGAGGTCCTCCTTTTTCCATTTCCTTCAGTTTGTATGTGACCTTTTTCTTGCAGTCCTTTGTCGAAAGGCCATCGAATTCACCACTGTTGATTGCTACACCACTTTCAGTGAAAGCTTCCTCTTTATTGAGTTCGCCTTTTTTTGGCTCAACGACCCATTTGATGTCTAGGTCGAATGCCTTGGCAAATTCAAAGTCTCTCGTATCATGAGCTGGGACGGCCATCACAGCGCCGGTGCCGTAGCTGCCAAGCACGTAATCTCCAACCCAAACGGGAACCTTCTCTCCTGTCATGGGGTGAGTGACATATCCGCCAGTGAATACTCCTGTCTTCTCCTTTGATGAAGTGCGGTCCAAGTCAGATCGCGACGATGTGGCGGCAACGTATTTGTCGACCTCTTCCTTTTGCTCAGGCGTTGTGACCGCAGAGACAAGCGGGTGTTCTGGAGCCAAAGTCACGTATGTCACCCCCATGACAGTGTCTGCTCGCGTTGTGAAGACTGTGACGCTCTGGTGTTTACGAATAGTTTGTATTTGGATGAGATCGTGGAACCCAATTCAATACAAGGAGAAGACCCTACGTACCTCGTCTGAACCATCAACATCAAACACAATTTGACAACCAATGGACTTTCCAATCCATTGTTGCTGGGCAGTCATTGTTCCAGAGGGCCAATCCAAGCCATCCAAGCCAGCTTCCAAGCGGTCAGCATAGTCCGTAATCTTCAAAATCCACTGGCGAAGTGGAAATCGCTCGACAGGATGGTCACCTCTTTCACTCTTTCCGTTGATGATTTCCTCATTGGCCAAAACAGTTCCGAGTGCTGGGCACCAATTGACGCTAACTTCTGATTGCTCAGCTAGGCCCTTCTTGTACAATTGAAGGAAAATCCACTGGGTCCACTTGACGTAGTTGACATCGGTGGTTGCGATCTCGCGGTCCCAATCGTATGAAAATCCAAGCATCTTCAATTGACGCTTGAAGTTGGCAATATTTTTGGCAGTTGTATCCGCAGGTTGGGCGCCAGTCTGAACAGCAAACTGTTCCGCAGGGAGACCGAATGAGTCCCAGCCGATTGGATGCAAGACATCGTGACCGGTCATGCGCCAGTATCTTGACATGACATCAGAAGCTACAAGAATGCAATATGGTTCAGAAAGAGAAACATTGGTCGTGTCGTCGCCTGCCTTCTTCGGAAATCTTACCTGTGTATCCCTCTGGATGACCAACATGCAGACCTGCACCAGATGGATATGGGAACATATCCAAAACATATTTCTTTGGCTTGCTCATGTCACGTTCTGGGGTCTTGAAAGTGTTGTTCTCTTCCCAGTAGGCTTGCCATTTTGGTTCGACGTCAGCAAATGGGTAGGTTGCTGGAGCAGTTGGAGGGGCATCAGCAGTAGCCGAAAACAACCTGAAAGTCCGTGCCACATACCGCTTGTTGGGCGAAACAAAAGCGTTTACACTCCTTCGAGCAGAGACCAAGAGCAACATCGTTGCAACAACCCGCCGAAACGAAGAAACTTCAAAAGGCATTAGAAATAAACGGCGTTGCGCACTCTAGACCTGCACAGAATGTCGCTAAATCTGAGATGAAGGTGGATGTAATCCAAATACAGTTCGATGTAGGCAGTATTGGAGAACTCTCGTGTTGGCTTTGAGATTGCTTGTGGTTTTCGATAACATCAACGACACACGCATCCAACACATCATCCATTTGGAAGTGAAACGAACGAAGGACGTACGAAGCAATGAGGTACTTGGAAAGGCTTGATGATCATGAAGGAAAAAAGAGAAGTCGATCGTGGGCATCACTGTGGATCAGAATTCTTTGGGTAATTCTGTGGTAGCGAACTTTTACTTTCGCGTTCTTTTGGAATTCTCGATACCAAACTATTCTGCGGGGGTGTTGTACCGGTAGGTCCTGTCGCTACTCAGATTGCATAATTATGTGGTAACAGAACTTGTACCTTTGCATTCCTTTGGAAGCGCTCAAAACCAAGCAACTATCAACTACCATGTGTGGAATGATGGCGTGAAACAGAAAGTGTCCGATGTCTGGCATTTTGAGTATTAGCGTTCTCCATTTCTGCTTCGACTGTCGATGTCCGATGATGGAGGCATATGTCTTAGTTCCCTAGATCGTCCACTTATTGCTTGAAGAGATGTCAAGACTGTGCAGAAACGCGTGTAATTAAAAGTGGAGGCAGTGTTATCGCGCAGGAACAGTTCGCCCCCCTCCAAGCTTTTAGCCTGCTCGATCTCCCAAGCTCACAAATCATATATCCCAAAGTAGGCAAGCCATTATAGCACCATGAATAGTTCAGAACCTTTTTGCCTCAACACAGCTCCAAGCAACATTGTAACAGAGCCAAGATTTGAAAGGATTCTTACAGCCTACCAGTATGAATCGGCAAAGCCTTGTTTCAACGATAACCCATCGCAGAGGATGAGCAGGACTACACTAAAACCAAGTGACCAACCCAAGCGCGATCCAAACGCTAGCCTGATGATGGTTTTGAGCGAGACATTGTCGCTTCATTTCGACGACGACGACGACGACGACGACGATTTCATCATCGATGAAGTCCAAGACCTATGAAGATAATACAGATAGATACAATAATAAGTCATAACAAATACAATAATACATCGATCCAAAGATCCATACGCTATTACTCCCTGTGTAAACAACTATGACTGCATCATGTATGACTCTGCGATATATATCGATGTCTAAATGGGTGGCTTATGAGGCAATGCGGCACGCAGCAGACCAACGCAAAGACTGACTCGGGTCTAAACATTCAACCTGCTTTGGGAGTGGCATCTGTCGATGTGCTTGTTGGAGCGCTGTTCCCGATTGCACTGGTTTTCATCAGATCCAGAACTTCAAACAATGCCGTCGAAAATAGCTTCCCTGTATTCGATTTGGCAATCTCTGTCAACAATCGTCTCCAAACAATCTCAATGACCTTGTCGATCGTTTGATACACAGCGGGAAGCTCGTCCTTGTCCTTCCGAGACATGGGAGGACACATTTCAGAGGCGCGAACAATCATATTTTCAATGAAAATCGGTTTGTTCCACCCGACCTTGTTGTTGGAATTGCTGGGAGTACCACCAGTAGCCGTATCCTCATCTTGTAGCTGAATCCAATTATTTCTCGTAAATAGTCTTATATCCTTGAGAACAATCCTTCCAACCCGGCATAGTGGAGGGGGTTTTGAGGCTGAGGCCAACCGCTCTGGTACTATAAGCTGCGGAGCCGACTGCAGACAATTCACAGCCACCTTTCCAGCCGTCCGGAGTACACTGACACCATCTGCCAATTGCTGCTTCGTTTCAGCATTAGAACGGCTCTCCTTGCCAAGGCCTTCCCGTATTCTGTCGGCCAATTCAAGGCCTTGTTGTCTAACAGTTTGTGAAAAGGTCCCTTGTCTCGCGGCCCGACCTAGAGTCTCAACTGACTCGAGCATTTCGTCCACCAATTTTTGAGCCTCTTCATGATGACGATCATCTCCTCTGTCGCTGGCAAAGGATGGCGTAGGTAGGTGCTCACTAACTGACATATCGTCGACTCTAGGGCTATCTGGTTTCGTCGCCTCTCTTCCATGTTCGAACGGCGCAGGCGGCAGTATGCAACATGGATCCATCAAATATACGTTAAACACAGATTCGTAGCGTTCCACAAAAACCTGAACGTCGGCCAATATCACAGTATATAGCTCAATAGGCAGCTGTTGCTTGAAGAAAACGAGGTGGAATATGGTAATAGGGGCGTTGCACTCCACTTTTGCATTGCCTATTCGAGCCACCAAAGGCGACTCCCATCCCCATTCCTCACGATGCGGGGTATGAATAATGACATTGCTTACAAAGATTGTCAATTTTCCTTGCAGTATTTCGTCGAAATTCAAGCGGAAGCTTCCTACTGTAACTTTAGCGCGATTCAAAACCTTGGATGCTTCGTCTTCCAATTTCCACCAAATCCATCGTTCGATCCAACCAAAGTAATGACACAAACTAATCGAAAAAATTAGCGTCACCATCCATCGGAATACCCAAATCAATGCTTGGTCCACTAAGCCGATGGTCCCTTGTGATAGAAATATTTGTAACATTGTCCCTATTCTAATATCATGCGGTAGATGAGCAGTGAATGCGCCTTTCCTTTGGACAACTGAGACAGTGTGTTCTGGATTTGCTACAGTATGTTCCTTATAGCCGTTGCGGCATTTTTGAATTCCAAAAGTCGAATGAATCAACTTCTGATCGAATGTCTCAATTTGTCCTATATCTATACCTACCTACAAAAACTGCAAAGTAAACTACAGTACGGTATAGTCAACGATGCCACCTTTTCCTTACAGCTGCATAAACTCTTGGAGACTGTCAGTGAAGATGAAGAACTCAGTAAAATCATCTCGTGGTTTTGCCATGTCACATAACAGCATTCCTATTTTAGCCCCACAATCAACTCGGATTTTGCTCCAATATGCTTGTACTTTTGGGTATCCGAAGTCTCGAAGTCACCCCTTTCTTCAATGCCTGAGGAAATTCCGGTGGAAGGTTGTCTTCTTGGCGATCCTCCAACTCAACCATTCCACCAAAATGCTGAAGATACATGCGAGACATACACAATCCAACTCCCAGGCCTTGCACAGGGCTACGTGTCTGGGCATATGTCTGCTGGTCGTCCAAACGATCCCAAAGCTCTTGAGTTTGACAAAAGGAGAAGAGATCACTGGAATCGTCTTCGATTCCACCAGCTTGATCCAAAATTTCAATTTCCACAAAATCGTCAGTATCATGAACTTGGACAAAAATTGGATGTAGCCCTGATTCGTCATTGCCATCCGCTGATGAGGTTTCGTAGTAGTGTTGTGGACCGTCCACGCCTGTCGCCATCAATTGTCGGTGCGCTGTGATCGCCATACTATTTTTGAGTAGTTCTACCAATGCAAATTGAAGCCATGGTCGAACGTTGGTGAACGTGGGGAATTCGCCACCTTCGTGACTTTCATCATCTTTTGTTTCCGTGCCTGCAGTAGTGGGTGATGGTGACAAGGACTGTGGTATAAAAATAGTTGGCGATGTTTCTGACGGAATCCCAATGACAGATGGACTATGCAAATAATGTGCTTCACACAAATGCTTGGCTTCAGTCACTGACTGTTCGACTAGTTCCCAAGCCGAGATTCCCTTGGAAATGACACCCATTTTGTTCGGATCCGGCTGCTTCTTTTTCTCATTCAGATGCTGCTTGGCCAAAAGCGAACCATGTTCGGCCAACAGTTGCTGTCCAACCTTTGCCCGTATAAATCGTAGTACAGCTTCATTCCAAGCAGGTGTTGAATCATCTGTCAATGTACTACGAACCTGAATGACCATCTCCGCTAGACTTTCCATTGTCAGAGAGTGTCGCGTATAGGTTTCTAGCAGTGTTGTTTGAGTATGTCTGAGTAATAATAATGGATCGATGGAGGAGGATTCTTCAGATTGCTGCTTTTCTAAGGCAGGAAGCAACATACTGCATTTCTTGCGAGTATCCTTGTACAAATGTTGAAAGTCTCGTATCGTCTTGTAGGCGCGATCCAAATCAACATCATTACCTTTCTTCGCACTTGATGATATCAATTCTTCCAATGCGACCAATGCACCTTGCTGTTGTTCCAATCGCACCGTGATGTCTTGGACCAGCTCAAGAAACAGCGCGTTGTACTTGGTAGGGTCTTGATGATCTTTCTCAGAACCCTCTTGCCGTATGTCAATCAAGCGATCTATGGACCACAACGTTGGACGTGATGATGCAAGATAACTTGATGTAGCCGAAAATCCTCGGGAAATCACTTCGAAACTTGGAGCACTATTCTTACTTCTGTCGGCCCAATGTGCAGATCCATGAAATGAGCATGACATAGATTTTATTGCTACTCGGTTCCATGGTAGTCTTGCTGGTCTAGCTCCTCTTGCTATTATTGAAGACATGGATTTATTCAATCTGTCGCTTCAAATAGAAATCCAGTAGCTGCTGTGTATCGACACAAAGCACGAAGGAGGCGTGAAGTGCACCAAGATGAGTTCAGTTCACGTCCGAAGATGTTTGATGTTCTCTGGCTGGATTTCGGGGGATTGGAAGAGAGTACTCTGGGGATTGTTCACCCAGAAAAGGGGGACAGAAAAAATCGCACGATGAGAATTCTTCCATTTTGCATTTATTGTCTGACATGAACTCTGGAACGAAGATGTGGTACAGTGTCGGCCTTGTGCTCCTTTGGATCAGCCAAACAAGAGGTTTCCAACCATACCATGCAGTAGGATCATCTTCTAGAGGCTCATCATTCTGCAGAATAGTGGTGCTGAAATTGGACAATACCAAGGAGGCTGACTCAGAATCATCGCCATCATCATCATCATCATCCTTTGTCGTACAACAACAAGAAGAAGAAGAAGAAACCGAACAAGACGAAAACGTTGCAGCCGCTGCTTCCAAGTTCCAAATCACGACATGTCTATCTCCAAGCTGTAACCGAAAGAGACAAGAGGCTGGATTGGATCCCCTGTCTACCTTTGCTGCCATGTACGAACGAAGCAAACGGGCTGCTGGTGCAGACTCAGATTTATTTGTCACTGTGGAGGAAGGTCCATGCATGGGAGCTTGTCAGTACGGACCATGCATTGCGATTCAACATGATGACTTTGAAGGATCAGTATCTTTGGAAGGCATGACTGATACAGAGTTTTCGGATCGAGTCTTTCAGGAGATTGTCACAGAAGAAGATGCCGACCGAGTTTGGAGAAGTGTGGAGAGCGCCGTGCAACTCATGGCGGAAGACGAAGAAGAGTAGAACAAGGATCAACAACTCTTGTTCTTTGGGGTCGAAGAGGGGTCGAAACATTTGCTTGTTGAGCAGTGCAATGACAATTGCTATTTTCAAGAATGAGATTGATTCTTTACAGAACAGGAGACTGGCTGCTGGGTTCTTCACTGCTTGTTTTCGTAGGCGCACTAGTTGGGTTATCTCGCAAGTAAGAGACACACAAGACAGATTCCTGAGTGGTTGCTTAATCATTATATATTCAATATATTCATTAGAAACGAAATCAGAACAAAGCGGAATCCAACATAAAATGAAAAGCAAGTCATTGTTACAGTATAGTGGTATAGAAGCTACTGTTATAGTTTACAATTCATCTTCATCACTGTCATCGAACAAATTTCGTTCTGGAAAGTCTCCAACCTCAACATTGATCCCTCGTACAAATCCACCATGCTTGTCCATGGCTTCAAAGTATTGCTTGTTGTCTCCCTTTGGAACTCTTCCATCATTATTTCCGACTGGTTCATCAAAGGTGACACCCAGCCATTGTCCAGCACCCAACTCAGGGATGGGTCCAACATAGGAAACCAAGCCACGGCGACTGCCAGGTTGCACTTGGCACCGCATACCGATTTCTTTCCCAGCAACGGTTTCTTCCCCGTGCAACAATTCGTCTTCCTCTAAGGATGGGTCAGCAGCTTTTGAAACTGGGGCTTGGACATCATCATCGTCATCTCGACAGACCTTTCCATTCGTGTCGAGGAAAAATCCTTTGGGTAGAGGCAATCCTTGTTTGAGCGCCCGCTTGGCATCGACCATTTCTCGATGTAGCCTAGCATGCTTGGCCATGCTAAAGTTGGGGTTTTTGGCCCTTTGCTCTTCTCCCCATTCACGAAGAGTTCCCTTGCGCTGATTGTACTCCTCATCAGACATTCTATACTTCTCCACCAAGGAAGTATCCTCGTATTGTCCTCCAGCACTACCCGAATGTGGATTCAGATCGATGCAATGGACTTCCAAACCATGATTCACCAATCCAAAATATCCCAACTTGAAGTGATCTTCTGTTTCTGGAGGAATTTCTTGCATGACATGATTCGCACTCTTGATTTGCAAGTGCTGAAAATGCGGTGCCGTTCCCGACTTTTGATGAATTTTGTTTCTCAAGTGTTCGAGAGTGTCGTGCTTGTCAAACCGAATTTCAATGTGACGTTGTTGCAAGTTGGAATGCGTCAAATCCAAAAGGACTGTCGATTGGTGGACATCATCGTATTGGTGGACGTCATTCCCGGTTACCCACGCACGGACGGCCAACAAGTCTCTGTTTTTAATATCAGGATGAGGAGCATTGGTGGTCGTTGCACTCATGTTTGCTTGTTTGCGTTTGGGGGTCGTGTCGTGTGTTTTTAAAAAAAAGGATGGAAAAGCAAGACAATCTGAAGCACGTTCGTCAACAAAGAAAAGGCGTGTGTGCACGGTAGGCTCCGTTAATTTTTTTTAGTAGAACGTGTGGTGTGGAAGTTTAACAACCAACTTGTTGTTGTTGTCTTATTGCACTCGGAACGATTGAGGTTTTGGTTGTGTTCATCCAGCCGTGTTGGACGGGCGCGCGCCAGACAGATCGGGTTTTGGTTTTAGGTTGGACTACAGTAGTGGTAGTCAAAGTACGCGATACGACTATTTTTTGAGTTTTGGGAGGCTGTGATTGGCTGAGAAAAAACAAAAAATAGTCGTATCGTGTCCACAACTAAAATTTAAAAGTGTCCATTTGGGGCACGATACGATTTTATTTTTTTCGGGACACAACACAACTATTTTTTATGTTTTGATATTCTGCATAAAAGAATCTGAGTCTTTCTCGAATTATGGATATATGGTGCGAGAGCGCTTCTTTTTGAATAAACGCAGCCCAAAATAAATCACACGAATAGTTGGGTCATCACATTTCTATTTTACGTCTGCACTAATTCTCGAAGTATACCTAGCCGAAAGTCAAATCACGAGGTTTGGTCGTGCTATTTCTATTCCATATCTGATCTCCCTGTTGGAAGCTCCAATTCCCACCACATCGCTTCTGACATCAACATTACGTTGTTGAAACATATCAATGCTGTTGACAAGTCTTCTACATACAACATTGCCACAGAAATCAAGTGGAGCGATGCGTCGGGAAGCACTTAGGAAAATATCTAGTGAAAAGTTTTTACGCGAAACATCGTAGTCCTGTACTACTGAGGTTTTTCCAAAATACATTCGTATCGTGTCATCAAAATGACCCAAAAATGGGGTATTCAAAGTTCTCATGAAAACCATGCGATTCTATTGGTTGATTGAAAAAAACAAAAAATAGTTGTATCGCATACTTTGACTACCACTAGTATTCCGTATGATGATTCAAGATTCAGATTCTTCTCGAGTCATCACAGTCAGGATACGAATGCACAGCACAGACACGGTACGGCCCAGTTCTAATGATAGAAGGTGTAGGTACAAATACGTTTTATGAGTAGAATTAGAAAATGTTGGGAGTGAGTTTGAGATCAAAATTTTGGTCCTGGCTGGTCATCGATCCCCTGCATCAATGCTCTCAAAAAGCTCCATTCCAAAGGTTGGTAGGTGTAAAGCAACTAGTGCTGCCTGACAATTGCAGTACAGTGCAGAGCAGTACTTTTTACCAAGCACCGCCAAAGTTTCCACCACCGCCGCCTCCTCCTGAATAGCCGCCGCCGCCGCCATAGCCTCCACCGCCACCTCCGTAGCCGCCGCCACCAAAGCTACCACCACCTCCGTAACCGCCGCCGCCACCGTAGCCTCCTCCACCACGGCCGCCGCCGCCACCACCGCTTTTACGGTAATCACGTCCTCCAAAGTTGCTCTTTCCGCGACCGCCCCGGCCTCCTCCTCCACGTCCAGAGCTGGCACACATTTGGTTCAGCCAAGTTGGAACTTCTTGATCGTTCTCGTCTAGCAAGTCCCGAAGGTCACGACCGACACCAGCATTCTTTTCGTTGACAAATGAAAGAGCAGCTCCTGTGTTTCCGGCACGTCCAGTACGTCCAATTCTGTGAACATAGTCGTCAATGTTGGTTGGGAGATCAAAGTTGATGACTTGAGTGACATTTGGAATGTCCAATCCACGACTGGCAACATCAGTAGCCACCATCACTGGAGTGGTTCCACGCTTGAAGGCTCGAAGGGAATCTTCACGTTCCCGTTGGGTCTTGTCTCCATGGATAGAGCAAGCTGGGAAACCTTGGGAGCAGAGGACATCCTCAACATAGTCGCAATTTCTCTTGGTCTCGGTAAAGATAAGGATGAGACCATCTTCGACAGTCATCAAGAATCGCATCAACACATCCATTTTGTCTCGTTCTTCAACGAACTCGACGGTTTGTGTAACGTCCTTGGAGGCAGATCCGACACGACCGACAGTAAGGAAGATGTAATCTCTCATGAAATCACTTGCCAATCGTTGAATGTTTTGAGGGAAGGTAGCACTGAAAAGCATCGTGTGACGATCGTCACCTGCAGGCATGCTGGATTGTTCGACGATGAGACGGATTTGTGGCTGAATTTGGAATGGGAAGAAAAAAGTTAGACCCGTGAATGAAATCTGCGACAATAAGATTTTCACCCATCCATCCAATGACTCACCTCAAAACCCATATCAAGCATACGATCAGCCTCATCAAGAACCAAGAATCGAACGTTGTCCATACCCAGACGACCACGTTCGATCAAGTCCACCAAACGACCAGGGGTCGCAACCAGCAAATCGCAGCCACGATCAATTTGACGCAATTGGTCACGAACATCCGCACCTCCATAGATGACGACAGCTGCAATACCAGTGCAGTACGTGAAACGCTTCGACTCTTCGTGGATTTGCTGAGCAAGTTCACGTGTTGGGGCCATGATCAACGCCTCGGGGTACACGCGACGTCTTGCGTTCTCAGGCGGATCAGAACCTCCATGTCGAATCATGGACATGATAATGGGGAACAAGAAACCGGCAGTCTTTCCAGAACCGGTTTGAGCACAAGCCATCAGATCACGTCCAGCTTGACCAATGGGGACTGAGTACTTTTGGACAGGAGTTGGTCTGTCGTACCCGCAAAGCTGAGTGTTGCGGTACAAGTCTTCTCCGATTGTATCAACAGAGTAGACTTCGATAGGATCAGGTGAATTTTCACCAGAAACTTCCACGGGAATCTTGTCGTAGTTGTCAAAATTGATACCAGTGGTTTGCCTGTCTTCAGTACCGAACAGGGTACGTTCAAGACGCTTGTCAGGTTGGATATCTCCGTGAAACCCGCGGTCATTGCGTTTGGGACCGCCGCGGCTGTATCCTCCGCCGCCGCCGCCTCCACCACGGTATCCTCCACGGTCGCCGCCTCCGCGATCGTCGGAATCCAAGTTGGACCAGCGGTCACTGCTGGGGGGAGGACCGCCACCGCCGCCTCCACGGCTGCTGTAGCCACCACCGCCTCCACGGCTGTCGTAACCTCCTCCGCGACGATCGTCGCCATAGTTTCGTTGTTTGTCATAGGAGCCGCGACCTCCTCCTCGAGAATCACTTCGGCCTCCTCCGCTTGGGCGGGAACCACCATTGCTCTGAGAGTTTCTCAGATGCGGTGGCACATATTTATTACCTATGATGAGCAAATTAAAAGGTTAAGAGTTAGTCATCATACAGTATATTTCAGTATTTCCAATTGAGTCGCGCCTCCAAATGTTGGGATCGCATGGCCGGCGTTCGATGAGATGCTTGAGTGCTAGAGTCCAACAACCACTCGGAAAACCGAGAAATCATCCTCTTGTCGACGTTTTCCAGTGCATTCCGCCTCTCCTGACCGCTATTCTCTTGTCACAATGATCCCAGCACTCTCAGCCAAAAAGAAAGAACGAGAATTGGTTGCTAGCCTCACCATTTTGCATAACACGGCTGTTCAGAATCGTTGGTTTTCCAACTGTGGGCGCATTTGTCGAGAAGCTTGGGGAGGAACCCGGTGGGTGGGGCTTTTGCCAGCTCATTACCTTATCGATTCGTGCGGTCTGGCGCTGTCAATCGTGCGGTCGAATGAGTCGATCTGGGTGTGCGCGCAGAAATTTTCGCAAAATCGGCCAACTTTCTGAGCAACGGCTCTTTGATACGAAGCACATGTCTTTGACTTCCTGCACAAGCTGGTGTGCACCATCCGTTAATTGATAGAGAGCACAAGCCGGTTCTCTGAGAATGGACACGATAGCAAGTCGGCCGTGACACGTGCGATGTTTTTTTCGTCACGAAAACAGACAACTGAAAACATCTTTTTTTTTCTTCCCTCATTCAGCACACAGGACATCAAACCTTTGTCTCATATCGGTTGGAAAATCTAGACAAATCGTGTCGACGCTTGCTAAGATAGTTTCAGTCTCCACAAAGATCTGGATATTCGCATTTGAGTCATGGGTTTCTTTGGAAAGCTGAAGCGAAAGGTCAAGAAAAAGAAGGAACCGCAGACGAAACAGAACAAGAACATACCATCAGATGATATCCACAAAGATGGCGACTCCCTCACCAAGGCTTCGTCTTCCATGTCGTCATCCACAAAGAATGAAGCAAACATGAAGAAGGGAAAGAAGCTGGGAAATATTCGTTCCTCAGACGTTACCATGGACCAACTGCCACATCTTCTCAAGGACCTCGAAGATGGAACGGATGAAACACGTGTCAAGACTTCCAAAGCCCTCAAGATGCTATTTGCATTGTCAGAACACCCAGAATCACGCAATCGCATTGAAATGGTCCGATATGACAATGGAAGAATTGTGTCCGCATTGCTCAATGTTCTTTGTCGATCCACTCAAAAGAGCAACGAAAAGTACATGGCCTTGCTTGTTCTGAACAATATCAGCATCCCGGCGGAAAACAAGCAGGTATGTATGCGCCTTCATTTGGCTAGACTATCATTGATTGGTCATTACCAACTAACAATCTATTGCTTTTCTCAATCGAAACAGGTTATCGCTATTGTGCATGATGGGGGAAGGGTATTGTCCAAGCTATTGTGTGACGACCCTTCGTGCCATCTCATTGCCATTATTCTCGTGAATCTATCCTTTGCAGATACCGAGGTACTTGAGGAATTGGTCTCACTGAAGGCAGATACTGGTTTGGTAGAGGCTTTGTCATTTGCACTGCATATTTCGTCGTGGTCCACGGAAGAATTCGAAACTCAGCAAGTGGTTTTGGAAAAAGGAGTCCACAACGAAATGACACCCCAAGAACGCCTGGATTTACTAATTACAGAGGAGGAAAATCGAACATATGATAGCGATGCCAAATTCATACCAGAGCAGGAAAAATATCCCGAAACTGCTCGTTGGTGTCTATCTGCACTGAAGAATTTGTCCCGGGTTGTGAAGGATGCATGTACAGTACAAGCTCTAGTTCATCCTATGATCTTGAATGATATTCTTAAGTACATTACCATTGCAGAAATTGTCCTCCCGCATTCGGAAAGCCATGGTTCGGATTCGTCGGCAGAAACCCCAGTACCCAGAGAGCCTACCGATGAACTTATCAATGCCCCTTATCTTTGGGATGCCAATTCCAAGCAAGACGCAGCATTATATATTCTCATGAATCTCTGTGCTTGTAGCGTTTCTCGGGTTGTCTTGAAGGATTCGGACGCAATTGAAGTCTTGCAGCAAATTGTGGACAATGCTAACGTATTGTGCAGCAAGAAATCTCTCTCCACACGGGAACGAAGCCAGCAAGATTTGCAATGCCTCAAGTCACGAATGGCTATAGGCTTTTTACTTGGATTTGAGGGAAGCTTTGGCCATGCAAAGATGAAGTCTACGTCTTCGACGGTTGCAGCCAACGCTCCAGAATCACCAATGGTCATGACGGAGTCGGACGCCGAACTATTGGTAGAGTTCTTGGCGCGATCGCTGCATTTGCGGGGCAAAAAAGGCGCTGCAGCTTTTTCAGCGACAGCCATGAGTACTGGATACATTTTGTTTGGCTTGCGTTGCCTCATGGTCCATACCTCCAATCAAGAGCTGCTGGTCAGAGTGGCTGGACGCATTTTGAACTCGCTCTTGATGAAAGCGATTGCCATTCATACCTCGCGACCGAGTGCAATGGTCGATGCAAAGGCTGCAGAAGACGCATGTTTCAGTCTTTATCTCCTTTCGAACTATGGTTTCAAGGTAAGCTAGTGCAGAAATAATAATTCCAGATTGTTACCTTTGCAAGAACAGTCCCTCTAACATTGTTTCCCGTTGTCCCTGAAGAATCCCTTCCTTCCCTCTTGGTTGGATGACGAAGACGAATCATTGAGCGTGTCAGCGAAAGTGGTGAAATCATATCTTGACATGCCAAGCGTTACGCCACTGGGCAAACACTCTGCTGAACAACTCCTGTTCCGTCTTAAGTTTTTGGTATTCGAAGGTGAAGTCTTCGACCTTATTCCACAAAACGGTGAGTTGGCCGTCACTGATATCTTCTTTGAAGACGACATTATGGATGCCATGTCGGAGGTCCAATTGCAATTTCGTCTTCATGGTGCCAGACCAAAAAAGGAAATCTTCGATCGAAGCATTCTCAGACGACGAAAGCCAAGAGACGGGAATACCGCCGCACCATGGGACAATGCCGCCTCTGTTGCTACTTTTTCATCAGCATTGCAGGCAGTGCAGCAGTTATCTTTTGGAAGCTCGAAAGTCCGACATGTGGATGGCATTGATGACGTTATGATTGCCAACAATCTAGCAAAGTGCGCAAATGGACAGCGCACTGAGGCGTATGGCTTTATGTGGAGCTGGGAAGATACTGCGAATGAAATTCAGCTCAATATGAAGCGTCGTGGATCCCTGAATGCTGACTTCCAGGAGCCAGGAGCCTCAAATAGTACCTTTGCTTCCAATGACACCTCTTCAACGATTTTTTCTCGACTATTTACATGTGGAAATGTTGAGACAACCGCCTAGATTTTTGCAGATCTGGATATTTTATAACTAATATTAACAAGATAACACTTTATTCCAAAAAGTCTTGTATTTTCCGTCATCGAATTGTGGGCTATCGAGCCAAGTCTATCATCCACACTAGATGTTGGCTTCGGATAACTATACTATAAAATCAGGTTGCAATACAGAAAAATTCCATAAATTTAGTATTGCATTTTTGTCGGTTGAGTCGACACGTAGGATCTTACGAGCGGCGAGCCATGGTCGGCAATGGATGTCTGAATGATTGCAATTGGGGCTGCGGTTGACAATCTTACTATTGAGGACTCATCGCAATCAAGGGACGCAGCGCTTACGACCATTTGTATTGTCCACGATAAAGTATCTGAAGTGACGAACTGCGAGATTGAAGCCTTGGACGAATTGAATTGTCCCATTTTTGTTGTTGTCAAGGGTATCAATGATCCACACGGTGAATTGCTTTAAACCTTCATTCAATTCGTAGGTACAAGAAAGAAAGCAATGGTGACCCGTCGCAGCCGAAGGGCTCAAAAGAAGCCCCCAGAGGTAGTGCCGCCAAAGTCCGATGAAGAGCAACCTGATGCGGAGGCAGGGGATGATAATACTGGTGAAAGTGACGAAGAAAGTGATGATAAAACTAACACCACTGAAACTAGTTCCAGGCCACGACGACGGCAAAAAGGAAGAAAACCAAGAGGGTCGGGGGAATCTGAAAACGAGGATAACTCAAGTGACGAGGGGAAGAGTAAAGAAAATACGGATAGTGGTGCTAGCTCTGATGATGAGCCACTATCTGCCAAAGCCAACGCCAAGAGAACGCGGCAACAAAAGAAGCCTGCTGAAACGGACGGCGAGGGAAAGAAGACTCCTAACCGCAGAGGAAGGCAGCGGAAGAACGTTGAAGAGGAGAGCAATGCTGAAGACGGAAGTGATGCTGAAAAAGAGACGATACGGAAGTCCAGGAGACGAAATGCTGGACGTCGCAAGCAACAGGACCCTTCATCTGCAAGCGAAGACGGATCGGCCAAGAAACGAACACGAAGAAGAGGCCGGCCAAAGAAAAGTCAAGATGCTGAAGACAGTGACTCAAAAATGGAAACTGCTGAAGAGGATGGTGGATCAAGTGAAGAGGAATCGACCAATAAACCGACACGAAGACGCGGTCGACTAAGGAAGAATCAAGATACAGAAGACGACAACTCGAAGATGGAATCCGCTGAAGAGGAGTCCGCAATCGCAGAGGAATCGACCAAGAAGACGGCACGAAGACGAGGTCGACGAAGGAAAAATCAAGATACCGAAGACGACGACTCGAAGGTGGAAAGTGCTGAAGATGATGGTGGATCAAGCGAAGGGGGGTCGACCAAGAAAATAACACGAAGAAGAGGTCGACTAAGGAAGAATCAAGAAACTGAAGACAGCGATTCGAAGATAGAAACTGCTGAAGAGGATGTTGGAACAAGTGAAGAGGAATCGACCAAGAAACCGGCCCGAAGACGAGGTCGACCAACGAAGACCGAAGACACTGACTCCAAGATGGAAACTGCTGAAGAGGGTGGCGGATCAAGTGAAGACGAATCGACCAAGAGACCGAGACCAAGACGGGGTCAACAAAAGAAGAAGCAAGATGTTGAAGAGAGCGACTCCAAGATGGAAAGTACTGAAGGAGGTGGCGGATCAAGTGAAGACGAATCGACAAAGAAACCGAGACGAAGACGAGGTCAACAAAAGAAGAATAAAGATGTTGAAGAGAGCGACTCCAAGGTGGGAGCTGCTGAAGAGGACGGTGGATCAAGTGACGTCGAAAACAAGCGCAAGCCCACCGGAAACGACGAAGCGACCTCAAGACCTGCAAGAAGACGGGGAAGAACCAGGAAATCATCCGAGTCCACCTCCTCCAACGACGAGGGAGAAGAGGAGACTCAACCAAAAGACGCCGAGAACAAGGCCTCAAAGCTGGACACAGCTGCTGACCCAGTGAGCAATGATGTGCAAACCAGGGACAAAGAAGCGCAGCCGAAAAGTGGTCGTCCTGGAAGACCTCAAAGCGGATCTGCTCATGAAAAAGGAAGTAGTGAAGCAAGAGAGCCTTCATCAAGAAAACGTGGCAGAACACCCCCCGTTCCCAGCAGCGACGATGAACCTAATGGTTCAAACCAACCAACGCGGGTGTCGAAGCGTCGCCTGGAGAGGGTCGACGAGACTTTTGCTGCTGCAATTGACTCTGCTACACCTTCCGACGAGAAAAATGCAAATGAAGATTCTGCTGAGACTAGCAGCGAGAAGCCGACTACACAAGAAGAGGCTAGCACGGAAGCTGCTGCAAAGGACAAAAACGAAGATGGAGGCTCGTCTTCTAAGCCGGAACCAAAGCAAGAGAAACAAGAGGCGACAAGCACGGAAGCTGCTGCAATGGACAAAAACGGAGGAGGCCCATCTTCTAGGCCGGAGCCAAAGCAAGAGAAGCAACAGACTGAAAATGATAGCACAACTGAAACGTCCACACGTCGTCCTAAAAGACTACGAGGATCAACAGAGCAGCCAGCTGAAACCGCTGCGACAAAAATCATTTACGATGCTGAGAAGAATGAGAAGGAAGACAAGGATTGTGAACTGGAAACGCAAGGCAAGAAACGTTCAAGAACAGACGTGAATGAATCTACGAATAATGCCCGTGACAGCGCTGGGGATTCTGTTGCAAAGCAAGTCGAGCCAATCTCCACGAAGGCGGAGGCCAACAGTTCTCCCAAAACTGCCGAGGAGAAAGACAGTGAGAAGGAAAAGAGCGAAAGCAGCAAATCAACGCAAGACCACAACGACGTTGATCCAGGTACCAAAGTACGAGTCACAGAGGCAAAGGATCCATCAGAAGCAGCGACAAGAAGCGACATACCTGATGCTTCCGAGAAGAAGACTTTTCCAGAAGGAGAAAAAACTGAAGTTATTGTACCTACGGCTTCAAGCGGTAGTAAGGATATTGGCGATGACAAAAAGGCCGATCTATCAACAAAGATGGGGCCTTTGGTGACCAAGCCGTTACCAACAAAAGTTAACCCTTTGGTGACCAAACCCTTACCAACTAAAGCTAACCCTTTGGTGACAGATCCCACTGCAAGGCCAAGCTCTGAATCGTATGAAGTGGTTTCACACGGCAATGCTTCTTCGGAAAAGAAGGCACAGAAATCGGATCAGTCGGAATGTCAGGTTTCCGTCGAGCACAACCAGAGCAAAGCCATTGCTGATAACGATGGTCCGACATTATCCTTGGAACCACCAACAACGAAGATGGAAGCAAATGATTCTCCCAAAGTGCAGCCTTCGTCTCCCGTCTCCGCTAGTGTCCAGCCTTCAACAAGCGACGACAAGAAGCCAACTGCCGGTTTTTCAGATCCTGCCATGACCCCGTCAGAAAAAACGGACAAGAGTGAGAACCAAAATGGCAACAGAGCAAGTGATGATATGGATGTAGACAGCCCGGTCAAAGACGTTACGATGGCAGGTGTTAAGAAAAAGACACCTACTCCTGGAATGGCAGTGGCTGTTGAAACGAGTCACGGGAAGGAGTCGCAACCCAAGCCGTCAGAAATTGCGCCATCTATTCCCCGACCCAAAGCAGTGCAAACCGTAGTCCCAGGAGAAAAGGAAGAAGAAAAAAGATCATCTTGTGATGCTGAGCTCCCGGTCATTGCATCGGCTGCCAAGAGCATGTCGAACGAAACGATGGTCATTCCTACTGACACGAGCACCCCGCGCGAAGAGTCAAACGCAGGAGCAACCGATTCCAATGAACCCGTTGCTTCTGACAACATTTCGGAATGCGTCGATTCATCCCCTGTCACTGAATCATCATCAGAAGATGACGACGAAAGCGACGGCGAAGATGATCGACCAGAGCCACGTTTCGAAACAAAAGCAATGCCTTTTACTTCTTCAACTCTTTTGCCTAATGCAAACAAGCAGCAGAATTCTCTAGAATTGCTTGGAAACAAGGTGGACAGAGTGAAAACTATGCTGTACACGATTGGAAGCAGAGTACACCGCGGACACGGGTTTGAGCGTATATTTGCTAAGTACTGGGATGCTCTTACAATGAGGCTATCCGATCGTTTGTCAAGCTATGCTAGCCGTCAGTGCAATGCCGCGGTGAAGGCGTTTCTGAAATCCCCAAAACTTCGAAGAATTCACAACAAGTTGGTTGTCAGTAAGTGCCAATGCTCTAATACCGTCCTTCTGGAGCTTCGTCTCACGCTCTTTTTGCTAGCTCTTATGAAAACATCAATGAAGTCGTTTGCACCTCTGAATGAGATTTCTGATCACATTCCGGAAGTGTGGTATGGCAAGGTGAAACAGGTTGATCGCGTGCTCGTAGAGGACGGTGTAAAGGAAACAAAACGTCAACGGAAAGCTCGAGAGAAGAGATCTGCTCGGAAACAGACGACCGTCTACCGGGAGGCGTGGGCGTCAACACAGGGGACCGAAGAAAATTCTACCTCAGCAATCTACCTCAAGACTCGCAGTCAAGAAGTAGACATGAGGAAGATCTATGCATCCTCAGCTACTATACCTGGGGCTCTTGTGATTGACCCCCTTGTGCGCGACATTGCCGAGCAGAGCAACATGCGTGCATCTGAGAATGCGATTTGGCTTCTAATTATTGCGGCTAGAGAGCACACATCGAATGTTTTGAAAAATGCTTTGCAACACAAGGCAGATATGGAGTGTGGCGAGGTATCAGAACCATTTCTGCAGTATCCGAATGTAATTGCAGGCACAAAGATCGCACCAAAGAAAGATACGCCAGCTGAGACGACGGAGCAACAGCCAACTGCTCCTGTGGACTTCAGACCTGGAAAGTCGCAAAAGCGGAAGGTTGTCACCTCCTTTGACATTTATTCCAGTTCGTTGGCCGTTCCTGCTGGCCCACCGGCATCTCTTGGTGGTTCTGTCTCGACGACAGCTTTAGAGCTTGGTTTGCAAAATGCTTATACTTCTTCTACAAGTTGCCCTGGCACAGACTTCTCAGATGTGCAAAAGCATATTGTCGAGAGAATAACTTCACTTGCACAAGACCGAAAGGCTATGCTGCTTGCACGCGGAGAGGAGGCAAAATCGAACCAAATGAATTTAGTGACCAGCCAACAGCAAGCGGTGAACAATGGGCAGAACGTTGTAAGCAACAACAGCGTTGTTAGCAACCCTCAAGTTGGAGTTGGAGCCACATCAGCTGTAGGAACACCCGCAGTCAGTTTGAATGCCCCAGCCAGAGGTCAAGCTCGCCAGTATCAAAATAGCATTCCCACCACAAAACCAAAGCCAGCATTGGCTGTGCAAATGCAACAAGGAAAAATTGAGACAATTCCAAGTAGCACACCAACAAATGTTGCAGCAGCTTCGTTGAATACTCCAGCGATTGCTAGAGAGGCAAAGCCTGTGGCTACAATTCCTGGTCGACTCGGTCGTGGGGCCAAGGATTTAGCGGCTTTGATAAAACGATCTTCTGCTGAGCCAGCTCCAGCTCCAACCGCAGCCCCAGTCAGCAACGACAAAGTCAGGGTTGCAACTGAAAGCACGACGGTCCCTCCGGCAAATCCTCACACACAGAAGCCAGCCGAAGGCAGTGGCACCGATGAGCTCGGTACCTCAACTGGCTCCGGTAGACGTGGATTAGGATTCGGCAGAAAGAATCTTTCTGCCATGATTTCTCGTACCCCAAAGCCTGGCGACGACAATAATGCCCCAAAACCTGGCGAAGACAAGGCTGCGCAAGCCACAGTCGTGCTGAAGGAGCAGCAAAAGCAAATACCAAAGACTGGTACAAGACCGACTGGTGCGAAAGACTTGAGAGCAATTAGAGGTGCAGCAGGATCGAAGGATTTGGCCGCCCTGAAAGCACGGTCTGAGGCTAGGGTTAGCAGCGAAGCAGTGAAAACGACGGAAGAGACAGAGCAGAAGAAAGAAGCAGGACCACAAGGGGCGGCGATCGACCCAAAATCTGCACAAAAAGTACCCGAAACCTCCACGGAAGCTGATACGCCAATTGCAGCCTCTGTTCCGCCCAAACCATCGAATTCGACTCAAAACAAGGCAGATTCATCGATAGCACCACGTCCAGCCAACGCAGCGAAGACAGATTCAACCAAAGCTCCAAGTCCAGCTGATAACAAGAACGCGGGTGCCCCAGATTCCAATGATACCAATAGCAGGGACAGGGATACCAAAGGTGGCGAGAGTGACGACAGTTCCGTCGTAGTCATTGAAAGTGTGAAGCCGGCACCAAAGGCTGGCAACAAAGACGCTTTTTCGTCCAGTGAAGGTAATAAGACTGTTGCGTCCATCGGACAGCCCAATGGACACAAGGTCGAGGTGAAAGATGCAAACGCCCCAAGAAATACCCAACCAAGACCAGTAATTGCACCTGAAAAGCCAGAGGAGTCCAAGTCAGCAAAAAAAAGCTTGGTAGAAAAGGAGTCAAAAGTTGCCAAGGACGCACCGGTCACTTCTGAAGCGAAGGCTACGTCGGAAGCAAAAGGAGACGCCGTGGGCGGCCAATCTACTGCAAGTCCACCTACGGCAGCTACTACGACTGTTCCTGCAGCTTTGGCTGATGCGGCAACGCCAAAGACTGGCGAGAGTGACCCGGCAAGCGCATCAAAATCTGACGAAAACAAGCCGATGAAAGGCAGCACAGTGAAACCTGATGGAACAAAGGCTGATGAAACTGCTAGAGCCAAAGCTCAAGAAATCAAGGTGGATTCTTCCAATGCTTCCGCAAAAACGGATGAAAAAGCTGAACATTCCAAGTAAGCGGGAAAATCTATGTATATGAAATCGACTATAGCAAGTGATATATTATCATTGACTATTTACCAAATTAATATATCGTAAAATAAGCTCCTGTTATAGTCATCTATTTCACGGAACCAAGTCTGGCATGTTTAGAGTTCCATTTGGATCCATTAATATTGGACCAAGTCGAATCCCATCGTAGGTCTCTGTTGGAAATGTACCTGCAAGGACATCTAGTGAGACACGCGCGATCCAAGAGAAGCGGGAAGAAGCGCTTTGACCAAGATGAAGCTGTGTGTTATCATCACCAACAAAACAACACCAACACCATGACGGCTGGCACGCCAGATCCTGTAGAAGCACCGCCTCCGGTCTGGGATGGTACTCAACAGCCAGCACCTCCAGCTTCCTTGAAATTGTGGAAAGAGGTTGGAGAGGGATTGGATAAGAGTCAAACTGGTGAGTGATTTGTTTTGAGTCATAGGATTCCTACGGTGGCAAGTACCAAGTTCCTACCAGAAAATCAAAACATTGTTTGGAAGACAAGGAGACCATTTTGGAGGTCCAAAACAATTCCAGAAGCACAAAAGCAGACGAATATATTCATTGAATCATGACATCCGTGCTAGGATCATTGGCAGGCTTTCTAATGTTCGTTTTATCTTGTTTTTAGTCGTTTGGAAGAGTGCTGTTGAGTCTCTGGATCAAGCGAAGACTTATTTTCGATCATCCATTGAAGCCCGCGATTTTGTAGAGAGATACATGACTCCGATAATTGGAATATTGGTAGAACAGCAGCCAACAAAGATTGGTGCTCATGAGCGGAATTGTGTTCAAGAAAGTCTTGCGCTGGCAGTGTCTATTGTTTCCATCGATTTGGAGACCCAAATTCAACAAAAGGGTGAATGTAAATTGATGGATGCTCTCGCGCTCGTTTTCAATAAAAAGAAAGCATATTACAAAGGAAATAAGGCTAATTGGAATGTCAGTCACCTGAGCGGGTTACCGGAAGTTAGGCTGAAGATGATTGAGCGGTTTCGACACGAACAAGGATTTACGAGGTTCTGCCTGTACATGTCGGAGCGATTGAATACTGCTTTGTTCCCCAATCTGGTATTCATACATCAGATTTTGACGGCAGTTTTGGATGCTTTGCCAATTCGTGCGCCGGGACAAGACCCTTCGTTACTGAGCGAGATGGAGGATGCGGCAATTGAAATTGCCAGGCCAGTTATGGATTTTATTGACAGTCACAATGACAGAGAACTCAAAAAGCTTTCTTCGGATCACTTGAACAATGTACTCCATGATTTGCAACGAATCTTTGATAAGCTCATCATCACAAAACGGGAAGCTACATACCAATTCTATGCTTTCTGGAGAGGCGTAGCCATGAAGCTCATCAAAACGGAGTCCCTTCCGTTACGGCTCGCTGGTTGGCAACAGATTGAAGATATCCTTGAAGCGAGCGCTGATCATCAGCCGCCACCGAGAGGCTTCCAGGTCATGGATGCAGGTTGTACGTTTGTAAATGGAAAATACCTTTTCAAAGGACCCAATACTCCCGATGGCTATGCCTACCAGGGCATGGATGTCAAGTATGAGCGGGCTATCCCAGAAGATGAACGAGATGGCGGAGGCAAGAAACTCACTCTGTTTCGCTGTACAATGCGGTCGCAGCAAAAGTGGTGGTTTCTTTCTGAAGCGGACGAGGAGCAACCTGGAACGGATCGTGACATTGATTATTATCAGCACAAATCAAAGGCACACGAGGAGAAGCAGCCACCGCAACGTGGTTGGATCACATGTCGGAACGCTGGATTGGACCCATCCCCGCATTTGCAGGCAGTTGGGCTCATGGTTCCCCCTGGAGAAGAATTCACGACTTTGGAACACCAGCTTGCTCAATGGGCGATAGAGAATGATATCATCGAATTGGTGCTCGGAGACTCCGTTCATAGAGAAATTGTTGCTCGGTCGACACCACTTTTGAACTTTCTTGCTTCGATGTGTGAGCGCGATTCTGGTGTGGAGAGTACGGGAACAAGGCAACCGAATATGTATTGCCTCCAAAAGTCACACCTTCTCTTGGCTTGGAAGACATGCACGCGGAAAGCCGATGCTGCAGTGGCTACACAGGTATTTCAACTTCTTGTATCAATACTCCCATCCTGTCCCAGTAGTCTTGCTATCCCGCTGTTGAAGGCAGTTCAAGAATCCCTTTTTGACAACAAAGGAAAGAGAGATTACCTCCCTGAAGTGGCGGAATTTTGTTCCGCTCTGGCAGCGGCAAACTCTGCTGACACAAAATCTGCTTCTACAATAAATCTTGCAGACGATGTACGAGCAGAGGTTTTGGAGTTGCTGTGGTCTGTACTGACGCACCCGGAGGCTTCACAATTGAAGAGCTACGATAGTCTGAAGCAATATGTCACCAATGAATTGCGAGTCGAGCCAAAAGGTGAAGAGCATAGAGAGAAATACCTCAGAATATGTGTGCAAACTCTGGCATCCAACGCAGGAATAGTAGAACGGGGGAAAGTTGACGAGACCCAGGCATTGCGGATGGTCCGATTGACACATTTTGTCCTTGAAGCGTGTCCTCGGCCCCAAGCAGCGACTTTTGTGATGGAAAAGGGTGGGACTCTGCCGAAACTTTTATTCAGTGAGTTGACAGCGTTCATGAAGCGCAGAGATGCAACAGTACCACAGAGCCCTCGAAAGGTAAGATTTCTGTTGACACCTCATACGTTGAAAATGCCCCAAACTAATGGATCTCTATTGTCAAGTCACCACAACCTGATTCCACATCTAGTTTCGACCCAAATCCGCTATCACGACGTCTACACATTTTGAGATACGCATATGGCTTGAACCAAGCAATTTTCATGGACTTAGGACAGCTTAATGAACTTTGGCAACTGTGTTCGTCGTCGAGAGAACGAGAAGAGGCTATGATTTTTATCGCAAATTCTTCCTTTCCAGGGCCAACCAATGGCGACACTCCAGCAACCGCTCAGCCTCAGCCACAAAATGCTGCGCCCAATTTAGATCTTCTCTCTGCTGCCTTCACAGAAGAAGTATGCGCGAATGCCTTCTTGAGTCTGTTTTGTGCCGCTTCTGTTTCGTTTAAGTCGCTCGGGGAAGGTGCATATCGGAGCTTGCAAGCAATCTTCAACAAGCTTCGACAATCGCCAACTCACGGAAGAGAAAGTACTGCTGCCGGTTTGGACTCTTTGTGGCGGATATGCTTGGAGACGGGAAGCAATGATGTTGCCGCGAAAGCAATGAATGACCTTCTTGCGGTCTACATATCGTACAACAGCGATAGCTCAAGGTGGACTTCGAACCAGCCGCTTAATGATTCTTTCAACGAATCTCCATTCGAGAGCTTTGGAAAGCGTGTATTTGATTGCCTGACACATGTGAAAAATGGTCTTGAAAACAAAGATCAAACTGCTGAAATGGCTGCTGAACGATGTCTTCGAATTTTGAATGCAGCAATAGCGCAGGGTGGTGCTGGTGGATCGGTTGCTACTTCGACGGTCAGTCGACTGACGACCCTGTCCCCTGTCGATGGGATTCAGCAAGTGATCAAGTTTCTTCCACATGGAATGCGAGGCCAGGCTTGCTACAGAAAAGTTGGCATTATGGCGAAGTCAACCAATACAACCCAGCAAGGAGCAGTTACGCCAGGTGCAGCCACAAATCCCGGTGCTGTTCGTGTCCAACCGACGAACCGTGGCCCATCGACGTATCGCTTCACTCTTGATGTACATCCTCTGGAGACTCTACAATCGATAAAAGCAAAAGTTGCATCATACTGCAATTGCTCAGAAACATCTGTAAAAGCCATCACCATTAACGGCCGTGCTGGCAATCAAACAAGTGAAGGAGAATCGGCACAGCAAGTTGGACTGAACTTGGTTGCCGAGACCGCCGTCGCTGATGAAATTGGGATTGTTCAGGGTTGCGAGATCGTATTTGCCCTTACAGAACCACCAGCGCATCAAGTCGTGCCAAGTGTTACTAATCCCATGGTCCGAGACCTTTCTCAAGACTTGAGTGATATCTTCTACAAAACTGAAAGCAAATTTCCGGATAAACTTTTGCAAATGCTACTGCAAGTTCTGGAAGCACTGCCATGGAGGGAACCAAATGCTGTTGTCGATGAATCTTCTGTATCAGTTGACCCCCACAAGCTTGTATGGGATCTTATCCTCGCAATGCCTACGAATGCAGCAATTGATGAACAGGTGCAAAAGGCCGCCCAAGGCCAAGGTGATTCAGCGAGCCGAGGAGATGACGCCATGGAAATTGATGTACCTAGTTCAGAACGGTGGTCAAAGGTACTGGACTTGAACAACTTTCACCGATCGGTCTACGTGCTTCTTGCAATCGATGCCTTGTTGCACCCCGCGGTAGAAACCCTGTCTTGTTTGCCTTTTCAACAGCGCCAGATTCTTGAGAGAGAAACAATGAATCGCGCAGCTTCCTTCCGACGAGATTTCATCGAATCAGGAGGTTTTGATGGGGTAGTTAAGTTCTTTTCTTCACCAGAGCAGCATCTTGAAATGAGTCAAGGTATGAAGAGAATGGGCAATGCTGTTGCATTGAGAATCCTGAAATGTTGTTTGTTCGGTGGAAAAGTGTCACCCTCGGATCCTACTAGTCAGCCTGGCCAATTGGATGACGCCGGGAGCAAACTGCTTCAATCCTTATCTGACGCGGAGGGTCTTCTCAATAGCCTTGCTGCAATGGTCGTTGGAGATAGCGGGATTTCGACATCAACAATATCTGATGTACTGAAGTTCCTACGGCTGCTTTTCAGATCCACAAGCACTGCTCAGAGTTTCGTCTCCCTGTCCAATGGAATGGCGGAACGATTCATCATCACCCTATTGCTCTGGGAAGGAACCTCCGATTCAGCCCGCCACGCATCATCCATCACTGCCGCATCGAAAGTGAGGAAGAATGCCCATGATCTCATACTTTCTACTTCGATCCTGTCTGAACACGCGATGCCATGGCTTATCCAAGCCATTGATCGAGTCGACGTAACATCGGAAGTGACTGCAGAATTCTTTGATGTGCTTCAAAAGCTTGTATCGGTTACAGACAGTTCACGACCTGGTGAATCAAGCGCAATGGCGACTGCTGTGTGTAAGAAGTTGGCATCGTGTCCTCGACCATCGGCTGAGGCGGCCTCGGTAGATCTGACAACAGGTGTCTTGTGTGGTTGTCTCACTTTGATGAGAGCACTGATTGAGAAAGGCGAAGGAGATAGCTTCAAGAGTGGCATCGACCTTTTGTTGAATGGTGCTGATATCAAGCGATGGTCTGATTTAGTGTCTGCTCCAAACAGCGGTATGTTTTCCACAGCTTCAAATGCTCAAGCTAAGACCGAAATTAGCGACAAGGCTCTTGTCGATATGATGGGTGTCATCTTTGATGTTTTCCTTTCGCCAGGAGTATCATCGTCTGAAATGCCCATTTGCTCTGATAAGGAATCCCGGCAAAGAGGGTTCGATGTCGTCAGTTCAGCAGCCCGATCTTGTCTTGGCAGCACTGGCTACCTGGCGCTTGTTGCAAGGATAAATGGTTTGGTATCATCTTCGGCTCCCTATCTGAAGCACAATTGGGGTCAAGTCGCTGGCGGAGGTGATTTGCAAACACGTGGAAGCAAGGTCTCTTCGAAATATTCTGGTCTTCGGAATCAGGGCTGCACTTGCTACATGAACTCGGTGCTCCAGCAACTTTTCATGATGCCGGAGTTGCGTAAATCAATGTGTTCTGCCCCTCTTCCTGCCGCGATTCGCTCTTCTGGAGGTACAGTTGCGACAAAAGGCGTCGATCTTGTTGGAAAGCGCCTTGCCATCCAATGGGAAAACGGCATGTCATACGATGCTGTTGTTGAGGCTTTTGATAAAGATTCAGCAATGCACACCATTCGATATTGTGCACTGCCAGTGGCCATAGTTGGAGGTGCAAACCATCACCAAGTGCACGCCGAAGACATAGATACCCTGCCACCCCTTCTTCCAGAAGAGTTCGTCCTAACAGAAGGTCGCCCTGGCAAAGAGACGGGTGTTTTTGAGATTGTGAATACTACATCAAATGACTCAGCTTCAGCCGCTGCCGCGGGAAGCACTGAGAATCCGCCTGGTGCGATTGAGGAAAGCGAAGACGAAGCGGCGTCACGACACCTGATGGAGGAGTTCCAGCGAACTCTTATTCACCTGGAGGAAGGCTCGAGAGGGCGGTGCTTCGATCCGAAAGGTCTCGTCGAAGCCAGTACCATTTTGAAAATGGAGTTCGATGTCTGGCAACAGAACGACGCGTCAGAATTCGCCACTAAATTGTTGGACAAACTTGAGACGTCGTTGAAACGATGGGCTCCTGACAACTTCAGATATATGGATCATACATTTGGTGTGAAGCAAACGAAACAGAAGATTTGCAAGGAATGCAGCTTGAAGGTATGTTGTAAATGTACGAGTATGTTGTTCATTCACGAGATATTGAGCTAACACTTTTTCTGCCACAAAGACAAACCGTGAAGAAAAACTTCTCAACATCGATTGCCAAATTAGAGGCAAATCTGATATCCATGAAGCACTTGCTGCTGTGACAGAGACTGAAATAATGGATGGCAGCAATAAAGTCTTTTGTGATAGGTGCAATAGAAAGACTGATACCATCCTAAGGACAGCAATATCCACTTTGCCAAATATGCTGGTTCTGTCTCTGAAGAGATTCGATTTGGACTTTACAACGTTCGAGACAGTGAAACTGAACAGCCGGTGTTCTTTTGGCCAGAGTTTGAACCTGAAGCGATATACGTTGGATGGAGTCGAGGCAATGGAGCAGGCTGGTGCCGAAGAAAAGCAAGACGGTCCGTCTCCTATGGATACCGGAGAGGAAGATGCCCTGAGCCACTTGCCCGATGACGATTACGAATATCGTCTTGCCGGTGTTCTGATACATGCTGGAGTTGCCCAAGGTGGTCACTATTACAGTTTCATCAAAGACCGAAATCCTGGTTCAGATGAAAAGTGGTACCGGTTCGATGATGAAGATGTGACTCCATTCGATCCTGCTTCAATCGAGACTGAATGCTTTGGAGGAAAAGTCAAGAAAGAAACGAAATGGCCAAATGGCCAGGTTCATACAGTTGAAAGCGAGCAGTTCGCCAACGCGCTCATGTTGTTTTACGAGAAAGTCAAACCCACAGATCCCCCTCCACCAAGCGAAAAGGAGCAAGCAGAAACTACCGAAAAAATCCCACCAGGACTTCCAATGTCAAGTGGCTACGATGTCTTCGAACCCGATGTCGAAAAGTCAAATTCTACTCACAAGTGGCAAACTTTCATGTTCGATCCCGAATTTCAGGGTTTCTTGAAGGGACTACTTGGAATGTGTAGGATGTCTGCGACTGGTACGGACCAGATGTTAGATACGGGTATTAGAGGCAAGGGATTGCCAGTCGATACTTGGAGAGGATCTGTTGTGCAGATGATTTTGACATTCTTTTTCGATATATATCTCTACTCAAGTGAAAGGCCAGCTCTGGATGAATGGGTTCAAATGCTAGAGGAAACCATGGAAGCTCACCAAAATTCCGCAAGAATATTTGTGACGAAGCTTGCTTCGAAAACGAGAGAAGTGAGCGGAAATTGGTTGGCCACGTATCTTACCGATTGTCCAGACCGAGCTGCTCGAATTGCATCTGTGCGAGTATTCAGTGCTGCAATCAAGTCATGTATGGTACTGCCTGACGAACAAGAGAAGCTTGGTGGATGGGCAGGAGCTTGGAAGGAGCAAATTGCTTCTATTGGGGATGCGATTCGTCAACCAATCCCCTGTTCCCTTGAAGTTAACTGGAAGTCCTTCGAGGAACCGAAATCCTCGACAATGTCTACAATTGGTGTTATTCTTTCCGCAACGAATTCTTTGCTTGATGCATCTCCACGAAATTGGCGGTTTAGTCCAGAACTTTATCTATTTGTTCGCAACTTGGCAAACATCGATACGGAATATGGAGGCGACAAAGTGAGACAAGCAATGATCGCATGTCTCGTTCCAGCGCGATTGTGCTGCCTCGTGGCGAAAGATCGATCACCTTCACTCCTCAGAGTTGCGTTCCCGGGATCCGCGGTTGGAAATGACGTGGCTGAGTCTCAAATGCGGCCGGAGCAAAACCCTGCTCCGCAGTTGATGTCAATTACCGGCAACGCAGTTATGAACCCTCCAGATATGAACTATCGTGGTGGAGGATCGCCAATCGATTTTTTGCATCTTTTTGAGGCCCTTGGTTGCCTTCTTGGTGTTCGGGGAGTCGTACACGCCCCTCTCATCTCTGATATTGATGAAGCTACCAGAGGCCGCGCAACTCTGAACCTTACTGAGCCTGCTATTGCTGCTCTGAATATTGTCTTCAAAGAATCGTGTGCTCCTGGGGCCTCTGGTATGGGCCAACGAGAAATTGAAGTTTATCTCCGAAGGTGTGGCGTTGATTCTGTTCCACCTCAAAAGATCATGGATATTATGGCGAAGTATCCTTCCCCCAGCGATAGCAACGGGAATGTGCGCGCGGACATTTTGGGCTGGGAGGGTTTCTTGGCGTACTATCGTGATACGATTCAGTCAAATGAGATACGGGTAAGTTTTGGGAGCCTTCTCACTTTTGAAACTTGTAGTTTTTATTCGCGACGTCTCAGCAACATACTTTCATTTTAGGTACGCCTTGATTTGCACACTTTTGGCTTTAGACCCGATCTTTCAAGAAGATCTCCCGAGTCCCGCATATCTGTGGTCCAGGGGCAAGATGAACTCAGAAAGACTGCCGAGAGTGTTTCTATTGACTCTGCTGAACTACTTCGGAACAGAATTCCAAACCTTGGTCCGCTCGCTGATTTGGGCGTTTCCACATTCATCCTGCATGCGAATGCATATGGAGCAAGTGAGCCGCTGGCTGAAAACATCCTTGCAGCTGCTGCATTTGGAAGAGATACAAATTCGCTTATTATCGACACCTTGAGGAACATATATTCGGCGCCCACTGGATGGGTTGGGAACGAGACTGTGAGTGCTGCGATTATGATGCTCCGAGTACTTGTTTCGATACCTGATAGCAAGCAAACGGAACGTATCGCATCAATCATGGACTGTCACGAAAGACCGACCGACCGAGCTGAATCTGGGATTGGACTCTTGGTAGCTTCCAGAGCTTTCTACAATGCTCGAGCTCGGCATCAGTACCCGAATGATATGAATTATTCGTTTACTCGATATGTCAATGTCCTGAGGGATCTGCTTGGATTAGACTCGATCTATGCATGGATGAACGACAACAGAAATCAGTGGCACTGGATGGAGCACGAACTCCTCATGACGCACCAGCAGACTCAGCCCCACCAAAACCGAGGTGAATATAATGGTCAACGAGGAGACCCTGCTGTTGGCATGGCGTTGGAACACCACCATCACTCGGACACAGACGATAACATACAACATATGCATGAGTCGGAGGAAGATGACGACGAGGGCTCTTACGATGAAATGGAAATGCAGGAGGCTCCGAACAGCATCGTTGTTGAAAATGCAGGAAACCCGGCTGTTTGTGGCGTGTACCAAAAACACGGCTCCTGGGAGCGGGCTTACAAGTACAGTAAGCAGGGAGAGCATGGCGGCCGAGTTGTCCAGTTTTCAATTTTCCAATGCAACGTCAGCAATAACACGAAGCATTGGTACATTTCTGTGGTTCCTACTCACGGAAATCCCGGGACAAGTTCAGATGTCGACTTTTATTCGGCACCCGTCACCGATCACTGCCGATATCTGCCACCACAAGAGGGATGGACAAAGTCAAACGAGGGCAAGGATCCTTCTCCCCTCCTTGTTTATCGGAGCGATCAATTGCAGCCATCTTCAGTAGAGTACATGCGTTCGAATCATGGCGGGAACATCGCTTAGTTGGAACCCACTTTCACTGTACGAAATAAAACTCATAAAGCTACTAGAATATCATGAAAGATAAAGACTACATGTAAACTGTGACGTTGAGAGCTTGTAACTTCAAACATCGAACGACCTATGCGTCAATTTCTTTTCTCTGCGGATTCATCTCTTCATCATCCTTGCCATCGCTGAGTGTCGACGCCGGTTGGCTTTCACTCGCTGCAGTATCTGGCGGGGGAGGTGTCGCATCAAAGGTGTAGTTGCAGATAGCAGTGATTACTTGAACCGCTGCAATGATCATTGGTGGGGTCAAAGGGCCGCCTAAAAGATAGTGGTCCAAGAGTGATGAAAGGATGATTGCGCCAGTAGTTGCCAAAGTTTTGAGAATGGAGTCTCCATACTTGATGGAAAGAGCCACAAGAAGACCTCCAGCGGCACCCAAAAGGGACAGCAAAAAGGCAATCCACGACCATCCGCCAAAAAAGCCTGTCATGCCACCACCATCGCCTGCAATAAAGAAAAGGTACACCGGAAGACTGCCGAGTGCAAGCTGGAAATTCCGCTCCCAAATATTCAACTTCAATGGGTCTAACTTGATGACCTTTTCAAAGTAAATGGAGGCAAATCCACTTAAGGTGACCTCTGTGATTACCGCAGCAGTTCCAATCATTACATTCCCACCTTCAATTTCTTTTCGGTGTACTGGGTCTCCCCAAATCGGTTCCGAGAAGAGCAAGACTCCCATCATCAACGCAATTAGTGCTCTCCACTTCGTCCAAGAGTAGGAACGTTTTAAAATGATACTGGAAAACACTGCTGTCGTCATGATCTTACACTGGGCAAAAATGGTGAACATGCCTGCAGATATATTGCGCAGCGCCACAAAGGAAAGAATATTCATGGCACCGTAGATCAAGGCCAACACAAACATCTTCTTGGATGTTTCCACCAAGTATACAATGCGCTGTTTCAACGTAGTCCCCGCTGTCAAGGTTCCGGATATCATCCAAGCTGAAAACACAATTTTTATCACCTCTGCTAGGAGCAATAGTTCATGCTAAAGATTTTAAAAAACAGAGTATATCAGTGTGAGAAACGCCTTGTAACCCTACCAGTAGTCTAATCACCAATAAATTCATACCTTGGAGTAGTTCTCTTTTAGTACCCCCTGAGAATACCTCCTTAGCACTGTATATAAGGAATTCTGAAGGCATAGGACAGCCAATACCATGAGCCGTATGCTGCTAAAACATTGAAAGCCCCCCTTTTTTTCAGGTCCATGATCCTTTTCCAGTTCATCACTGGCCACTCTTGCTGGTGACACCATGCTGGTGACGTTGTCTACCGGTAATGCTACTCGTCTCAAAATGATGCTATTTGGAGATGGTGCTAATTCGAACGGAAACAACTGCAACAACGCAGGCCAAGGGTTGCAAGGTTGCTGATGATCTTTAATGTTGGTGGGAGATCGCGTTGTTGCTTGTGACCCTGTTTTTGGCTACATGTATGATGTCGATTGAGTCAGTCAGTCAGTCATTTCTTTCTTTGGGGATTGCTCTCACCCCCAATATAGCGTGACTGGATGGAATTTCAATCGTGGGGGGCCGTGGGTCACGTACGTGTACCGGTAGTACAAAAGTTGATCGGATGACTTCCAGTTCCGATTTATACCGCCCAAAAATTTGACACCGTCATATCCAGTCACCAAAAATTCATAACAGTGAATAGACAGCACAACACAACAAGCAACTCACAAGCAATATCACCATGGGAGCCTGGAACGCTGCTGGAAACCTCTTTCGCCTCCTCATTGTGGTAGGAACGGTCATTGCAATTGGCTTGCAATCTGCAACTCAAACAGGCTGCAACTACGCCGTCTACAAAGAAGACAACATCCAAGCAGTCGGAATTTGGTACTTGATGACCAACAATGAATGTGGAGCAGAAGTTTATGATCCTGATGAAAGCGATCCTTTCATTTGGACAGCCCGCAGTTGTTTGAGCTTGTCCATGCTTCTGTAAGTATTCCATACGGTCGTATCCTCGCGCCCCTTCTTGTGATATCATGATGATTACCTCTATAATTGAAAACTCACTTCGATTCTTTCCAATATTCAATTTCTCAGTGCTACTATCGGTGGCATCCTGGTAGCCTTTGAATGGTGCTGCTGCAATGTATGCTGCGCAGGGTGCATCGAAATGTCGTGCTATATGAGTGCTATGATGCTTGCAGGTGGAGTCAATTTCATTTTTGGATGCGAACTATGTGTCGGGGTTGGGTTTGACTCCATTACGGTTGAAGGGATTGAAGCAGCTGCAGAGGACGGAAATGTTTGCGAGATTGGTCCAGGAGCGACCACGAATACGGTTGCCCTTATCATTTATCTCATTGTGTGTATTTTGTTATGTTGGTGAGTGCATTGTGATGTCGTAACACACAATCTCCGAGATGGTTTCTTGGACAGCAAGTTGAATGGACCTTTTCCTCACATGATTTCTGTATTTTTTTTTAAAATTGTAGCACACCGGAACCAGACCCAGTCTGGAAACAATAAGCATAGTCTGATGCATTGACAGTGATTGTGACTGCTGAATGAAGCTCCACTCCTATTATACGGGTATATGTTTGTGTAATCTCTTCGACTTTAAGAATAGATATCTATAGAAATACAACTTGCAAGTATCTCCTTCTCCTACCTCTTGAGCTTCAGACAGGATGACGGATAGCCGGTTGAATGTGGCTGAATGGGCCGGGAGCTCCTCTCATATCAATACACAGGTAATGTGTGTAATTCTCGTTGCTTCGCGTTTAAGAATAGAATAGAGATTGATAAAAATGTTACTTGTAAGTATAGCGCCTTCCCCTAACCATAAGATTTAGACAGCTTTGCTCACAGTCTCTGTGCTTGGAAGTACAGTGATCTGATCCCGAGCATCGGTTGCTTCTGTACTTCCATCCAGTTTTTGTTCCATACTCTCAACAGAATCTTTGGCGCCAGTCATCGAGAGCGTATTGATGGGTGTCTTGAGACTTTCTAGCAAGGATGCTCCCAATGGACGGAGCTGATCATCCTGGAATTGCTGACCTGTGGTCCGATCCACGACCAAAAAGACATCTTTGATGTTGTTGGACTCAGTTCCAGTAGATCGAGATATACTGCAATCCTCATTTTTGGAAGCATAAAGCTCGACAAGACTGCAACCTTGAACGGCTAACGCTACGGTCATGCTCGCCAAGATTCCATCTACGTCTGGACCGGTGACAGTAAGTTGGGTCAGGCTTGGATTATGAGCATTCGAGACTTCAATGTGATAGTAGCCAGAGTAGTCGGAGGAAAAGAATCTTCTAGGCGCAGCTCGAAGGAAGGTATTCCGAGCTGTCGCGAGGGATAGTTGACGAATCATGGAGTAAGAAGCAAAGGTGATGTAGATGGCTTTGAACTGACAGTGCCTCCTCTTTGCGTCGATGGCTTCTCAAAAATGCCGAAAGATTTTGTTCTTCAAAAACGAATTCTTTCCCCGACCTCACATGTCCGTATTTCGTCCGTCATGAAATCGGCTCGCGCGCCTGCACGAATTTAGCGATACTGCCCTCATGATTTGATGCTTTCTTGGTTGCAAGGGCGAGGTAAGAACGAACAGAAGTGATACCATCATTAACATCAACACCAAACAGCAAGATGGACGATGGTGAATACTACCAACCGGAACCTGACCCAGAGTGCAGGGCAGAATTTATGCAAATGGATGAGATGAAAGTACAGCAACATCATGTAGAAATCCTGCAAGAAGAAGTGGAAGAATTGGCGATGCGAGGAAAACGATTAAGAAGTGCAGCTGTCGGTGCAGGAATATGTCAATCAGTTGCCGTGCTATGCTCGTCCTATTTGGTCTTTGCTATTCGATGGATGTTATTGGACTGGGATATGATCGATAAAACAATTTACAACATTCAATCGAACTGGATATTTTGGAACGTTGGTGTCTTGGCTGAAATTGTGGGCTGTGTCTCCAATACTTTGGTAGGGGTCCTTGTGGGAATGATCATGATTGGAGCTGGAGTCAACCCTGCATCATGTTCGCTGATTATTCTGTTCAAGCTTATGGAACAAGTCATTGTTGCGATTGCTATCATTGCCATGATCATGGTGGGTATTTTTGTTTACGAGGACAATGCGATGAGCACCACCATCAAGTACTACTTTTACTCGGATTCCTTTCCCCAGATTGGAATGCAAATATCCTTTTTCCTCTTGTTATTGAACAAGTATGGGATTATCTTTTCTCATGTATTCGCCGGTTTGCACTACTCCTTCCTCGGTTTCATTGTGCACAAATTTGGTGTCTTTCCTCACAAATTGGGCAAAGCAATGCTATTGGCAGGACCCTGCTACATTATCAATGCCGGTTTGAATCTTTTGATATCCAGATATAATGACCAACTACACGTTTTCTTTGCCCTACCAGGAATTCTGGTACAATTCTGGTTGGCATCTTGGCTGCTTATCAACACACCAAGCCCTTCGAAGAATCGCGAGACCGTCATGAAGGGATTTAACAATATGTAAATGCACGAGTATTAATATTAGAATAAACAATTTGAATTTCAACGTGATTTTTTAATTGCATCGCACCAGTAGGCCTGGGATAGTGTGAGCAATATTCCTCCAGTGGATAATATGCTTAGAGATCTGTCATATGTTGCAAGAGTGTTGGAGATTGAAATTGCACTCTTTCTTGATTTCCAACAAATATTTACTACGTCTACTTGCACTATTATACGGTAGCAGGTTGTAATATATACAAACTAGTAATAAATTCTTGTAGGACAGGTGATCGATTCTATTTTGTATTGTAGTATTTTACATTGAGGTGGCATCCTCAAGCTTGGTCCGAAATGCCTCATTGGAAGAATGGTTCCATTGTAGCACTCGTGTTGTTGATCTTATTGTAGTAGGTAGTTGCTGGAATGTGGACAAAAGGGATTCAGCAGCCATCACTGACGCGCATTCGCTTGTGTCCTTGCGTATCAACATCCTCCGAACGGATACCACGCTTCCCTCGGACAACAGGTGTTCGAAGTGGTGTATCAGTATTGCTAGCCTCAACACTAATCTTCTCGGCAACCTCTTCAGCGACCGAGTCTGATCTACCACGAGACTCCTTCTTATTGATGTTTTTCTTTCCTTCGGCAATTGGAACCATCTCGTCAATCAATCGCTTGCGTCCGGCTTTGGATCGTGTGGATCTGGATGATCTTCGGAGTTTTCGAGTGGATACCACAGGCTCCACACGAAGCTCGGGTCGAATGGGCGATTCAACGTCTTCGTCACATGAATCATACAATAATGTGGACATGGAGATCTTTTGAGACAAGTTTTCAATTGCGTGTGCTGGACTTTCCGATAATTGGAGTGCTCGTCTCATGGCTTTGCTAACTGTAAGTGCTTTTGTGGCGTCTTCACTACCGATATGGTACCGTCTCATGGTATCAAAAACCTGCAGACAAGTCAAGAGGAGAAAGGGGAACGAGACGTTAGTGATGTGATCGATAGTATAATACGCATTGATATCGAATATGAAACAGAATCTCAAAATGGCCTAACCATGCGATTGCTCCAAGAATGAATCGATCCAACCGTACAGTATCGGTGGCACAAAATCAATCAGCAACTCACCTCTTCATCCGTTGGTCTGGCAGAAGAATCTCCACGGTTTAGCTCACGCACGAGGGCATTGGTAGCTCGTTCGCGACTGTAACCGCAGGTCATCAAGGCTGTGATTCCTTCCGAAACTTTCGAGACAAAGGTAGCTTTTGCCGAAGCAATGGACTGTTCGCAAGGCATTCTGTTGTGGTGTTGTGTGTGTGTTTGTGTTTGTGTTTGTGTTTGTGTGTAATGAGATTCTCCTTATGAATGATGAATGGAATACAAATGGATCAACGGTATGATACGGTATTATGACAAAAGGTGGATGTCAATCGGACGAGGGATGGCTTCAAAACTGTAGCGTCTGTCTGTATGTCTGTCGAAAAGCAAACGTGGATTTCGATGGATGTCTCTGTAGAGGTTGTTGCTTCCTGCTTTTTGGGGGGATATCCGCTTGGAACTCGAGATGGACTCTTGATGAGGTATCGAGTATCGAAGAGAAAAAGTATGAGACCTACAGTACCGGTATGTCTGGAACGATCGAGTGGTGCGCAAGTGGTCTCTGCTGCAATGGAACTGCTTGTTGATGAAAACGGACCAATTGGAGAATCGCCGTCGTGACTAACTTAAGAATTTCGGGCGTCCTCTCTTTGTACGGCAGCCTGTCGGACAATACGCTACGTAAAGCTCAGTAGTTTTGGTACGAGGAGTGGGTTTGAAACGCAAGCAAGCGGTTGGGTGCACGGCAATACGCAAGAACAATTCATTTTCTTTTGATTAGTCCGACCATTGCAGTGACGTTTGAAAGAGAACCGACAGGGATATTCCGCATTTTGGTGTGAATCTGAACCGGAATCGGGGCCTGACCGGCTTGCTCACTCCTTCTGCACGGGGATCTGTGATCCGACATCATCACTGCTCGTGGAATTCATTCTTGGTCGGTGATCGTCGCGTTTTGGTCGTAGTTCATTAAATTACAGATAGTTCCCCTAATTGACTATTCTTTTTGTCCTCTGAGTCAAAAATTCTGTGAATTTTTCACAGATGTTCCGAAATCTCTGCAGGTGTTGGCTAGCGAAGGACGGACTGATCGGAACGCCCAAGTACGTATGCAAAGAAGGTACAGTAGCAGGACAGTGGAAAGCTACGTACCAAAGAGGTTGTGAAAGAAGTTGGTAAAGGAGCTGCAGCTCAGTTGCAGCTCATTCCTTTTGAAAAGACTGCTCTGTATTTGACAGAGTGAATTTGAAGTCTAGGAATAGATAGTTATTAAGATTAGGAAAGCACACGGCTCTTCTACCTGTAACACCCATCATCATGACCATTACGGACTTCACCGTGCGCAAAAAGAGCTACCGCTATCTCACCACCCAGGCGAGCTACCCAAACCATGATTCCAAGGCGGTCCTCGATGCCTTTGATCCCACCAAGGACCTTCAGTTGCAAGATCTCAACAGCCTTGTCGAAAAGGGTGTACAAGGAGGCGCCCCCGCCTGGTATACGGGATGGCCCAAGGAACAGGTGAACAACTTTAATTTTTGGCATCGTCCAATGATTAGGTACACAACGGTTGGCGAAAAGAAAGAACAGCACTTCGATAAGTTGTACGTGCTGGACCATGACGTTCTGGAGAACGGGAGCGACCCACTGGCATTCTCTTGGCCGGCAAAGGCCTTCTCAAAAACCGATCCGGTTAAGGTTCCAAAGTTGGAGGCGTGGTTGATAAACGAGGCGCTCGAGCAGGATCACTCCAAGCTGTTCGTGATGGAGGATATCACTGACGAAGACCCTGAGACGGCCTACGACCTACTGGTTACACGCAAGCGAATGCCCATTCCCAAGGAGTTCTTGGATATCGCTTGGGACGGATCGTCGGCACGCGAAGTCTTGCGATTGGTGATTGACAGAATCAAGATTCTCGCCAACAGC